TGAAAGTTAGGAGGAAAATGCTGGAAGGGAGGGACCAAAGAGCAGGAGCCCCCAGATCTGAGATTCACCTGAATCCCTGTCTGGCCATGAAACTAATACACACAAGAAAGACCCAAGGCTTCTACCAAAAGAAAGAAAAGAGATCCAGCATCCAGGGACACGTGGGTGGCTCAGTGGTTGAACGTCTGCCTTTGGCTCAGGGCGTGATTCTGGGATCGAGTCCCGCATCGGGCTCCTTGTGAGGCACCTGCTTCTCCCTCTGTCTGTGTCTCTGCCTCTCCCTGTGTCTCTCATGAATAAATAAATAAAATCTTTAAAAAGAAAAAAAGAAAAAAGAAATCCAAGCATCCAGAGGCTGAATTCAGCAGCATTGCAGTTGCTGCTCATTGCTGGGAAAACAGAGTTTGAAGTTTGAGTCCAACCAAGGTAATGGTCTATTAGAACCCATATTCGATAGAAATAATGGAATTTCTGTAACTTATCATTCGTCATGTCTGGTGTTCAATACAAAGTCATCAAATTTGTAGCGAAACAGAAAAAAGTCACAGTCTCTCTCTCTCTCTCTCTTTCACACACACACACACACACACACACACACACACATACACACACACGTACGTCAATAGGAACCAACCTGGAGATGACTCCGCTGCTGCAATTACCAGCTTTTATAAACATGGTCAGGGACTTAGAGGAAAGATGCACCAAATGAATGAACAGATGGGGAGGCTCAGCAGAGAAATAGATGCTACAAAGAGGGCCAAGTGGAAATGCTAAAACTGAAAAGCATGATAGTTGAGAGGAACGGTCACTGAATCCACTTTAATAGAAGATGGCAGATGGCAAAGGAGGGAGTCACGGACTTAGTGGTCGTTCAGCGGAAGGAACAAAGGGGAAAGAGAATGCCAACAGAGCCTCAGACACGTGGGGCTGTGCCAAGGGGTCCAACGCAGGTGTAGCTGGAACCCCAGAAGGAGAGAGAATGGTAGAGGGGAAAAAAATGAACCAACATAGTGGCCCCGGACTGTCTAAATCCCAAATCTCTGTGATAAAACTACAAAATATTGTGGAGAAAAATGAAAGAAGACCTAGTAGATGTTGTGTATATACTATGTTCATGCACTGGAAGAGGATATCATCAAGGTGCCTGGTCTCCCAGCAGCACCGTTTTTCTTTTTTTTTTTTAATTGAGAAGATTATTGTGAAGTTTCTTCAGAAATATAAGGAACCTTAGAATCGCCCTAAACAATCTCATAAAAGAACAAAGCTAGAGGCTTAAACCACCTGGTTTTAGGACTTTCTATTAAAAAACGAAAGTAATCAAAACAGAGTGCTGTTGCTACAGGCATAGGTGAATAGGTTCATAGAAAGATTATAAAATCCAGAGTAGACGCAGGCTTGGGTGATCGGTTGGTTTTGGTTAAAGGGACCTTAAGTGATTCAGTGGGAAGAAGAAAGTTTTCAAGCAGTCGTCCCGAAACTCCTGAATATCCCCGAGAGAAATGGATCTCCATCTCTGCCCCGCACTGTGCACGAAAATCTGAGATGGATCGGAGGCCTCAGCATCAACATGGACATTATACAGCTCTTGGAAGGAAAAACAGGAGACCACCTTTGGCAACCTGGAAACAAAGGTTTCTTAGATGGGATGCAATGATTTCTTCGGACCCAGGACAGAGTCACGACACCATCGGAGAAAAAAATTTTTTTTTATTAAATATGGATGTTTTTCAGAAGATGCCATTAAGAAAATAAGCAGCCAAAGCCAGAGACTGGGGAAAAAATTCACAAGACATATCTGACTCAAAACTTGTGTCCAGAACATATAAAGAGTTCTGTTTGTTTTTCAAGAAAGAGGCAACTGATTTTTGGAAACAGACAAAAGTCTTGCACAGGTTTTTCACAAAGGAACATGCACACGCATGTCTGGAAGGACAGGGAAAGGTCCCCAACATCTTTAGCCATTGGGGAAATGCAAAATAGGAGTGCAGCAATATTTCACTGTGTTCCTCTTCCAGTGGCTAAAGTTGGAAAGACTAACACCAACCAGCGCTGGAGAGAACCCAGGACAACCGGGTAACCAGAACCTGGAGGCAGCCCAAGCGTTCACCAAAAGGAGAATGGATGACAGATTGTGGGCTGGTCATACCACGGATGGTCCTTGGCATGGACGTGTGGCCTGGATGGATCTCAGAGATGCGACATCAGGGGGAGGGAAGTGACACGAAAGTGACCGTGATGTGGGATGCCATTGATGTGCAGTTTCAGAACAAGAAAAACTAATCTGTGGATCTGTGGGGGAAGAATAGTCAGAAGGACGGTCCTGGAGAAAGAGGAAGGGGATTGATTTGAAAGGAGAAGAGATTTTAGGGGAGATGAGAATATTCTATAAAGGGCTGCAGTGTGAGTGACACAGTGGTGCCCATTTGTCAGAAGGGTACAGTGAGGGTACATCGTGATCTCTAGAAACCATAGCAAAAAACGGTTGAAAAACCTTTGTGGGGTGTTGCACCTGTGCCTAAAACAGGGTGTACTCTGTAGACATGGGGTATGCCTGCACGGGCGTGGGGTACGCCCACATGAGTGAGTGAGTGCTGGCTCTTACAGGTGGTGCCAGGGGGAGGGGGACGGGGAGAAGGATCTCCAACACCTGAGCGCCTTTCCTGGGACCCAGCCATCTACTTAGGCCTCAGAGCATCTTCAGGAAGTCCAGCCTGTGCCGGAAGCTTTCCTACCCCCCACCCTTCACCATCCTCTCCCTCATTAAAATGCCACCACACTTATTTGGGCTCATCATGGGGCCTGTGCATGTGTCACTCCAACATCCACAGATCCGCTCTTAACTTTCTCCGAATGCCCCTGGGGTGCATCATCAGCCACTCAGTGAACGAAGGAGTGGTGACCAGTCCACCTGATGGGGAAGAGTATGGCCTCTAGAAGATCCAGAAGGTCTTGGCTGGGTCCCCGGCACCATGTGCCCCAGCTTTCTCGATTGTGCTATGGAGAGCACAGGGCTCGTTTGGGGATGCAAGGAAATTGCATCTCGAGCTCAGGTTGTGGCTGATGCGTGGTGGGAGGACTGCACCGAGTTCCTTCCTTCTGAGTGGGCTGGGACAGGGTGCGGGGGGGTCAGTTAGCATGTCCCCCTCAAACATGGGGTGAGGAAGGGGGTCCCTGTGCTGGCAGTTGGCTGTCTCTGAACTGGGTGTCTCTGAACTGCCCCTTTCAGTGATTTTTATTTATCAACTCCTGGGATATTTAACTGTCACAGGGCCCCCGCCTCCTCCCCAAGCCCATCAGGGCAAAGCCCATGTTTGTTTCCAGATGGTGTGATGGCCTCAGCTGCCTTTGAGCTGTCTAATTTAGCAGCCCGGGAGTGTCCCTGTCTGCCCTCGGTTCCACGCTGTCAAAATTCTCGACAGTGGCTTTGTCACCAGCCTCGCTCTGCTGCACGACAGAAATCTAGGGTGGCTGGCACCCACCAAAGTGGAGCCCTGCTAGTGCTGGCCTGGACCCAGTAGCCTGGCGGGCAGGGCCCCCCAAGCTGTCCCCTTTGGCTACAGCATCTGGAGAGGCAGGGGAGGTGATCTGTGCCAACATGCGTGATCCTCCCAAGCCCACCTGGGGGGATGAGCCTCAGGGGTGGTGGGTGCGCTTCACACTGGTTCTGAGCGGAGCCTCTGTTGCTGTCGGGGCACAGTGTGAGGCCTCAGGATGGCTGTCCGGACACAAACAGCCACGGGGTTCTCTGCCTCCAAGGGTTTGTCAGGTTGAAAAGTATAAATGTTTTCAGGTGCGTCGGCACAGAAGGGCTCACCAGCGGGTGCGTGGCTATTCGTGGGTCTGTCACCAGGTCCGTTAGCTGGTCTAGGGGACAGGTCACCCTGCCAGCTTCTGTCTGGTGGCCAGCGTTGGGCTTCCTCACACCCACAGTGGCAAGAAATAAAGCTCCCAAAGCGGCCACCGGCTCTCCTTTCCTGCTCATCGGCTGCCATGGGGGTCTTATCAAGTTGGGAGCTGGCTCACCTATGGCTCCCCATCCCTGCAGGGATGGCCCGGGCCTCCAGGACGAGCTGGCCCCTGAGCGTAACTTGCCCTGAGGGTGGGCCGCACAGCAGACTGAAGAGCTGATCAGCCCCGGACAGGGACAGAGTGGCCCCGCCGCATGTAGTTGGATTGGCTCGTTTGCTAATGTGAAACATTTGCTGAGCTGCTGTCTGTCAGGAACGGCACTCAGAAGGGGTCGAGAAGTTGGATTTTGGTCCAAGGAGGAGATAGGCTCATCCACAGACACTTAGAAAAATAATGGGAGATAGAGCAAGATGGATGCACTTTGTATGAGAGCACTGGCGGCGGTGGTGGGGGGGTCCTGGATCACAGACTGGACTGGGGATCCCCTGAGGGCTTCCTGGAGGAAGTGTCCTATGCTCCAGGTCTGGCAGGGCCGAGGGGACAGCTTATCAGAGTAGAATCAGAGCATGCTCAGCAGCCAAAACATGGATGGCTGGAGTATAAAGTGTGAGTGATTTCCTTGCACTGGTTCTTGAGTGCTGTCGCTCTCCACCCACTCTGCTTCCTTACCACCTGGTGGGGAGGGTGTCCACATACAAGTTCTGCTCCCTGACGCATGCACTACAGGCCGTGGGCACTGGGGATGCCCTGGGCTGACGAAGAGCACTTGGGGTTCCAGGTCACAGGCGTGGCCATGGGCGATACCCCAGAGGTCCCAGATTCTTGCACTAGCTGCATGAGAATCCCCTTTTGGGCAGTGACTCACCCCGGGCCTCCCTGGCAAGTGTCCCTGGTGCTCACTAAAGGGTGGAAAGGTTGGGGCATGATCACAGTAGGTCCTCCTAGCAGGTGTGTCCCCATTCTGTGGGCCAGAAGGTTAGAGGCCGAGGGCAGGGGCTCCTGGTGGTCCTGACCCCCGCTCCTCCCCACGAGGCTGTGTGTGCTGGGCCCTCCCTTCCATGTGCCTGACCTGTTTCCCTCCCATGCAGCGAGCATGACCTGGGGGAAGACATCTACGACTGTGTCCCATGCGAAGATGAGGGGGACGACATCTATGAGGACATCATCAAGGTGGAGGTGCAGAAGCCCATGGTAAGCCCCCTACCCCGCAGCGCCGCCCCTGCACCCAAGGCTCTGAGCCACTGTGGGTAGGGTGGCTCCCTGGGACAGAGAGCTGCAGAGGCTGCACCCCAGTCCCCCTTCTTCTCCATCCACGGGCCCAGCCCTCTGTGACTGCTGCCTGAGAGACCCTCCTGGACGTGCTGCTACGTGGAGTTCTCCGGAGGGTGTGCAGGATTCCAAGTCCTTCCTGCTCGGGGAGTCTGAAAATAGTGCCTGGGTGCTCAGACACATGGAGCACGCATCATTTTCCTCCTTTGTGCAGAGAGTAAGGAGACTGCCGTTGGCTCAATTAGCCAGCTGTGTGTCTTTTATGTGGCAAGGATATTTATTTCTGAGCCGGCGTTGGCTAATAATCTCTCGGACACTAGTTCGCTGCTGGGTGGGTTTATTGCCAGCAGCTGCCGGGCGGAGAGCGGGGGGTCCTGTTGGGCTGGAATGGGGAGGAGGGGGCCCTGGCAGGGCAGGCCACGGCCACCGGGTCCCCACGCTCCTGGGGGTCAGTCCAGACGCCACTTGCCAATGGTGGAGGCTTTTGATGCTTTCTGCTTTCATGGAAGAAATAGGAAGAGTTTCTCAAAAAGCTGAATTCAGTGTTTATCTTCAGTGTGGGAGTAATCAGCTGGTGGTGGAGAAACAAAGCTGGGACGACAGCTCCCCGATGAGGCCTTTCAGAGAGGCCTTTCCCACTCTGGTGGCACCTGCCCTCCACCGGCATCATGCCAGCAGAGGCAGAGAAACACGGCAGTGGTGCTCACAGTCCCCAGACTCTGCTCTTCTGAACAGAATGCATTTCTCATTTTGACTTGGAAGGGCCTGAGGGGTCCCCACCGTTACCAGGGGTCTCTGTCTGTAACCCGGGGTCTGCCCAAGGCCAATTCTGCCTTTGCCCTGGGCAGCCTTGCAGTGGGGCAGCTCTGCCCCTGAACCTGCCCAGAAGGTCCCTAATGGGGCTGGAAGGCCAGGCCGTTGCACCGACAGAGATCCTCTGCTTCGCCTTCCTGGAGCTGTCCTGGGTTTGGGGCCACCTCACTCCCTTTGAAGTTGAAGGACCCGCAGGTGAAGTGGGAGTAGTGGATGCAGGGGCCCGTGCACATGTCTGGGGGATCCCTGGCCTCTGGGCTGGAGACGCCCCCGAGAGGCCCCAAGCGTGCCTGGCCTGCTGAGACCCCACCGTGGGCTGTCCCCACCACCACCCCGGGTCTGCTGCTGTCCCTGGTCCTGAAGCTCACCCTGGCTGTTTGCAGGCCCTGCGGGGGCCGTGGAAAAATCAGGGGACCTGCCTCCTGCCTCCTGCCCATCCTCTGGGATAAAACAGCTGGTTTTACTTCCTCCCTGGTCATGCCTGGAGCTGTCTCAACAGCCTGAGGGGAAGGTAGATGGAGACTTTTCCCAAGGAAGAGGGCGGCAGGTGGCACTCTCAGAGCCCACACATAAGGGAGACCCTGGTGCTGTCCCTTCCCACGCAGCCAGGCTGGTGGTGCTCGGTGGGTGGACAGAGGGCTGTGATGTGATCCTGGGGCCATTGGGTGCTGTGGCCCTGCCCTCCCAAGCACAGCCGGGGTAACCAGCTGACGCTGCTCATGTGATTTATGTGATTTATTCCTCCATGCTTTCAGATCAGGTACATGCAGGTAAGTGGCAGGTGGAGGGAGGCCCGGGGTCCATTCTGCCTGCATTAGCTTCCCCCACCTTTTAGTGAGCTCTTAGATCCCTTGGGAAAAGCCTGGGACCCTGTCCCCAGGGAGATGCTGTCAGGCCCCACATTAGTACATGGTTTTCGGGGGATCATGGGCGCCTGATGCCCGCTGAGGCCTGAGAGTAGCAGTGTAGCTGCACCCAGGCTACAAGAGGCTGGGGAAGGAGCCCTGGGGGGCCCCTTGCCTGACCTTGGCTCCTGGGCAATGTGCCCCATCGGGCATGTGTCTTTGGAACCCCAGGCCCCAGCGAACTCCAGCGGGGCCCTAGGGCGTTTTTTGGAGGAGGAGGAGGATGGATCGGCCGCTCAGTTGGCAGACATGGGTTGTCAGAGAGCTGGTCAGAGCCTTTACCTGTGCACATAGTAGGCACTTTAAGCATGCCACACCTGCTGTCTACGCCAGAGGCGCTGGCTCCCGAGGACCCCACACCGGTCTGGTAAAATTCAGAAGAGGGCAGCAGGAGCCCAGACTCTAGAAGCTTCCGTGCCTCACTCCTGCCTCAGTTCCCTCGTCTGCAGAAGAGGAGGGAAGGGCTTGGGCCCCCTGTCTCCTTTCCGGCCCTCCGTGTCACACCTGGTGACCCCACAGCCAGGCCTGGCTCACGTCTTATGTCCTTCCTTTAGAAAATGGGCATGTCTGAGGATGACAAAAGGAACTGCTGCTTACTGGAGATTCAGGAGACCGAGGCCAAGTACTACCGGACCCTGGAGGACATCGAGAAGGTGGGTGTAGCTCTCCACCCTCTCCTGGTGCTGTCAAGCACCCCTCACCCTTTGCTCCCCACACGGGCCAGTATCCTCATGGGCCTCACCCTTGCTCCCGGCCCCGCTGCCCACCTATTGGCCCTCTGTGTGGCAGGGACTGTCCTGAGCTTGTCCTTGTGGCTCCTTTTCACCCAAGCTGGGCATCAGCATGGCATCTGCTCCGGATTGCACTGGGCTAAGCTCCTTATGTATACTCCCTTCTGCAGGCTGGGCGCTAGGTTAAGCTATTTGTGTGTACCTTCTCCCCTGAGGCTTTTGCTGCCCTCAGCTCCCCACTCTGTAAATTGAGGTAACAGCAGTACCACCCCTAGGTGGCTGTGAGTGTCCTGCCCTGGGCCCTTAGTCAGCCCCAGTGAGGCCAGCCTGCAGAGCCCCCAGGGCAGACCCTGTGCTCCCCTGAATGGCTGGTCAATCCACTCTCCCACCGGCTTCCCAAGCTCCTTGAGGACCACCCTGCTGTGGCCTCCCGTGGACACTGGCTCGTGACATTTTCCTGTGCGTATGGGGTGAACATCCAATAATGCCTCAAGGTAGACCCTCCCTGGCTCTTCCTTGCTTCCAGCATAGGGCCAAGTGTGGCCACGACTGTGCAGCCTCCAACGAGGAGACCCAGGGGACGTGCTGGGCCCTGGTCTGGCCCAGGTTGCAGACGGACATTTCCCTGGCTCCTGCCCCATGTGCCGCCCTTCCACCCTGCCGGCCGCTGGCCTTTCTGCCAACACTGCAGCACCATCCCTGCCACACACCCTGGTGCTTGCCTTCCACCTGCCCCTCCCACTCCTGCCAGCCCCAGCTCCTGGGGCAGCTCCTTCCAGGGCCCTTGGGCCTCTAGCTTCTCCACACAGCTAGGGCCTGTGGCAGAATGCCAGTGGACTGCTGTGGTCCGTCTGCCCCTGGCCTTGTGGGCAGGGGTGAGGGTTCTGGGAGTGATGTGCAGTGGGGGTTCAGCAGCGAGTGAGTGGGCTTGACCAGGGCACGCAGCATGCCAAGCGCTTTCTGGGACAATCCCATTTTAACCCTCCCCTAACCATTGAGGTGGGTGCGGCTACCCCTGTGTCACAGGTGAGGAAACTGAGTCACAGGCCAGCGCCAGCCCATGCGCAGTGCAGGGAAAACTGCCTGGCGCCATGCAGCCACTAGTACTTGTTCACCTGGAGAGCTCTCCTGCTGCGTACAGCAGGCAGCCAAGAAGAGGCCCGAGGGGCCAGCGTCCTGTGGGGAGAGGGTGGCAGTCCTGCCCTGCCAGGCCTCCGGGGTACGACGTGATGCATCTCATCCAGGGCCAGGCCAGGGGCTCTGGTGGGACCACTCCCTGCCGCTGCAGGGCTCCTGGTGTTGGGGAGCACATCTTTGGACAGCAGGTTTAGGGCCGTACCTGGACTCAGGGATTTGAGTGTTGGGTGGGAAGTGTGGCCCCGTCCCCCCTCCCCTTGGGCGATGCACTCACGTCTCTGGCCTCAGTGTCCTAAAATGTCTCGAGTGGGTGCAGCAGCGCCCACCCAGGGTTGCAGTGCAGTTGGCGTCCAGCCTGTTGGGCACCATGGAGCTTTGCCCACATGGGTGGTGTGGATGCTTAGCTGGTGTTTCCCAGCCCCGCACACTTGCCTGTGCAGTAGTCACCCTGCAGGACGAAGCCTGGGTCCCCCCGGAATAGACGCCTTCTCCAGCAACGCGGCCCCGGTGGCGAGCCAGGCCACATAGCCGCCCCGCAGAGAGCCCCCTGCCCCCTGGCGAGGTCATCAGAGCCCCTCCCCTGGCGCCCTCCAGGCGAGCTGACCGTGGGGTCTTGCCTGTTCCAGAACTACATGACCCCCCTGAGGCTGGTGCTGAGCCCGGCGGACATGGCAGCCATTTTCATCAACCTGGAGGTAAGGCCCCCGCTCAGCCCAGCAGGTGCAGGTTGCTCACTGCCGTTCCCGCCATGGGATCCTGGACGGCCACGTCCCTGCTGGCTGCCTGGTTGGCTGGTGCTGTGGGGTGACGGAGAGAAGGGAGGGGGGGTCTCAGCACTTGGGTCTTCGGGGGCAAGAGGACGAGGTTTCCATGAGCCGTCTGGGCCTGCTGTCCGTGGTCTGACATGCGTGCCCTAGAAGAGCTTTGAGGTCTTTGTCAGCGGCCAGAGACAGACGTGTCCCCTCCACCTCTTTGGGGGAGCCCCCTACCTGCTCTGCACATGTCTGTACACACACGCAGGATGGTGATGCCCCGTGAGGAGGTTTGCCTCGACGTGGTCGGCAGAGCGGCTCCGTTAGCTACGACCGGGTGGGCTTCCTCCAAGAATGCCACCTCTTGCAGCCCCTCATGAGTTCAAGGGGCAGGTGCTGGTCTCCTGCTGGAGGCTGGGCCAGACTGGGACATTCTCGTGCTCCGTGGTCCCCACCCGGGGTTTGTTGCGCTGCACATGGAGGTCAGCACAGACGGCAGTGGACAGTGGAAGCCTGGGCCAGGGGCCATGGGCCGGTGCTGCCTGCCGGGTGCCTGCTGCTCTGAAATGTGTGGAAACACCTACCCCCATGGAGAGACTCTGTACCCCAGCCCCCATACTGGGACAGAGAGTCCCTGTGCCTGCACACAGCAGGAAGGTAACAAGGATGCTGGGTGGAAACAGCCTCCCGGGGCTGTCGCCATCCCATTCTGGCACCAGGGCCTGCCCTGGGTCATACCCCGTGTCCCAACAGGCCGAGCAGGTCCCTTCAGGCACCTGAGCCCCTCATGTAATTGCACCGGGAGCGAGGGACACAGGAGTACGTGGCCCTCCCAACCTGGCACACCTGTTCATGTGCTAACTGCTTGTTCTTCCCAGGACCTAATCAAGGTGCATCACAGCTTCCTGCGGGCCATTGACGTGTCCATGATGGCGGGGGGCAGCACACTGGCCAAAGTCTTCCTCGATTTCAAGGAAAGGTAAGTGGCGGGCCCACCTTGCCTGTCCCTCCCATCTGCAGGGCCTCAGGAGTGCCCTGGGGACAGGGCAGAGCTGGCAGATTGAGGTTTACTCAGGTGTGCCTCTCGGGGTGAGGTCCCCAAGGCCCGGGGCTGAGCACCCTGGGAGCCTCTGTCCTCACTCGGACACTGAGAGGGCTGCCCACCCTTCCTGCCATCACAGCTGGACGGGTGACACCCCAGCAGGCCTCACGAGGGCTCCACCAGCTGCCTCTGCTTCTGCACCCCGGGGGTCTCGGTAGCTGAAGGGCATTCTCACCAGTACCGTGCACCTGCTGCATGCCAGCCTCGTGAGCATCCAGGTCCTGGGAGAGCCTGCCTCTCAGGCTCCAGGCTGAGGTGGACGGTGGCACGTGGCAGTCATGCAAAGACAGAACCCAAACCTGTCCCTGCAGGGCTGAACATGGGACTTTCAGGGCTCTGAGCTCCCAGGTTTAAGGCCTCTTCCTGCTTCTCTGTCTGTGTGTGTCACTGGGCCTTGACTTCCTAGTCCTTAGGAACAAGGTGCCACCTGGTGTCATGGGGGTTGTGCCTATGCTGCCGACACGGTTTGTCTGTGTCCACTGAGGGGGCTCCGGTGGCTGGGCAGGCAGAGTGCCTGGGCCTGGTGGGTAGGCTAGGGGTGCCCAGCAGCAGCGGTGGGCACGGGCGCTCTGCCACTGTGGCATAACCAGCCCCAGCCCCACGTGGGGACACAGTGATTCCAGTACCAAGAAGGTTGGTCCTGGATCCTTCTCTGATCGTGCCCTGGCATCATCCAAGTCTCTGTGGCGTCAGGGCAAACGTCCAGGGAGCCCGAGGGGGCTAGATGCTACTCGTCAGGATCCGAGGCGGCCTGCCTCTCTCCCACGGCATCCAGGTGGGCAGGCCGATTCTAGACGCGCAGATGGCGCGGGTGTCCCTACAACCAAAAATCCGCCTGCAGTAATCATGGCCCTGATCGCCACTCCTCTGGCCGTCCAGCCCCTCATCCAGAGCAAGTGTTGCCAATGTAGGAGAGTGACAGCTCATTCAGAAACCAACACGGAATCCTTTCTAAAAAAGAAGGATGTTGCTGTCAGGAGGCCTCCATGAATCTGTTAGGTCGTTTGCTGCCGGCCCCTCTATAACTCCAGTGGATGGATGGGTAAGAGCTGCCTTCTGTGCCCTGAAATGTCCTGCAGGAGCCCAGCTGGGGAAGGACTGGGATTCTGGAAGCTTCTAAGTAGGTGTGAGGGGCAGCTATCAGGATAGTCTGGCCCCCTGGCTCTTCACGGAGCGTGGGCAGCCGCATCTCTAAAGCCAGAGACAAAGTCAGATGATGTGAGGGCCCGGCGGGATGCCCGGTGCCCCAGGAGCGCCAGAGGACAGTGGTCCAGCCACTGGAGTAGTGAGGCCCATGGGCGACGATGCCCTGCCTTCTGTACCGGGGGGGGGGGGCTCTGGAGAAGGCACCTGAAAGTTCTGTCCCAATGGCTCTTCCGCCCGGCTTTCATCAGAGGCACCTGGGAGCTTGTGAAGAACCCCAGTTCTAGGGTCAGGGGAGGCCCTGCAGTGGCTGCCTGGGAGCTTGGGTCCCTCTCATCCTCACCTGCGGGGAGACTGTCAGGTGACCATCTGCTCTGCTCATGTGCCCTCCTGGCCAGGCAGCCCTTCCTGGGGCCAGATACAGGCACCTTGGCCAGCGAGCCCCTGAAGGGACCTCTACTCTGTGCTGCATGACCCCAGGCTAGGCTCCCTGAGCCGCTTTTTAGGGGCCACAGGCTGGGCCCCCGGGTGGCATGAGGGAGCGGATTGTCCAGGCACTGGTGGCTGGGAGCCCACTGGCCGGCCCCGGGGGTGGGGGACAGGCGGCTCCCTGACCCTCCTGCTCCCCAGCAATGTTATGCTCTCACTGCCTGCAAGCTCGTCCCAGGAAGCAGGGAAGCCACCTCGGGCTAGAGCCTTGCTCAGGGGCCGGGCCCTCGACGGGGGTCCACTTGGGGAGGGGCCTGACTGCATCCCATCAGAGTGCACGTGCCCAGTCCCTGTTGACTATCCCCATACCCGACTATCCCCATACCCGTCTTTGCTGCCCCTCCCCCTCCTCATTTCTGAGTCAGCACCTGCTGTCCTGAGGTTCATCTGCATACTGATTCCACAAGCATTTATAGAGTGCCTGCTGTGTACTGGACAGAAGCAGCTGTGCTCTCACTGGAAGGGGAGGGATGGGAAGCAAGTTCTCAGACCCAGGAGATGAGAGGAGGGGGTGCTAAGGACCAGGGTGGGAGGCAGCGAGCCCCAAGGTGAGGGGAGCAGAAGCTGCTGGAAGGCCGCTGAGCAAAGCAGGAGCAGGACTGTTCGGGAGCTGGCGGAGGCCAGAGGAGCAGGTGTGAAGTGGGCCAAGAGGGGGTTACTTGAGGCGTGACTCAAGGCTTCTACGGGAGCCTAGAAGGCCAGGATGGGGATCTGATTTTTTTTTTTAAGATTTTATTTATTTATTCATGAAAGACACACACAGAGAGAGAGAGAGAGAGAGGCAGAGACACAGGCAGAGGGAGAAGCAGGCTCCATGCAGGGAGCCCGATGTGGGATTTGATCCCAGGACCCCGGGATCATTCCCTGGGCTGAAGGCAGGTGCCAAACCACTGAGCCACCCAGGGATCCCCTAGATTTTTTTTTTTTTTAATGAGGGCAGGAGGAAGCCACTGAGGGATTCCTGTGGCACAATCCCAGCAGCTCCTCACGGGTGGAGGAAGGAGTAGCACCCAAGTGTGGCATGACCAGTGCCAAGGGGCAGAAGACCATCACCTCCCTCTCTTTGGAGCTAACGCTTGCATTAACACAGCCTCAGTCCTCAGACAAGGCAGATGCTCCTCTTAGGCTTGATCTGAGGGGCCAAGTCCCCCACAGTGAGAAGTGGGACTTGGGAAAGGCCTGCCTTTTGCAGATGTGGATGTAACAACAGGTCACGTGGTTTTTATCTGTGGCTGGGGTTGGCCACACTGGGTTGGTGGGTCAGGCCAGAGGACCCCCTGGGGCACCAGCCATGGGACCTTTGTGGCCCAGCAAGGAGGCAGGGCTCCAGCTCTTAGGAGGAGCTCCCTGGAGCTTTGTACAAGGGCTTCCGGGAAGGGCGGCCATCAGAGCAGGATCGGAGGCCAGTCCCCGCCCCAGGACCCCTGAGCGTCGAGAGAAAGGCTCTGCCACCACCGAGCACTTTGTGCCTGTGCTTTCTGGGTGCTCGGGATGTGGGGCTGGGTGTTGCTGCCCTTGGGTTGTGCCTCCTGCCCGCGGGCCCGGATCTCTGGGAAGCTGGGCTATCCCCGTGAATGCACGCAGGGAGAGAGCCCCCCTGAGCCCACAGGAGGGTCTGCGCGGCCACCTTGTCTGGCTGGGCTGCTGGGTCCCTGTGACCGGGAGATCCTTCCGGTCCTTTCCCAGATGGGGAAATTAGGGATCTGAGCAGCCATGGTCCTGGTTTGTCCCTGTGGCCTGCGGCCTATGGCCTGAGTCCGGGACCTGCTCTGGCCCTGTCCCCACTGTGTCCCTCCACCCCTTAGGGCACCGTGAGACTTTGACGTTCAGGGTTGAGGAACAACGTGATGCAGCCAGGACTGGCAGGTCACCCCCCACCCCGACAGATGCATCAAGGCCCCCCGTAGCAGGCCCCCAGTTGCGTGTTCAAGAGGTCATGCAACATAGTCCTTGTAGTCACGCACCAGACTTGTGTCCATACCTACTGGCTCGTGAGCGAGGGATCTGGATGCCAGTGGTGCTCGCTCAGAGGACAGAACAGGGCGCGCATGCATGCTGAGCCGGCGGGAAGGCTTGTGTGGGGCAGGAACTCCGGACACACACTGTTGGGGGTGTCAGCACTGGGGTAGAGAGTGTCGGCATTCCAGCGTCTGCCCTCCTGCAGGCGGCAGCTAGGCCCGGGTCGCCACCTCACTGCCCTGCACGGGGCCTGGTGGCTGAGGCAGCCTGCTGTTTCCAGGGTCCTCCGGAGGCCTTGAACCGTGAATGAAGTCCCTGGGTGTGTGTTGCTTTCCTTCCATGCGGTGGATAATTTTTCTCATCAGCACAAGATGTTTGGGGTCACAATTGAGGCAGCTCTCACTTCCTCGATGCCCTCCTTCCATTGGCTGAGAAGGGCCCGTGCATGGCCCACGCTGCCTGCACGCGGTGGGCCTGGAGCATGTAGATGGCGGTGAGCGGCCTGGGCACTCTGCTGTCTCAGCGCTGGGGCCCAAGTCAAGCTGTGGGTAGGGAGGGCAGTGCTCCCTTAGGAACCTCTAAGGGAGGAGCCTCCCTGCCTCTCCCAAGTGGTGGCCCATCCCTCCAGCCCCCGCTTGGTGCTCACGCGGCTTCTCCCCTCCGTGTCCCCACGTTCTTTCCTTCTGTCCTCGGTGGACTGGGAGCCCACCCTCACCTGGCACCGTCCCTTCCACATCCTTACTGTAGGGTAAGGTCTCTGTACCTGCAGAGACCCTGCTTCCAAATGCAGTCACATTCTGAGGGTCAGCACGCAATGCATTTGGGGGTCACTGGTCACCCCAACGGGCTGTCTCTGGTTGGTCAGCTGGGCCCCTCTGCGGCTGCCCTCCCCTCTCAGGCCACCCACAGGGTCAGCAAGCGTGCACAAGGACTCAGCCCTGGGGTGGCCTGGGTCTCCAGCATGGAGGTCTGGAAGGCGGGTCTGGGGACCTCCCAGATGCACTTTGTGCCTGACCTTGCTGCTCCCATGCTGGGCGACCTTAGAAGTCATCACCCCTCAGAGCCTCAGGGTTGCCGTTCTTGAAGGTGGTGTTTGTGAGGACAGGCTGAGCTCAGGCATGAGTGCCTCCTGTGGCCCTGCCTCTGTATGTCCATCGAGCTTTGTTCTCTTCCCTGCCTGCTGGGAACAGCGGTGTGTGGTCATGGCCACTCAGCTGTGGGGAAAGCCTCTGAGCAGGCCAGGCCTCCAGGCTGGATGCAGGGATGTGAGGACAAATGAGCCCCATCCCTGGAGCTCAGGGCTGGTGGGAGGGGTGGTGGCCCACTGCTGCCTCTTGCGTTGGACAGGCCTGTGCCTGGAGGCTTCCCACCTGTCTCCTTGCTTTGCTGTCTTGCCTCGCTGAACCAGGGGACACAGTTGGAAGGGGAAAGGACGCAGAGTTAGAAACAACGGGGCAGGGTTTTGAAGGATGAGTAGAAGTTGGCTGGCCAGAGACAGGTGCAACTGCAGCGTTGGGTTTGGGGCAGGGAGTGTGCTGTGAGGAAAGCAGAGTTTGAACCCACTATCCATACACCTTGCCTGCCAGAAACCTGAAGACTGGGACTGATTGCTCTTCCCTTTATAAGTGGGTGAAGGAAGGGTCATGATGCTGTGTGTGAGGCACTAGGCAGGAGTGCTTCCTGCAGGTGGCGAGTGTGGCCATCATGCTTATTGCAGCCTGCATCGTCCCCTGTGTGAGCCTCCCGGGGCTGACTCGGTAGCCGGGCGACTAGATTTTCAAAGATAAAGCATCAGGGTAGTGACCCAAGGCTGGAGAGCCCTGAACTCCTGGTGCCAGGGGCCCCTAGTCTGTGAAGTCGGCTGTGGGGGTCGGTCGTGTCCTGTTAAAGGGTGTGAGCAGCAGGAGAGAGGCTCCCCAGCACCCCCAGCACCTCCTGGGTGTGGAGCAGGGCATCGGGGCTGATGTCACCCTGCCCCGAGAGAAGGGTGGCTTGGGACCCAGGCAGAGAGTGTCCGTGTCATGTGGAAGCAACGAGAGCTGACCCCCGGGGACCCCACCTCTGAAACGTTGGCAGGGGGGCCACCACCCCAGGCAAGCGCAGAGCCAGGATGGACCTCTGTGCTCAGCTCTTGCAGGAGGGAGTCTGAGCCTTCCTAGGGTCCCCCAGCCCTGGGACAGCGGGGGCTTCTCTCCTGGCCGGTGTTGGCCTTTCCATGGGCAGGATGGGGGTGGCGCTGAGAACCCCATTCCAAAGCCGGTCCTGACCTGAAGCAGAGCCACAGAAGGGGGAGTTCTGTGGGTTCGGGAAGAGTAGGGGAGCCCCTGTCCCAGGGGAGAAGGCTGCCACATGGTAAGAGCAGACCCATAGAGCCTGTTAACGAGTGAAGAGCTGTCAGGGGGACAGACCCATTTGTTGTGCACCTGCTGTGCCTTTGTGGGGAACTAAGGGAGACCCCCGGAGGCCCCGTGTCTCATGAAGCCATGTGCACGCATGCTCCCCGTCCAGGCTCCTGATCTATGGGGAGTACTGCAGCCACATGGAGCATGCCCAGAACACACTCAACCAGCTCCTCGCCAGCCGGGAGGACTTCCGACAGAAAGTCGAGGTAATGGGGGGTTCCCGCCTGGTCCCCCCACCGTCCCTGTGTCCTCAGGGCTGTCGTGCATGGGCCCCCTGCTTGCCCACTTTGTGGGAAGGTGGATGGGAGGGTACTGACGGGACGGTTTCTGTAGATGTCTTCCTGTGTGATTTTTCTCCTTTTGGAGTAGAGGGTTGGGGGGTGGGGAAGCAGGTGGAGGTCACCATCCCAGGCCTGAGTCCCCCAGGTGCAGCAGATGCAGACCCCTTGGGACACATCCAGCTTAGCAAGGGGCTGGGTCTGACCCCTGACCCTGGCCTATGAAGACTCCAGGGGGACCCCAGGGGACAGAGGTTTGCTGGAAGCCAAGGAGCCTCCCTCCCGTCACCGTCCCCACCCCAGGGTCAGGACCAGGTCTCTGGCATTTGTCCAGTTGCCCGTGTGGGACCCATTCTTCATCCCCCTTGTCGGGGACAACTGAGCTGCTCCCCGACGCTGCTTTTGGCCAGTCAAACCCTTTCCAGAGTGAATCATGGGGTAGGGTCTCTGCTCTGGCCTTGCTGGGGGGCGTGTCCCTTGGAGACTCACGATGCCCCCGTGTGTCCAGGAAGTCAGTGGGGAACCCCCGGTTCCTGATGGTGGCCCTGTTGTGGTGTGAGCTGGTGTCCCAAGGGTCCCCAGGCAGGCCCGGTCAGTGCCAAGCCAGGGGTGGCTCAGAATCCTAGAGCCCTTGAGTGCCCACTGCAGACCCCTGAGGCTACCCCTGCCACCTGCAGTGAAGCCCACGCCTCTGCACACACCTGGTTTAGGAAGGGTCTGTGGGGAGCCAGGCCAGGGAAGGACCGGACCCCTGAGCCCCAGTTCAGGGCTGTGGTCTGCCCCCCCCACCCTGGCTGGGGAATGAGAGTGTTGGGGTGCAGTGCTCCCGGTGAGGTTCTCCATCCCCTGGCCACTCCCCTGTTGCCCAGGAATGCACACTGAAGGTCCAGGACGGAAAGTTCAAGCTTCAAGACCTGCTCGTGGTCCCCATGCAGAGGGTGCTCAAATACCACCTCCTTCTGAAGGTGAGGTTGTGTGTGTGCTCCGTGGTGCTACTGGGGAATGGGAGTGGGACTTGGCTGCCTCCAGGGGTGGGAGTGGGACCTGGATGTCCCCCATGAGACACAAGCAAGCAGCTCTGCATTTGCAGCCTGCGTGGCGTACTTTAGGAACATTTGTCGCAGTAAACGTACAAGGAGAAATGGGGATCAAAATCTGTAAGAGCCAAAAAATTGAGAGATGGAGACATGTCTTCAGGGTGCCCAGGGGGCTCCATAAGTGAAGCACCTGCCTTCCACTGAGGTCATGGTCCCCGGATCCTGGATCGAGCCTCGTGTTGGGCTCCCTGGTCAGCGGGGAGCCTGCCTCTCCCCTCTCCCTCTGCCTCTCCTCCTGCCTATGTTTGCTGTCTGTCAAATAAGTAAATAAAAAATTTAAAAAGGAAAGAAACCTGTCCTTAGACCAGGAGTAAGAGATGGCCTGTAGTCGATCACTGAGCCTGGTCTCTGAGCTCCCTGGTAGCCCGGTAGAAATGGAAATATCCTTCTGGGCGGACAGACGTCGGAAAGAGATGTGGCTCCCGCACAGCATGAGGCTCCTGCGTGAATCAGCCAGTCACGTGTTAGCCTGGTGCCTTGGTTTGGGCTGCACGTTGAAGTCCTCCCCATCACCCGCAAGACTTGGGGAGCCCCCGTCTCGAAGCTGTGTGTCACCTGGATGAGGGCTGGCTGGCTGTCTGGCTGTGTTTCTGGGTTGGGCAGTCAAGCCAGAGCCTGAGCCGGAGGGTGAGGACTCTGTGCCCACGTCCTGTGCCCAGTGGGAGTGAGGTCGCAGGCCAGCACTTCCAAACGGTGACCCTGTGACTCCTCTCTCACACGTGCAGGAACTCCTGAGCCATTCCACTGACCGGCCCGAGAGGCAGCAGCTTAAAGAAGCGCTGGAAGCCATGCAGGTGGGTAAATCAAGGCAGGGGAGGGGCCAAGTGTGTGTGCTTTGACTGGATTTGGACCCGCTGACAAGCCTCGTTCTGTGACCACAGTGGCAGTTTTCCTGGGAATACAACAGGCTGAGCAGGGGCGGGGGGAGGGGGCGGTGGGAGCCACCCCAGGGCGGAGAGGATGGGCTGAGGGGGCTTCCAGCACCCAAGGTCCAGATCCCTGACCTTGCCTGTTTCCCTGGGCCTCCCTCCCTCCTGCTCTCTGGACCATCCCCCAGGGCTCTCGCCAGTTCCCAGGCACTGGACTCAGTCTGGGCCGTCTGGCCCTGTACTGCCCACTGCCCGGGCCTATGGCTTTGGCTCCTAAAATGCCCTCCCCACCCAGCCACATGTCCTCCTCTCCCCTCCTCCCCATGTCCATTGGAAGCCCACCCTGCAGGTAGGACCCGGAAGGAGAGCTCAGCTCATGCCCTCCTGTTGCTCTAAAGCCTTCTGTGGCTCCCCGTTGCCCCCCGAGTCAGGCTCAGGCTCCTTGTCCCAGCACACAGGCCTCCACCAACGCCTGTGCCTGGCTTCGCAGCTGTGTTTGCCCCTAATGCCCTAACTTCCAGTCAGGCTTGGCCACCTCTGGGCTCCCATATGTGCTCCATCCTTCCCTGTCTGTGCTGGCTCAGGCTGGACGACCTCCTGGTCACCTGGCTGTGTCCCACACATGCTCAGTCTTTGCCAGGTGACCTTTCCTAGGAGAGTTGCCCCCTGCCCCCACAGTTCTGACCCTCGGAGACAGCTGTGCTTGGATAATGCTGCCACCCCTTGGGTGCCCGTCGCTCCCTGATCATGGTCACCCATGTCCCCAGCCCAGCTCAGTGCCCAGCACAGGGTGGGTCCCCTCAGCACTGCAGCTGGGTGGGGGGAGACAGTGTCCCCAGCACCTCCAGGGGGCGTGCTGACCTCTGCACCCTCTTGGATAAGCTCCTTCCATCTCCTGCTGGGCGGGTCAGTGCCCTCACAGTGGGGTCTCCAGAACCCTGCTTGGGGTCTCCGGTACCCAGTGCTGGCTGTCTAGATCGCCACAGGCACCGCCCCCTGGTGGCCGGTGGGAGGGCAGTGGCACATGGACCGCAGGGCTGGACGGCAGGCTCACCCCGCCCTGCGTGGCTCCTCAGGAATGGGGGACCTGCCTGCGGATGCCCTCCTCCCCAAAGTCAAGAAACAGGCTGGTCAAGTCTGGCTGGCGGTTTTCTTCTAGTCCAGTGGTCAAGTCTGGCTGGCGGTTTTCTTCTAGTCCAGTCTAGAAGGGGTGACCAAGTGGGCAGCAAGAAGCTCTTCTAGGAGCTTGGGTTCTTGCCCACCACCACGTGCCGTTTGGGGTTGGTTTTACTTTCTGTGCCTCCATTTACTTATGTGTCAGGTGGGGTTTTGGAGGCCTGCCCACTGTGCTGGCTGGTGGCAGGTGCTCTGAATGTGGATGGGAGTGGGGACCATCCTGCTGAGCCCTCCCTGCCTCCATTGTTTTCAGGACTTAGCAATGTACATAAACGAAGTTAAACGGGACAAGGAGACCCTGAAGAAAATCAGCGAATTTCAGAGTTCTATAGAAAACTTGGTAAGTGTGGCAGATTCCTATAGGGTGGAGGTTATGACCGTATATACACATCTTAGAAATTACTTTCACCGTCTTGATATTCCATAAGCAGGCGGGTGAACCTGCTCCGTCTGGGTCTGGGAAGCAGGTGTAGACGTGCACAGAGGTGGCCTGCTCCCCGAGGGGCAGGGTCTGGGAATGGTGTTGACCCCCCCTCCCACTCCCTACCCCCCGGCCTGGACTGAGAACCCAAGGCTGTAGCTTCCCGGGGCGCCCCAAGACTCCTTGCCCACCCTCGCCTTGCTGTCCCCAGGAGGGGCAGTGGAGAGGGTTTGGCCCTTGGCAGGGCTGACACCTCACAGGACCCTCTCCCCGGCCTGGTTCCTCAGAGGCTCAGCCTTGGGACTTTGGGTGAGCCACTGAGTCCTGCTGGGAAGATGACATGGGCCATCCCAGAAAGCAGACGCTTCCTTGTCTGCCAACCTCTAGCAACTTCTCGAGAGATCTGCTAAATGTTTAAACCAGGCTTTCTGTACCTCGACACTGTTGACCTTTGGAGCTGGGCCATTCCCTGTGGTGGGGTCCGTTCTGTGTGTTGTAGGGTAATGAGCATCCTTGTCAGTGCACCCTGCACTCGGGGGTCCCCAACATTGCCAGATGCCCCCTGCATGTAGAGTTACTCTGGCTGAAAACCACTGGTTTATCCGTAGATACTCTCACTGTTTGGCCCTTGAACTGGGAAGAGTCTGAGCAAGTCTCTTAGGGGCAAATTGACGCAGAAGCCATGGTGCTCAGGTTGACACCAGGTGCCCAGGTGTCCATTCCTCACCCACCAGAGTCAGAAGAGTCCAAGGTGGATACCTATATGAACGTGTGGCAGGAGAATGTTCCTGATGCGTCGTCAAGTAAAGAAAAAAAATTGCCAAACAGCATTACAGTGCAACCCCATTTTTCTTTTCAGGAAGAGATAGAAATGCCTGAGGTGCAGAGGTGCCCCAGCCCACTGGCCCTGGCATTCATGCCTGGCAGGGGTTCTGGGGCTGGTGGGTTTTCCCCTGTGATAGATCCTTAATGCTTTCTAATAAGGGCTATAGGATGCAAGTTTTTTTTTTTTAAGTTTTTATGTATGAATAATCATATTCCTTAAATAACAAAAAGAAGACCATGGTGGCAGGCAGGGGTGGAGTGATCCTGTGGGCAGGATCCTGTGGGCTGGGCCTGTGCTCAACCCACCAGAAGTGCATAGCTGAGGAGAGTGGTCGTCCCATGTGTGTGGTGTGAATCCCGGGCTGTGCTCTCGGCCTGGGCCCAGCAGCTCCTGCAAAAAAATTCAGAAAACTCAGAAGCCACTGAGAACCATCCAATTGTGGCGCTATGGGCCCGGCTCCGTGAATGTGCTGGAACGTTTCCTCCTCCCTTCCCCTGTCCGGGTAGGCCCTTCCTTTGCCAGCCACGCAGGGGACGTGTCAAGATGCACCCTCTCTGAATCAGGGCAGAGCAGAGGGACAGGCCAAACGGAAAATGAAATCTCAGCAGACCCTAGAGAGGTTTGCCTGCAAGCTTCCTCCCGTGGAGGACGCCCCGCTGGCAGGCTCCCTTGCCCCGCCTGCCCTCTCGCCCTCCGGCTGATAGGCGCCGTTTGTTCTCGGGCTTGGTTTCCCAGGGTTGAGTGTCTGGCCCTTCCTACCAGGGCTCTGCTCTGGGCTCCACGCAACAGCAGCCTGTCGCTGGCATCCGCACCATCAATGGCTCCTTGTTGCCGCAGCGCTAAAGGGAGTGCTCGGAGAGGCTGGGGCAGGGCCCACTCCCCCCTGCGCTCTGTCCTACCCCGACCTGCACCCCCGGCCAGCAGCCATGACACCCATCAGCCCGTTCTGCCATCTGTGTCCGCAGCCAGCAGGCCCGCCACCTTCCATTCCCTGTAGGTGTGGGGCAGGCGGAGCTCCGCTCGAAGAGGGGGGCTCATGGGCTTGCCCTTTCTTTCCAGCAAGTAAAACTGGAAGAATATGGGAGGCCAAAGATCGATGGGGAACTGAAGGTCCGGTCCATAGTCAACCACACCAAGCAAGACAGGTGAGTGGACGGGCGGCCCCAGGCTGGGTGTGGCCCTTTGTCACCGGGCACCTGCTCTCCTTCCGCCTGGGAGCAGATTTTCCCAGGAGAGAGTTGCCGGCCTGCCCTGTGCCCTTCGGCTTCACCTGCTGCCTTCCTATCGGTGAGGCCACCCATGCCACATCGACCTGTGGCTGTCCTGCCCGTGGCGGGCACTGGGTGTGGCTGGGGGCCAGCCAAAGGCCCTGGCCTGTGAGCTCCTGGGCTCCCCGGAGCCAGCAGAGACAAGGCAGCCACCTGAGCTGTTGGCCGTGTGCCTGCAGGGAACGCAGGTGACCAGGAAGGCCCCAGATGAGCCAGCATAGCCCCTGCCTATCAGAGTTCTCCACGTGCACCTACACTGGGCAAGGCCTGGGCCTGTGGCTAGGGTCACGGTAGATATAGGGGTCCTGCCCCTACAGGGCTCCTGGTCTAGTGGGGGCTGGAGCATGGAGGCCTGAGGAGCCCATGTGAGTCTTGAGCCATGGAGGATGGGTAGCCAAAGAGGGCTTCCTGGAGGAATTATATGGAGCAGCTGAGACCTGTTGGGGCAGAGGTTCAGAGTTGGCCCCTGAGCCAGGCAGAGGGGCAGGCTCAGCTTGGAGAGGGAGCAGCCGGCCTGCTGCCCACCCCAGACACTTGCTGGCGGTCTCGGGGCCTCAGAGCACGGGGCCGTGGCTGTGCTGATAGGCCCCCTGGCCACACTGCTGGCCCAGGTACCTGTTCCTGTTCGACAAGGTGGTCATTGTCTGCAAGAGGAGAGGCTACAGCTATGAGCTCAAGGAAGTTATTGAGCTGCTCTTCCACAAGATGACCGATGACCCCATGAACAATAAGGACGTCAAGAAGGTGGGCCCTGGGCTGCCTGGTGGTGATGGCAGGGCCTTCTGGGGCTGAGGGAGGAGCCGTGGGGGTGCCCTGGGAACCCTGGGAGCCGGCATGGACATCAGCACCGGCCCCCACAGGGTGGCTCTGCAGTGTGAACAGGGCTTCCCAGCCATCACCTCCTGTCACTCTGGGCCAAGCCCAGCACTTCCTGGGCCCTTTGTGAGTCTTCCGAGGGTGGGCACCACTGGGATCACAGCCCCTGATGAGGGGCCTGCAGAGGGGCCTGGAGAGAGCCAGACCTCTGACCATGGCGGCCTGACTTCAGCCCTCACTGCCCCTGCAGGGGGAGGCCTGCCTGTGGGGGATTGGACAGTGATGTCCAGCCCGGGACTAGGGCTGCTGGGGGGCGGAGCCCTGACCGCTGGAGGGCAGGGCTATGACTGCTGGGGGGCGGGGTGCCGGGGCGGGCTATGGCCGCGGGGGGGCGGGGCTAGAGATGCTGGGGGCGCGGCCGGGGCCTCTTGGCGCGGGTTGGTGGGGGGCGGGGATCCTGGATGCTGCCACCCCCTCCTCTGGTTCAGTCCTGCTTCAGCAGAGGCTTCTGCAGCCCAGTGCTTGAGCACCTACTCTGTGCATCCCTGGCTAGATTTGGGGGCCGGGAGCCCATATGCTGTGAATCCCAGGCTCTGGACTTCAGAGCTTGGAATGTAGAATGCGGTACCACCTGGAAGAGCTACTTGGGGGTGAGCCACTCAAGCCCGCCCCATATCTGAAACAACTCCCGAGGCTTGGGGCTGAGGGCACAGCCCCAGGGTCCCAGCCCTGGCACCTCTCCTCGGGGAGGCTGAGCCCTGTCCCTGGCAGTGGCGGGTCCTGGGCTGTGACACCTGGTGCAGGGCCAGGCTGAGTCTCTTAATGATCTGTCTCCCCTTTTGCTCCCCTCTCCTCATGCCTTCTAGTCTCATGGGAAAATGGTAAGCACCTGAGTCCTGCTCCCTTGCCTTCCTGTCCTCAGGGCCCAGCTGGCCCTTTCCTTTCTGAGCCTGAGGCCTCCCTCCTGCCTCCCTCCCCCCCTTCTCTCCTCCCTCTCCCTCCCTCTTTCCTCCTCCTCCATCTCTCCTCCCCTCCCTCCCTCCCCATCCGTCCCTCCTCCCTCATTTTGTCCTCTCTCTCCCTCCTTCCTTTTCTCCCTCCCTCCCTTCCCTCCCTCCCCCCTACCCTCCTTTCCATCCCCTTTTCCCTCCCTCCTTCCTCCCTCATTTCCTCCTCTCTCCCTCCCTCCTTCCTTTCTCCCTACATCTTTTCCAGCACAAATGGGCTCAGACTTTCCACACTCTTCTTCCTGGGCCCCCTAGAAAGCCCCTAGAGATGGCCAGTCCTGGTGGGTGCTCGGGGCAACTGTGGGCTGCCTCTGCTGTAGGCTCCCCCAGCCCATGGCCTTCTCTGGCCTTTGGTTTGGGTTGGTTTCTGTTGTTTTACTTCAGAGCAGTGAGTTTTTTAGTCTCACGTTCAGGAACTGAAAGTGGGTAGCCTATGTCCTGGAGGGACCCTGGCCAGTTCTGGGTCCCTGGGGACCCAGCTCAAGCATTAGAACCAGCCCTGGCTGAGCCTGCAGAGAGTTCAGTTGAGGGCACAGCTAGGCGTGGGTGGAGAGGTGCCTGGGACATGTTAGAGGGGTGCACACACACATACATATGTGCACACAGGCGCAGATGAGCAAGTCCTTTACACCTGCACACGTGGTCCTTGTGCCTGAGGCCAGGCCAGCTGTAAGCCTGTCCCCTTCTCCTCCCACAGTGGTCCTACGGTTTCTATTTAATTCATCTTCAAGGAAAGCAGGGTTTCCAGTTTTTCTGCAAGACAGAAGACATGAAGCGGAAGTGGATGGAGCAGTTTGAGATGGCCATGTGAGTTTGGGGCTGGCAGCAGCGTGGAGGCCATAGGAGCCCCTCAGCCAGGGGCGATTTCAAAAACCCAGAGACTAAGACAGTGCACTGTCTGTTGAGATATTCAGTCTCATGCTTGCATGGGGTGAAACCCCTAAGGGCACACTGCCTGTGTTGTGACAAATCCTACACCTGCCTACAAACCCTTGTCAGCGGTTGAGCATCTGCCCCGGCGTGATCCCGGTGTCCTGGGATCGATTCCTGCATCGGACTCCCCTCAGGGAGCCTGCTTCTCTCTCTGCCTCTGTGTATCTCTCATGAATAAATAAATAAAATCTTAAAAAAAAAAAGACATTGCCCCTTACCATCCTACCAGCAAGCTCTCGTGCTGGCAGGGCCCACCTGTAAAGCCCCCACTCAGGGCCTCAGGGCAGATACAGGCTGTGAGTCCCAGCCTCCTGACCTGCCCGGCCTGCTCCGCAGCCTGGCTGGCCCCCAGACAGACCCTGCTTCAGGGCAGCTCATGGAGTCTGGGCGTCTTTCCGACAGGTCAAACATCAAGCCAGACAAAGCCAACGCCAACCACCACAGTTTCCAGATGTACACATTTGACAAAACCACCAACTGCAAAGCCTGCAGGATGTTCCTCAGGTGAGGAGGCCCCTGCCCCTGCCCCTACCCACCTACCCTCAGGGGAGCCTGATGCTACATCTGCCCCATGTCCCCCTCGCCCTGACCCTGACCCCACCCCCACCCAGGCTGGCACTGTGCTGGGCCCAGAGGGACTGGGGAGTGTCCCTTCAGTGTCAGACCATCTGGGTCCATGGGTGTTCAAATCTAGCCGAGAGTGAGGGTGATCGTTCCTGTGGGTGCCTCGGACCTGCTAGTGGGGTGGCAGGGGGTCCTAGAGGCCCAGGGTTTTGAGGGCTGGGTGTATGGGACACATGGCAGGGCGGGTCTTGCCCTTGGCACGGTGCCTTCCTCACTGTCCCCCTCCCCTCCCCCTATGCAGGGGCACCTTCTACCAGGGGTACCTGTGCACCAAGTGTGGTGTCGGGGCGCACAAGGAGTGTTTGGAAGTGACGCCTCCCTGTAAGATCAGTGAGTATCGACCCCTGCCCTGCCCTGCCCTGCCCACAGGACACAGACCTCCAGGGCTAATCCTCGGGGCCCCATGACGTGCTCTGAGCTAAGGGTCCCATGGCTCACAGCTGCCCCAGTACTTCCTCCTGGCCCGGCTACCTTCACACATCCGCCCTTCCTACCACTGAGACCCCACTGGGACAGGGGCCAGATGAGAAAACCAGAGCTCAGAGAAGAGAGACACCTGCCCTGGGTCACACAAGCCCCAAGAGACCAGCTGGTGGGCGCCTTCCCTGCCAAAGCCCTTCCTGCTCACTGGTGTGCTCCAGCGCTTCTCTCTGCCTCTGCATCCCCCCCCACCCCATTCTGCTTTTAAACTTGCAGAACCTCTACCCCAAAGTGAGCACAGAACTTCTTGACAGTTGCATGGAGGTTTCCCATCACAGAAATGCCAGTTGTGACTGTCCCTTACCCCTGGTTCTCCTGCACCTTCTTTAGCCACAGCTACAGCCATGTTAGCAGGCGGTTTGTGTGCATACGTGCATACACACACTCACGGCACCTATGGGGCTCCCATGCTCCTCATGCCCGTTTGTCAGGGTAGAAGCTGAGGCTCAGTGGGAGGACCTGAGTCTGCCCGGCTGACATATGGGCTGCCAAGGATCCTCTGGGAGATACATCTGGGTGAGCACCCAGCCTGCAGCAGCTGGACAGGCAGCCAGAAAGCCCGAGGCAGTTCTGAAGGTTCTGGACCTGCCACAGGCAGGGCGGGCTAAGCCCTGGATTGGGTGGGAACAGGTGCCACGCTTCATTCTGCAGCATGAGCCTGGGACCAGGAGTGCCTTCTCTGCTCCCCACACTTCAGGTGGGCGCCCCAGATCCTCCCACACCCCCCTGAGATGGTCTGTTGCACTGTGTCCACACTCGAGGAAGCCGCACTCAGAGACAGGGTTAACTCACTCCACATAGATGGAAAAATCTATCAGGCCTGCTTGTCACTTTGAGACACCACCACCCAGAATAGATCTTGTCTGTTCTTTATTTGCTGTGACCTGGGAGGACCCCCTTGTCCGGCCACAGGCCAGATGCAGCCCCCTCTGCCCCACCAGCCTCCCCTGGGCTGGAAGCCCACCGGCCCAAAAGTGCCTTTTCAGCTTCGCCCATCGATACCGCCCTCTGGTGGCCGCGTCCCCTCACACAGGCGACGGGACAGGTCATATCTTTGGGCTTTTATTTTTTTCTGATTCTAAAAGAAATATGATTATTTACCAAAAACTTGGGGAGGAAAAAAAGAAAAGAGAAAAGCAAAGCAAAGAAATAAAGAAGAAAATAAATATCTCCCCTGAACTTATCAAAAAATAACCAAAGGTGGTGTTTTGATACATTTCAAGTATTCTATTTTAGAATTAATCTTTCTGGGTTTTTAGTGTTATGAGTATTAAGTACTCATTTCCCATAGAGAATTTGCAAAATGTATAAAGAAAGGTAAAGGAGCAGATCATCAACTTGTGATTCCCCCCAGACACAACCACGGTTGCATTCCCTCCCCCAACACACACACCCCTCCCCCTGCTGCCCTGTCTCTTAGGTTTGTGTGCTTTTCATGGTGCCTGTAGTTAGGGTCTCACCAGATGGGTGGTTTCGTATCTGTTGCAAGCCAGAGTTATCATGGGCATCTGCCCCATGTCATTATAGGCTCGCACCAGGCACCTGGTTTTATTCTGGAGAGTTCCGGGCTGGTCCCGCACTCCTGCCTTTCATGCTGTGCTTGGGCTCTGGGCAGTGCTCCTTCATCAGCTCCAGCTCGGGCTGTGCCCGTGGCCTGCAGCAGGGCAGGTGTGTCCCAGGACAGCGCTGCCTACCCCGGAGAGCCCCTCCCCTGGGAAGCCTCGCTGTGTCTCACGTGTGGGCCCCAGGCATCGCTGTTCCTCCCACCCAAGTTCCACCAGGCTGGTAGTCTCTGTTCTGTAGGGGCTGTTGGGACTTGTCTGCCCAAAGCATCCTGCAACCATGAGTGTCAGATGGCATTAAGGTCACATTAGCCATGCTTGTTAGCCACCGTGGTCCTTGCTTTATCTGGTGGTGGGGTGGCAGCCCTGCTTGTCAGATGGCTGGGGCCCAGCCTGGCACTGCTTCCTTCCCCTGGGGCACCCTGAGGCAAGCAGAATCTTCGGGACATCTGATGAGCCGAGGTGCCCCGTGTCCATGAGCGAGCGTGCATCCTGACACCTCCTGTCGCCTGCCCATGGCAGGCATCTCTAATCAATCATGGAGGCTTTGCCGTTTGAGCCCACGCTGTGCCCAGGGATTTTAGGCAGCTGCCACCATTGGATCAGGGTTGGCCCACACAGGAAACATGCCTGCCAGTCTGTGTTTCCCATGGACACCTGAAAGCCAGAGCTCAGAATTTGCCAGCAGAAGTACCTGAGAGACTCGTAGTCACCAGCTGTGCTTGGGTGGGTGGAAGCCACAGGCCTTTGGTGCTGGTGGCTTGTCTGCTAACACCTCACGTGCTTCCTTTTCAGGTTCTCCTGCAGACCTGGTGAGTCCCCCTAACTGTCCCCTTCCCTCCATGCTGTGCCCTACGCAGCCCTGTTGTTCCTGATCTGACCACTGCTGGGGCGGCTGTCGGTCACCAGGGGCCTCCTTGGAAGTGGGTCCCCACGGAGAGCTGGCTGGAGGCCCCACCACCTGTTACCTTAGCCTGGCTGCCCACCTGTTCTGTCTGACTGGTGGCTTGTGGGTGCCCTGCTCTGTGATGTGCATACCCACCCACCTGCCCCCCCCCCCCAGCCTGATGTAGCTTAGAGCTCTCTGGCTAATTTAGGGAAGGTGTCCCTGAACCCACTTAAGGAGTGTGGACATCATGCCTCGCCCCAGCTGTGGGGTCCAGCACTTACAGGGTGCTTACAAGGCCTTGTGTGTGGTACAAACACGCCCTCACGGAGGAGGAAAGACATAGCATTTAGTTGCATGCGGTAGGACATGTCCCAGACAGTGGTGACAAGCCCCAGGCTCAGAGCAGAGAGGCCCCAGGGCTGGTGTGGTCAGGGCAGGCTTCCTGGAGGAGGTGGGAGTTAATGGTAAGGGGCGGATGTCCTGGGGCTACGGAGTGGCACAAAGGCAGAGCGTGTAGGTAATAGTGCGTGGGGGGATGTCACAGTGAGGCAGTGTCACAACTGCCCATGGGACTCGGATGTGTCACTCTCCTCTCCCTACTACCTGCCTGGACCCTTCTCTCCTGGAGGGGGCCGGGGGGCAGGGCGTGTTGATGCCTGGGCAGCTCTCCCTGATCACTGGCCTGTCCTTGCCCTCACAGGATGCCTCTGGAGCAGGACCGGGTGAGTGTGTGGGACTTGGGCCCCCTCAGCTGCTGTCCGTGTCCGCAGTCACTCTGGGAACCACCCTGACTGCCCAGCCGCGCCCAGCCTTCTGGGCTCCAGGCTCCCAAGGCGTGTGTGGGCCCAGCATGCAGAGGGTCAGGGGCCCTTCCTGGGGGAGGGGGCTGCAGCCAGAGCCCCCACAGGATGGGCCTCAGAGAGCCACTGTGGCCACTTTGCCGTTCTTCCCATGTCCTCAGTCCCCCTGCTCTGTGCTGTGTGACAGGGATATGGCTTCTAACTGTTGGGGGTGGAAGACGTCACCAGCCGTGCAGTGTGAGTCATGCTGGGCCACCGTGGCCTGATGGTGAAGAAGCAAACCAGAGCCATGCTGCTGCCGGGGGCACCTGTGTCAGGGCCGGGCCTGGTAGACAGGGGCCTACATGGGTCAGAGCAGGGCTCAGTCCAGGGGCAGCCTGCAGATGCCTGGGGCACCCACCAGGACCCCCGTTTCAGCCCTTGGGCCACCTCAAGCAGCTGTGTGTGGCCTTAGCAAGTCCCTGGGCCTTGCTTGCCCCTGACCCCAGACTCTGCCTTGTGGGGGGGTCCCCGTGTCCTGCCCCACAAGGCTAACACTCAGTCCAGATCAGAAGGGCATCTGGAGGAAAACATGTGAAATGCCACTAAAATCAGCGGCCGCTGTTGTCACCAGCCCCTGAACCCGTCGGTCCCATGGTTTACCCACAACATTTAGCAGGGACGTGAGGTGCCGAGGTCAGTGGTGGGCAGGCCACTGGCCAGCACCAAGCCACTGACTGAGGGGCCCCCTCCTGCCCTGTCCCCCCAGGTCCCAAGATGGTGGCTGTGCAGAATTACCATGGTAACCCTGCTCCCCCCGGGAAGCCCGTGCTGACCTTCCAGACGGGTGATGTGATCGAGCTGCTGAGAGGCGACCCTGAGTCTCAGTGGTGGGAGGTGGGTCCTGGGGTCGATATCCCCCAGGCAGGGGTGGTCTGGGGGGGCGGGGGAAGCACCTGTCAGCAAGACCTGAGCTCCCTTGAAGCAGGAATTCTGGGGATCCTCACCCTGTGTTCCTCGGGCTGTTTGCTTTCATGGGAAGAATTGTCCTACCTTGGTGCATCCTGTACCCCCACCCCCTGGCTCTGCCGCAGCCATGCTGTGCACACCCTCCTGCCTACCCTGCCCCCGTTCGGGCCAGCACTGTTATGAGGTCATCAGGCATCATGCTGGGCCCCTCGGGGGGGCTGGTGTGGGGGGTACCATGTCCAAGACCCTCCCCCACCTGCCCCCAAGAGGTGCCATCTGGTGGAGTGGAGGCAGGCGTGGACATAGTGTCCTGTGATGGTTTACAGTTCTGAGGCCTGAAACTGATGGTTCTGTTAACAGGTTCACAGAGGTGGAGCCCTTCGGCACCCACCTGCCTCCTGGGCACCTGAGACCAACAGGGGTGGCCTTGACCTGCTTAGGGCGAATGTTTGTTAACCTTCCCGTTACTGTTACTGCCGTCACTGTTGTTTTGTGATGGTGCTTATCACCGCGTGTGTATTTGTGGGTTTATGGTGTTAGACCCCGCCTTCACATAACCAGAGATTCAGAAGGTGCAGAGGGGTGTCTGCAGCATAAAGTCTCTGTCCTGCTCTGACCCCAGCTGCCCGGATCCCCACCCCAGGTGTCACCAGAGCCGTGGGTCCCCAGTGGCCCCAAAGGGAGGCTTTGCTGGCATGAAAGGGGGAGGCCGAGCAGCTGCCAGGAGGACTTCGTGGGGGGAGAGGGAGAGCAAAGCCCAGCCCCTGCAGACCCTCCCTGGCTGTCCACGTTCCCTCGATCAGATCCCCCTGGTCCACGTGCCTCTTCCATTTGAGAAGTGCCTTGTTGATAAGAGGCCAGGCGAGTAGCTGGCCATGGGGCTCTAACCCCAGCTCTGAGCACGACCTGAAGCTGCTTCTCTGGGCCTCGGTGTTCTCACCTGCAAAGTAGGGATGCCTCCCCCTTCCTACCCAGCGGTCATGGTCAGCTGAGGCTATAGCAGGGAGTGGTGCCAACACACGCTGCTTGTAGGACCTGGTCTCACTCCATCCTTAGAATAAGCTGACCCTCATGGAAGTGCCCGCCGTGCCCACTCCCACGGGCCAGGCCGGGCCCCCATCATCTGTCTCCTTCCAGGGTCGTCTGGTGCAAACCAGGAAGTCAGGCTACTTTCCTAGCTCGTCAGTGAAGCCCTGCCCTGTGGATGGAAGGGTGAGCACTTTCCACAGAAGCTTCTGGAACACAGTGGCTGGGGAGGCTGGGGATTCTGAGGGCTGTCTCCTCCCTTAGGGGGCGGGTGGGTGTCTGGGCTTGTTCAGGATGTCCTTGCTGAGTGGCTGTGGTGAGCTGGCCCTGGAGCTGAGGCTGTGCCCAGAGAGCAGATAGGGGGGCAGGAGGTGCCCTCCTGTTTGAAGGGCTCAGCTGTATGGGTGCTGCATTTCCCCTGGTTTTAGAAACACAAAAATGGGCATTCCTGCAGCAATCATAATGGACAGAAGACTCCAAACTTTAGGGACTCTGTAAGGTCTTCTGGGGCTATTATACAGCCCCAGAGAGGAGAGAACTTCTCCCTAACAAGAATTCAGAGCTAGACGTCAGGAATTTAGAAAAAAGCCCTTTCATCGGAGTAGGACTAGGATGGAGCAAATCTTCCTCTGTTACAAAAGGCATCAAGCAGTCAGCCATGAATAATTGAATTACCTCCACCCACACCCTAAAAAGGCATTTAGGCAGCCCTGGTGGCACAGCGGTTTAGCGCCGCCTGCAGTCCAGGGCATGATCCTGAAGACCCTGGATCGAGTCCCACGTCGGGCTCCCTGCTTGGAGCCTGCTTCTCCCTCTGCCTGTGTCTCTGCCTCTCTCTCTCTCTCTCTCTCTCTGTCTGTCTCTCTGTCTCTATGAATGAATAAATAAAATCTTTAAAAAAAAAAAAGGCATTTAAAAGTGCCAGAGGGAAATTTCTCCAGAGGGAGCAGGAGGTGAGTCCAGTACGCAGCAAGAGCCATGGTCCACCCTGCAGGCCCTGCCTGGCCTCTGGCCCCACCTGCCAGCGTCAGGTGGATCAGCCAGCAGAGGAGGTGGCCTGGGGCAGGTCACCTCCCTGTCTTGGGCTTGTTTCCCCATCTATGTCGTGAATGGGGTGGGAGGGGATGGATAGGTAGTCTATGTGGCCGGCCTGTGGCACAGGGCGGAGAGGTCAGGGTGGGGGCTCTGGATAGGGTGCGGCATGGAGTCCCCAGGGCTGCTCGGCCAGCGTGTGGCCCGCCACCTGGAGGACAGGCCACTGCCTGCAAACGATGCCCGCCCTGGAGGCCAGGAACCATCTGTAGCAAAGAACTCTAGCTGTAGGATGTGCTCTTGTCACTGCAGAGAAATCCCTGAGGCCTTTGGACACCCCCTCCCCGGGGTTATGTCCCTGTGCCTGCTACATATCCTGTGAAACCCACTGAGCATCTACTCAGAGATGGTGGGTCCCAGCTGCTGCCCTCAGGGACCTCAGTCCAGTGGCCCCAGGGCCAAGTGGTGGTAGCCGGTGCTGGGCCCGAGGGTCAGGACGCTGATCACAGGCCCCCTCTGGCCCCACTTGAGGCAACCCTCAGGGGGATGTTAACCTGAACATTCTCTCCTGCCAGCCGCCCATCAGCCGGCCGCCGTCCCGGGAGACCGACTACACAGCGTACCCCTGGTGAGTGGGTCAGTAGTGGGGGGCCCTGCAAGCCCGTGAGCAGGCTGGGTTGGGGGTCCCCAGGCTACCTCTTGCTTGTCTCCAGGGTGGCTGGGCTGTGGCTGGCCGTATGTCCCTGAGATCCTGGGGGAGTCTTCTCTACCCCAAGGCAGGTTTTCCCCATGATGAACGAAAACAGGCCATCAGGTGCGCTCTTTTTACACAAGCCTCATCGTATAAAATGTATGAAAAGTGGTATATTTGAGGCCAAATTTGCAATCGCAAGTCTACTCATGGAGTGGCTCAATGAGGACCGAGGCACTGTTGGGATTAATGAGAGCCTGTAGGTAGACATTCGAGGAATGAGTCACAGATATGGGTCAGCTGGGGGGCCCAGCTTTTATGGCCCTGCCTGCCTATCACCCGGCTGCCTTGAAGAAGGACCGGCCTTGGTGGTTGTAGCTCCCATGTTCCATGCCCTGGTGGTGGCCACAGAGCAATGGGCAGCTTAAGTGCCGTAAACCCCTGCCCCAGGCACATCTGGCCTCAAGGTGTTCAGCTGGGGGCTCACCCCTGGCCCCCCGGTGTCCCGGCCACCCTGGGCCGGGTCTCTCCCTCCAGGTCAGAGATGCCCTGGATCCATCTGCCTGTACCCTTCACCCCGCACTTGTGCTCAGGCTCACAGGTCCAGGCCTGGCCTGTGATTTGCATTTGATGGAGTGACAGCTTCTGTCTCCTGGTGTAGATTCTGTCTCAGTTGCATGTTGTTTGTGAAAGTCCCCAGTTGGTCTGATGGGGCGAGGCCAGATCTGTTTGGTGGGTGGTGGTGGGGCTCACCTGGCTGTCTCGGGTTGGGCTCCCCTTCGGTGAAGGGGCATCTTTCTGTCTGTCCAAAACCCGTTAACAGAGATGGCAGCAGGCTCCCATGTGTCACAGCAGAAGTAAAAACTCTGCATGAGAGTTTTTATCTCTTATGTGCTCTTCAACAGTGAAAACTTAGAAATTTGCCTTAATGCTTATGTGACGCTGAGCACCTCCTGGAGGCCGGGTTCTGTAGAAAACACGTTGGAGCCGGGCTGAGACCCAGGGTCCTTATTCCTCCCCATGACGTTCCCCTGCCCACATGCTCCTCCCCAGACGCTCACTGCGCGGGTCAGCGCTGTCACAGAGGCCCGGGTGTCCTGGGGAGGGGAGGTGGCACCAGTGTTAACCTCCTGCTTCCTCCCACCTGCTAGGTTTGCAGGCAACATGGAGAGGCAGCAGACAGACAACCTGCTCAAATCACATGCCAGCGGGACCTACCTAATCAGGGAGCGGCCGGCCGAGGCAGAGCGCTTTGCCATAAGCATCAAGTACGTGGTGGTGACAGGGTCAGGGTGACCTCTCCCCCAGGGCCACTCTGAACCACGAGCCCACATCCTCCTAGAATCCTGTGCTTGTTGGCTCAGGGGTGCCCATGAACATTATTGCCCAGAGCAGGACACTTCTGAGATGTAAGGGTGTCAGTGGGTCTGCCTGGCCTGGCCAGCCGGGGACATGTGTGCATGCTCTGCCCAAAGCCACCAGGTAGGGTTGGTCCCCTGTTTTCCCGGTTCAGGGGATCACACAAGCGCAGGTGCCAGAGTGGGGCAGGGCTGCTAGAAGAGGTTGGGGACTTCCCAGCAGCCCCGCTGGTGGGCATTGGAGTAAATGGGAAGGTTACTCTACTATGGGTTTGTGGCTTCAGTCAGGGGCCTTTGGTCTGGGTGTCCTCCTGCCCAGAAGAAGCCCCCTTGTACATCCGCTACCACCCCTGATGGTTCTTGGTCACCATTGGCATAGGATGCCCACTAGACATCCTGGGTCAGTTCCTGACAGCCCATAGGCTGGCAAATAGTGGAGTCTACCTGCGGGGTCTCCAGGGGGCCCCACAAATGCTTAAAGCCTGAAACCAGCCCTCTGGCCCTAAAGTACTGAGAGCTGAGAACAACATGGGAAGTGACCAGTGTCCAGTGCAGTAGCTGGACATGGCCCAGGGGCTGGGTATGCAGGGCCTGTTCCCCAGCAGAGGTTACCTACCACATACCTGCTGTGGGCAGGGGGAGTGTTGTAAGCATTGACAGCACAGTGGGCTCTGACAGTCTTGGTCAGGTGCTGGGAGGATGTGGAGGGTGGGCCGCGTGGCTGGTCAGCGGTGGAGGCAGCAGGCCAGCAGTGAGCAGTGAGTGGCAGAGATGTCATTCTCCTGATGGGAATTCATGCAGCACCTTCTGTGTGCCTGGCCTGCAGGGCTCCTCAGTGGGGCTGAGACTGGCCCAGGGGGCTTGGTGTGGGGTGAATATCCCCCCCACCTCTGCGTCTGGCTGACCTTAAATCCCAGAGAAACAGCAGCTGGTCTACAAAGGACCCCCCCAGGAGAGGACGCTGGCTGGCCAGCATTTGATTAATTGCCAGCTATTTGTTCCATAACAGATATCCAGTTGTTAAACTAGCCTTGCATTCCTGGAACGTTGCATTTGGTGTGGTGTAAATGTTTGATTTATACAGGCAGACACGTGAGGAGAGATTGGGTTGGCTGGTGATTTGCTGAGGACTTTCATATCTATAGTTGTAACAGTTGTAACAGGCTGATGTGCTTCCTTGTCCTGTGATGTCTTTGGCTTTGGTACCAGCCGGCAGAGGGCTGGAGTGGAATGTGGGGAGGAGGGGGTGTGGGGAGGCTCTCCAGTGAGGTCATATTTGAACTGAGCCCCGAGGACGCAAGCCCAGGAGGTGAGGATGGCAGAGGGGCAGCCCTGACAGGCTTGTGCATGGCCAGTCTGGGGGATGCCCATCAGCCGGAGTGGACGGTGTGGAGGAGAGTATTAGGGGACCGTGTTGGAGCCAGCTGAGGCTGTTTCCCTGGGGCCTTGGGCCGGGGCCAGACCCTTGACTTACAAACCAAGCTGTGGAGGTCTCAGCAGGTGGTGGGAAACGGGGAGGAGGAGGAAGGTGTCCTCCAGTGCAGAGAAGAGGATGAGCAGAATCCCGGGACAGGAGGTCTCTGAGGGCTGGATGGAGCTGTGGGCTTTGGGGCCTGGGGTCCTACAGGCTGACCCCAGAGTTTGGGCTTCAAAAAAACAACGTTGGACTGACAGGTGGCAGGCAGCAAGAGAGAGGCTCAGGCTGGGGTAAGAGGGCGAGGGCAGCGGTCTTAGCTCCAGCAGACAGGTTATAAGCCTGGACCCCAAGGCCAGAGAGGCCACGTGGCCCAAGAGTGACCTCCCAGGCCCGCACACTTTGCCCAGGTTCAACGACGAGGTGAAGCACATCAAGGTGGTGGAGAAAGACAGCTGGATCCACATCACAGAAGCGAAGAAATTTGAAAGCCTCTTGGTATGTGATCCTGCGGCTTCTGTGTCCTGGTTCCGAGGCATCAGAAAAGGGCCCTGGGGTCCCACCGACGCCATACCAAGGAGAAGCAGCTCCGGCACCCCACTCCCCGAAGGCCACGCTCCGAGAGGGCCAAGAGGCCGGCAGGGCTTCTGCGTGGCTGGGGAGGAGATCCAGGGAGGTGGGCGTGGCAGGCACCTCGTGACAGCCCCCACGTTGGGACCTCAGCCCCCAGAGGGCTCCCCATGGAGGACAGCGGGGGTGGGGGGGCCCACCTGCCCGGCCTGCACCACTGCAGCCAGCGAGGCTCCTCCCAGGGCCCGGCCCTGCCGCCCAGCCTCTTCCCGCTGTCCCCTCCCCGGCCGGAGTGCAGGTAAAGGCACAGGCCTTCTAACGCGATTTTCAAATTAGACCTATTGTCTTTTCTGACTTACAAGTGTTCCGTGTACCAAAAGGACGTGACCCAAGCACCTGAGCCCTTAGCCCACTGTGGCCCAAAAAGCACAAAGTAGAAAGTATCCACAGCCCCCCCCTGCCCTCCCCCCAAGCCCCAGTGTTAACGTTCCAGGGTGAGTCCTCTCGACCTCCAAGAATAGCTCAGGTATGGTTTATGTGACGGTTTTCAAATGAAACCGTTGGCCACAGCATACATTGGCCTACTTTGCAACATGATGAGCTTCTCCATCAGCATGGAGAGCCTCTCCTCTCTGGGGATCAAGGAGATGAGTCCCAAGTGAAACTGAGGAGGGAGAGGGAGGCCAGGGCACCTGGGAGGACTGCCTGGGGGCGGTGACCGCAGCAGTGAGCATAGGTGTCCTGCAGGAGCTGGTGGAGTATTATCAGTGCCACTCACTCAAGGAGAGCTTCAAGCAGCTGGACACCACGCTCAAGTACCCCTACAAGTCCAGGGAGCGTGCAGCCCCCAGGGCCTCCAGCCGGTCCCCAGGTAACACCCGGACGGGTCCCTTCTGCCCGTTTCCCACAGCCCTGGCTTTCACTGCCTGCCTATCCCTGAGGAAGGCTCTCTGAGGGACCAAAGCTCACCCCCAGGGGCCGTGGCTCAGGGCCCCACAGCCCTTCACAAGCACACTCCTGAGCCGGGGGTCCTGGTTGGTCTATGTGACAGCTCAGTGTCTTGGCACCTTTGCCCAGAGGTCAGCGTGGGGTCCCATCTGTCCCTCGATCCCTCCCTGTCCCCCAGCCCAGGACAGGGGGGTGCCTCACTCCAGGCCCACTGCAGTTAGAGGCAGGGCGAGCCCAGAGTGTTTGAAGTGCAGCCCAGGACTGTCCACTGTGTCACCCCACATCCCCTGGGCTGCGGGCCCTGTGGGATGGCGGGTCCCCCCAGGGAGAGCAGGTCAGGAGAGGAACGGGGGGCCTTCAGCGAGGGTCCCCCCAGGGAGAGCAGGTCAGGAGAGGAAATGGACCTTCAGTGGGGGGGCCCTCAGCCAGGGTCCCCCTGAGGAGAGCAGATCAGGAGAGGAACGAGGGGCCCTCAGCGAGCACCTAGCGTGTGTTGGGGGAGAGCCTGGCTCCTGCAGGAATGGTTTCAGAAGCCCCAGGGCCAGCCTGCCACTGGGAGGAGGGGGTCCCATATTCTGCAGGGGACAGGCCCAGCGAGGTGGTGGAGGGGCAGCTCAGAGGCTGGGCCCTGGCCCCATGCCCTGCCCTGCACTCTGCCTGCCACTCCAGGGGACGCACCTGCCTGGGGAGGCATCTGCCCGTGGCCCGCTTTCACGTTCTTTCTCGCCTCTTTGCAGCTTCCTGCGCTTCCTACAACTTTTCTTTTCTCAGTCCTCAGGGCCTCAGCTTTGCTTCTCAGGGCTCCTCCGCTCCCTTCTGGTCAGGTACCGCCAGCGCTCGGGGCATGGGGGGGCCTGGCCTGCCGCCCGCCCACCCACCCACCCACAGCCCCTGCTCAAAGCTGCCCCCTACCCCCAGCCCGGCGTGGGGCAAGGGGGGAGGGGCTGGGGCCAGGGAGGGAGGGGTGCTGCCGCCAGGGCAGGGCTGAAGATGCCGGCGGGCCTGGTGCTCCCCCCTCACTGCTGGTGCCTATCAGACACGCACACCCCGACGGCCGCTCCCTGGCCTGCCAGCCACCGTCCCTCCTTGCTTGCTGAGAGCTCTGCCTCTGGTAGCGGCAAACAGCTGGGCGGTCAGCCTCAGGGTGAAGGTGGGAGCAGACCGGGTGGGCCCTGGAGGTAGGGGGACAGGGTGCCACTTGGCCCCGACTGCTTGGCCCTCTGCTGCCAGAATCAGAGCCCCTCCCCAGCTGCTGTGTGTGTCCCCTCCCCACTATCACGGTCATTGTCCCCTGCTCAATGGGACTCCTGGGTCCCCAGCTGAGTGGGTCCAGTCAGGTGTCCAGTTTGTATTGGGAATCTGGAAAAGGGGCCCCGGGACCCTGGGGTCTGGTTCCAGGTGCTCCATCAGAGTGCAGGTTGGGAGCTGGGCAATGGTTACTCCGCTGAACCGCTGGCCAGGTGTGCAGGGGGAGGCCCTGTGGGGGTTGCAGTGGTCAGAACATCAGCATCTGCTCTGATCCCATGATCACACTCGTGGGCCGGGACAGCTCCCACTGTGGCTATTGGCTGCTCTGAGTGCCTTCGGGGGAGGCCCGGAGAGGCCATTGCTTATAGGTCTGGGCAGAATTGGAGAGTAGTCTGTGCCCTCAGAGCCTTTGTGCTGGACCAGTCTCCTCTCTGGGTAGGACCAGGCACCAGGGGGACCAGGCTTGGCCCCGCTGCCAGCCAGGTGACCCTGCCCATCCCTCCCAACAGTGTTCACTCCCCGTGTCATTGGCACAGCCGTGGCCAGGTACAACTTTGCTGCCCGGGACATGCGGGAGCTCTCGCTGCGGGAAGGCGATGTGGTGAAGATCTATAGCCGCATTGGAGGGGACCAGGGCTGGTGGAAAGGCGAGGCCAATGGACGGGTAAGTGGGGCAGATGCAGCATGACTCAACCTGGCCAGGTCCAGGCACACTGGCACCTTAGCGTGGCCTGGCCCAGCACTGTGACAATGCCCTCTGAGTCACAGATCCGAGCTGCCCAGGTTGGAGCTGGATCCAGGCCCGCCCGACCCTGCATCCTGTTCAGTGCTCAGTCCTGTTCTGTGGTCCTCTGTGGCCACTGCAGGGGGATGTGCTTTACACACACTCTTCATGTTCTTTGCACGTCCCCAAGCCCTTTCTGCAGGCAGAGGAAACTTCAGGTTGAGAGCAGGGCCCAGGAGTCCTCACTGGCCTCACGCACACCCTGGGGAGATTGGAAGGGGCACACCAGGTCCCGCCCTGCCCCTTCATGCCCTTCCTGGAGGACTCTGTCTTCCCTGTGCACCCTGTGACCCTGCAACACTCTATGGCCCCTTATCCCTGTCCCCCATCTGGACCTCTTGGTTTTGACCCGGTTCTGTCAGCACTCACCCAGCAGGGTACTGGAGCCCTACATAGGGCTGACTTGGAAGCGTCCAGCTATCCATGGGGCTGCTGCTGCCTGCGGGCAGGTACCTGGGCTGTGGAGGGTTGGCCTGCCTTGATTCCCACTGCCTACTGTTCTGTTCCTAGGGGGCGGGAGCTGGTCTGCCTCCATCTAGGCCTCCTCAGAGGCCTCAGGTCAGACCCATTTCCCTCCCCACAGCCGTTCAGAAGTGTGAGGCCCCTGAGTCCTAGGCAGCTGACTTGGAGGGCTGAACCTCTAGCTGTCAGAGTGGCCCTTGGGGAGCCAGCGCTGCAGGTACCTGGGGCTGTAATTCAGTGAGGACCTACCTACCTGAGCCCTCCTCACCCTACTCACAAAGGTCCTGAATAAGCCAGTGTCCTGGGTGATACAGAACTACTAGTTTAGAGCATCACTAGATATTCCTTATCTTACACAGATTTTTTAGAGCTAATCTAACAGTCTCTGCCTTTTATTTTTTTAATTTTTTATTTTTTTTCTGCCTTTTAATAAATGTAGGTAGCCCATTTATGTTTAATGTAATTACTGAGCTACTTGGATTTAAATCCATCATGTTTCTGTATATTTTCTAGTTGTCACATCCATTTCTTCTTTTTCCTCTCTTCTTGCCTACTTTTGAATTAATCAGTTGTTGATTTTTTTTTTCCTATTTTACTTCCTGCCTCCTTGGTGTGTCTGTGAGTTACACATTATTTTCCTATTATTTAGGTAATTAACCTTAGGGATTACAGCGTGCACTCTGACTTCTGAGAGCCCATTTTAAATGAGTACTTCTACTACCCAGATAATGCAAAGACCTCACAACTTTTGACTGTGTTCAGGTTTCTCCCAACTTTTTTGTAGGTGTCATCACATATTTTAACTCTACATATCTTTCAGCCCTGTAAGACATTATTTTTGTTTGAAACAGTTAGTGTTTATTTAGAGTTACCACCTATTTACCTTCCCCAGGGCTCCCCATTCCTTCTTGCTTTGTTTTATTTCCACCCAAAACCATGTTCCTGCTGCCTGAAATTCCCTCTTCTGGGTATGTTTTTTAGTGTGAGTCTGCTACTAATAAATTCTCAGTCTTTGTTGGATCTGAACATCTCTTTATTTCACTTTTTTTTAAAATGTTTTCATTATAAAACATTTGTATAGTGACACAATTTCAAACCTAGAGGAAAGTTGCTATGGCACAAAAAGCTCTCACATGCCCAGATTTACCAAGTAAGAGTGGTTTGCACGTTTGCTTTATCATTTGTGTTCTCTTTCCCTCTCTGCTTATTTTTCTCTTAACCCTTCAATGTAAATCACAGAGATCCTATGCTTTCCTCTCTAAGCCCCTAATTACCTCAATGTCTTATGATCAAAGACATTCCTCTTTGATAGAATATGATTATCTCCTCCCTGGTCCATATTCAGATGTCACTAGTTGTCCCAACCATGGCTTGTCTACCTAAACCAATTGCATTTACTTGCTATGACCCTCAACTCTCTTCTAGAACAATCCTCAGCCTTTCTCAGTCTTAACGACTGGCATTTTTGAAGAGTACGGGCCGGTTATTTTTGTAGACTTTCCTTCAATTTAGGTTTGCTATTTCTTCGTGATTAGGTTGAGGTTATATATTTTCATAATGCAGCTATTGTATCCTTTTCAGTCCTGTAGTGTTTTATCCAGATGTGTCATCCTTGGGCAGGGGCCATGCTAATCTTCTCTGTATTGTTCCAATTTTAGTATACATGCTGCCAAAGCAAGCACTCCAGACGTGTATGAGGTCCACTTGTCCCATTATTGTGCCATTAATTTTGATCATTTGGTTAAGGTGATAGCTGCTGAGTTTCTCCACTGTGAAGTTACTGTAATTAATTAGTAACCTCCAGGGTAATACTTTAAAATTATTAAGTATCCTATTCCACATCAAATTTCACCTCTTATTTTTATCATTATCATTGGTGAATTTTCTCATCAATTATTCATATCGTGGTTGAAAAACAGTGATTTTCCAGCCATTATTTCTTTAAAACTTATTAGGGGGCATTCTACTGTAAGGGACAGCCTTCTCTTGGTCAACCCCTTGGGGGTCAGTGATCCCTCCAGTGGGACCGGTTTCCTTTTTGTGGGAAATTGTATTGAGCTCATTTTCAAATAGTATTCTTCAGGGGATTAATTTGAGGCTAGCAGGTGTTTTATTTGGGCACTTTGGTGATGTCATTCCATTGTCCCTGGTTCCATAATTTCTGTGAAGAGCCAGCCAACTTCTTTTTTTCAAGGGGGGGTGGGAGGCAGATGGAGAAGGAGAGAGAGAATCTCAAGCAGGCTCCACACCTAGTGCAGAGCCTGACTCAGGGCTGGATCCCACGGCCCTGAGATCATGACCTGAGCTGAAATCAAGAGCTGGACACGTAACCATCTGAGCCACCCAGGTGCCCCAGGAACCAGCCAACTACTTAACACTGCTCCTCTGCAAGAAATGTTTCCATTACTCCCCAGTAGGTTATATATTAAAAACAAAAAAAAGGAGAAAAGTCTGATTTTCATTAGTTTTACTATAATGTGCCCAAGTGCTTTTTTTTCTGTATTCACTCTGCTTGAGATTTGTAGACTTTTTTTAAAAAAAGATTTTGTTTATTTATTCATGAGAGACAGAGAGGCAGACATAGAGAGAGAAGCAGGCTCCATACAGGGAGCTCAATGTAGGACTCGATCCCAGGACCCCGGGATCACACCCTGACCCGAAGGCAGACACTCAACCACTGAACCACCCAGGCGTTCCTGTAGACTTTTTAAAAAATCTACAGCTTGGGGATCCTTGGGTGGCTCAGCGGTTGAGCCCCTGCCTTCCGCCCAGGGCATGATCCTGGAGACACGGGATCCAGTCCCACGTCGGGCTCCCTACATGGAGCCTGCTTCTCCCTCTGCCTGTGTCTCTGCCTCTCTCTCTCTCTCTCTCTCTCTCTCTCTGTGTGTGTGTGTGTGTCTCTCATGAATAAATAAATAAAATCTTTAAAAAAATAAAAAATAAAATAAAATCTGCAGCTTGATATCTTTCATTGGTGTAGGACCTTTCTTCAAACAGTGAACCTGCTCTGTTTTCTGTTCTCTCCTCCTGGGGCTGTATTCACTTGGGTGTCAGGTCTTTCTATCACAGTGCAAATGTAATTTACCTCGTTGTCCGTGTTTTCACCTGTTCCCGCATTTCCCATCTAGCTACTTTTCCCTGGCACATCCTCCAGTTCACCGTCTTCTCTTCCGCTTTGTCTAATTTTTTGCTAAATTCTATTAGAGTCTTAATTTCAAGCATATTTTCTATTTCTAGGATTTCTATTTGATTTCTGGTTGCAGTTCATTGGTACATTCTTATGCCTTTATCATCAGTTTTCTGAAACAAAGATGTTAGAGTTATTTACATTTCCATCCTGGATGACCTGCAGATTGGTGTCTGTTACCTGCATTTTGTCATGGGGTCCAACTGAATAACGAGCTTGTGTATAAAACACCATTGAGGCTGGGGATGATGTTCTTTTCCTCAGGGAGGATTTAATTTTTTTCTGGCTGGCAGGTAGATGGAGAGCAAGTCATGTGGAGCTGTACCTGCCCTGGGCCACAGCTACCCCAGCCTCTTGGCCTTTGCCAGAGCACCCCTTGGAGCAAGCCGGGCTTAGAACTCCAGGCTTTTGAAGGACCCCCCCCATTTCCGGGAGCCCCTGCTGGCCTTTACCCCGGCACAGGTACAGACATGTGCACATGCACTCTCATGTAATCCTGCCATCTTTTGCAGATCGGCTGGTTTCCTTCAACATATGTAGAGGAGGAGGGCATCCAGTGACAGTGACAACGTGGACAGGACTCGTGGATTTTCTCGGGAGAGTCCAGCTCTGAAATCTGTCCCTAGCCCTGTGACGCAGAAGGGACGTGCCCGCCAACCTTCAGTCTTCAACAGCCCATAGGGATGGGGAGGGTGTTCAAAATCCTAAATGCGAACCGGCCCACCGTCAGTCTGCCCCCAGTGACCTGCCCTGGGTACGCTACTTGTACATAGAGGCGAGCTGGGCCAGCTATGCCATGGCTGCCACCACCAGAGCGCCGAGGAGAGGCAGCACCCGTGGTGTTCTGAGCCAGGCTCTGGTGACAGCTGAGGCTAGAGCTCATCTTGCTCCGTCCCATTGAGACAGCATCCAGGAGCCTAGGTTGGAACAGCAGGTGCTGTCCTAGGGAAACCTGGGACAGCAGAAGGGACCCTCCCCCAGCCCCTTCTGCTCAGCCCTACCGCTCAGCCTGCCGCCTTCCTGCTGCTCCCAGGGGGAAGCTTCGGGCCTAGAGAGTCGGAAGGGACCAGAGCCAGGCCGTTTGCTGCAGCCTCTCTCAGCCCCAGCTGTGCTCAGGTGTGGGAGAAGAGAGCATGGGAAAGGAGTCTGTGCAGCCCCCTTGGCCTCCTCATGGCCCTGTGCACTAGGGCTGTGCAGAGCCCACCCAGGGCAGGTCCCTCTGTCAGGAGGGAGCCTTAGTGAACGATGAAGTTGCCCACCCTACCCCACAGTCATTGGTACTGTTCTTTGCCCTGAATCCCAGGAGTGTGTCTGTCCTGTCCTGCTGCCAGGTGGATACACCTTTTGTAAACCCTGATATGGGTGAGAAGAAAACAGAGTTTTCCCCTCGCTCAGTCCCTGCTGCTCACATTCCTCTCTGCGAGGAGTCCCCCAGCCCCCCCCCCACCAGCAGGTGGTTTCTGAGGGTCTCCCCAGCTTTGGCACAGGATGTTAGTTCTACCCCTCTGCAAGTCTTCCTCCTGTGGCCTGTGAACTGGGCCCATGGCCAGCTCAAAATAAGTGCTCTTGGAGGGTGGCCTCACCCCCTATACTCCCCCCTCCTGACTCCTCCTGGCCTTTGAGCTCTGGCTGCCTTGTCTGTACCCTTCTACTCTGCCTGGATGTTGCATGAGACCTAGTGATGCTGTCTCCCTGAGAGCTCCGTGCCAAAGCTCCTGGAGAAACCCAGGGTACATGTGTCCCCTGTCTGTCCCTTGGTCAGCTGCCCTGCCCTGTGTAGGAGGAGGGGACCAGGCAAGGCCAGGGGTGGGGAAGGCTAGCCCCTGCTAAGGTGGGTGCTGGTCGCACTCTGCACCGGGGAGTTCCTCTGAAGTCAGCCTTGTGGCCTCCAGGCTCAGCTTACATGCCCAGTGTCCTGGAAATGGGGAGGAGGCCAAGGAGGGGTCAGGGATAGTCAGCAGCAAGGGGAAGAGAAGAGAGAAGGCAGCCTGCAGAAGCTTGAGAAGTTAGGGTGAGCAGGATCCTGTGTGGGGGCAGAGGGGCAAAGGGGAGGAAAGCAAAGAGCTGGTCTTGGAGAGAGCAGTCCCGAGTCCCCATCATTAAGGGGCACCCAGCACTTTGCGTACAATCCTCGGCTCGGCCGGCCCAGCCATGAGCCCGGGGTGGGGGGAGAACCAGCCAGCCCCTTTCGTGTTTACTTTCGTCAAAAAGGTTTTTGCTTTTGTTGTTTTATTTTTGGTTTGGCTTGTTTGTATTTTAAGGGAAGAAAATAGTTTGTAATTATTTCATCCAAAGCTCCCATTATATATCTGTGAATAGTAAGGAAGATATTTTATATTAGCAAGAAAATGATGTATATTTGAGGTCATCGTGAAACAAGTCATCACGACAGAGAAGGATACTGAGGAAGCCAGAAGTCAGAACCCTGGTTTTTGTGAATGTTTTTGTTTTGTTTTTGTTTGTTTTGAAACATATGTTTGGTTTGGTTTGGTTTGGTTTTGCACTGCATGAGGCAGGAGGGGAGGTGGGCCAGGGGCAGGCTGGGCAGTGGGTGGCTTTGGCAGGAGTTGGGAGGCCTTCTGGAGGGGCTTTGGACTGGGGCCTGAGATTAGCTGTGAACACTTAGGAGCCCGATGCATGCGGGTCAGGGATCTGGGGGTCCCACAGCTGGTGACGACCCCAAATGGAATACAAACTGTACATTTGCCAAGAGGTTTTTTTCAGACCATAGTTTCTATTGCAAATAAACCTAAGTTCTTTTCTGCAGGAGTGGCTGGCCTTTCATGCCAGGGAGCAGGGAGTGGGTGGATCCTGTGTCCAGCAGAAATCGCCCCACCCACACACTGTCAGCCCAGGATATGGTGGCTGGGGTCAGAGACAGGCCTGGGGGGGGGGGTGAGGCAGCCATCAGAAGCATTGCCACTGTCTTCCCATTTGGGTGGGAGTCATCCCTAGCTCCACCACTCAGGCATGTTCTTCAGCTCATGAGCCTGTGTTTCTTTACATAAAGGAGATAAAAAATGAGATTCTGGAGAGGGTCTGTGGCCTGTGATAGAGAAAATCAGACTAGGCAGGCAGAAACTGATTTTTTCCCTTACGCAGAAGCAGTCCAGACAAGGTAGACTGGGGGGCTTGGTGTCCCACCTTCCAACCCAGGTTCCTCCCCTCTTTAGCATGTGTCTCTATTCTCACTGCAGCCTCATGGTCAAGGGTGGCTGTTAGAGCTCCTGCCATCAAGGCTATGGGCAGAGGCATAGGTTGGCACAGTGCTTCCCCTTCCCCTCCTTACCGAGAGCTGAGGCAAGTAGCCACTCCTGGCTGTGGTGGAAGCTGGGGACTGCAGGACCTGTGCGGCACACGGGGCTGCACTTTTTCGCTGTTACTGTATCCATGGGGTGGGTGACCAGCCCCAGGACTCACATCCGGGTTGTGAGGATAGAGTGAAACTAGGAGCCTGGTGCACAGCTGGTGCTCAGCAAGGGTCATATTTTGTTGCAGACCAGGGAGGCGAGTCCAGATGTTTGAGGTGACACAGAGGGTGTTGAATCCCACCCCAGCCCCAGTTTCTGGGACCCAGAGCCCCAAAGTCTGGCTCACTCTGATGCCCCTGAGAACCAGATAGGAGACCTGCCTTTTCTGGAGCAGCTCCCTCTCTGAGCGAATTTCTCAGGCATGAGGCCCCGAGAGGCCCAGTTGTCCCAACACCACCTCCCCCGAGAGCCAGCTCCAGTTTGAGTTCTCACACCGTGTAGGGGATGAATAGACTTGGACGCTTGCTCAGCAGTCCCTGGGCCAGAGGTCCCTGGCTGTTCTGAGCGGAGCTGAGCAAGCCAGGGAGAGCCCCAGGCCAAGACACACAGAGAGCCATGGTGGCTGGAGGGGAAGTGCGGATGGACATGGGGTTGCTGGGCGCTGGGGAGCTTAAGGGGTGTTGATGGTGTGGAGACCAGGAGGGAAGAGGAGCCTGTCTGCTTGAGGTCACCCCAGAATGTGGGAGAACAGATTGGAGCCTCACACTCCTGGCCAGAGGGCCTGCTGCCCATAGGGCTCTCAAGGCACCGAGGCATCATGCCCTTTAACTCTGACAAAGTGGACTTCCCTGGGTGGGGCCACTGCAGAGGCCGTTGCTTGGAGCTTTGGAAAAGTTCCCTGGACAAGAGATGGGAGCCACTTTCTGAGATAAGACGGATGCTTCTCTCCATTCCTGCACCACAGACATAGGAACACCATCTAAAACACAAGAGAGGGATCCCTGGGTGGCGCAGCGGTTTGGCGCCTGCCTTTGGCCCAGGGCGCGATCCTGGGGACCCGGGATCGAGTCCCACATCGGGCTCCCGGTGCATGGAGCCTGCTTCTCCCTCTGCCTGTCCCTCTGCCTGTGTCTCTGCCTCTCTCTCTGTGTGACTATCATAAATAAATAAAAAAAATTTAAAAAAAAAAATAAAAAAATAAAAATAAAACACAAGAGAATGCAAGGCTGGGCTTGGAACAGGGTGGCCTGTCCTGGGAAGGAGAGACACAAGCCAGAGCACATATGGGGAGCCGACACCAGGGTGGCCGCTAGGATCTCAGGCCCTTTGGGGCTGAGACCAGGGATTCTAACATTCAAGGCATTAGCTTCAGGATCTTGGGAGGCCAGGCCCCAGAACTGGGTTCCTGTACAAAACTGAGTATGTTGAACACCCCTATCATGAAAAGGAAATAAACACACGTGGATAAAAACCAAAGTCACTGAATGGGACAGAGGTTTCAATTGGTTTGTTAACTTTCCAGAAATAAGAGAATGAAAAGGCATAATATATCCCAAGACAAATGAACACAAAATGGTTAACCCTGAACTTTAGAAAAAAATCACAGATGTAGTCAAATTAAAAGATAATGTTACACCAAATAGATTTTAAAGCAAAGCAAAAGGCATCACTAGAGTTTTAAAAGGCTTGTTATGTAATGATATGGTTCTCATTTATTTGGAAACATCACAGCTTTAAAATAGTATGCTCTTCATCATATAACCTTAAAATAAAAGCAAAATTGACAGAACGAAAAGAATGAAACAAACTCACCATCATAAATCGGAGATTTTAATACAATTTTCTCTCCCTGTAACTGGAGAGCAAATATGGAAACAAAAAAAGAGTAAGGATAGAGAGTAGAATAACGTAGTTAGCTGTTGCAGATGCAGAACGTTGTGGCCTCTTGCAGAGTTCACATCATCCCATTAAGATCCACCTCATACCGGCCTGGAAAGATCTCCATGGATTTCAAATCTTATAGTTTAGCTTCTCTCACTCACCATGAAGAATAAGGTAAGAAATCAGAAGTGAAGGGTCAAGCCCAGGTGGCTCAGTGGTTTAGCGCCGCCTTCAGTCCAGGGCCTGATCCTGGAGTCCCGGGATCGAGTCCCACGTCAGGCTCCCTGCATGGAGCCTGCTTCTCCCTCTGCCTCTCTCTCTCTCTCTCTCTGTGTGTGTGTGTGTGTCTCTCATGAATAAATAAATAAAATCTTTAAAAAAATAAAAAGTTTATATAAAAAAAAGTGAAGGGTCACCTAGTGTCCAACTCTTTTTTTTTTTCTAGTGTCCAACTCTTGATCTCAGCCAGGGTCATGAGTTCAAGCCCCACCTTGGGCCCCACTCTAGGCATGGAGCCTACTTGAAAAAAAAAAACTAAAAAATTCATAAGAAATTTACATATGTTTGCAAATTAAGAAATCTACTTCTAAATAATAAACAGAAAATTCAAGGAAATTGTAAACTTTACTTTTTTTAAGATTTTATTTATTCATGACAGACACAGAGAGAGGCAGAGACACAGGCAGAGGGAGAAGCAGGATCCGTGAAGGAAGCCCGATGTGGGACTTGATCCCCGGATTCTGGGATCACGTCCTGAGCCAAAGACAGGTGCTCAACTGCTGAGCATCCCAAAAATTGTAAACTATTTCAAATTTATTCTTAAAATTTAAAAGATAGAGATACTTCATAACACAATGTATAGTATACTACTGAAACTGAACGTGAACCAAAATTGGTCACCTTGACAGCTTGTTTTACAAGAGCCAAGGACAAGAGGTAGGCTTTCCTTCTCTCAGGCTGAAACAAAGCATTGATTTCCTTGAACAAAAGTTCTGTGTCTCCGTTAAGCATGTTCAAATTATCTATTTAAAATGTAATTTTTCCAAGTAGAAAATTACAAATGTATTAAATGTGCGCAAATTACAGGGTTTTGAAATTGCAGCTCTCGTTCCGATGGCTCTGTCTCACCATGGCTTGTCCCCACGGTTGAGGGAGGGGGTGGCGATGGGGAGTTCCCATGATAAGATTTTACATGTGTGAGTTCAACAAGACTCCTGTTCTTCAGTCCTGGCTGCTGTGTTTATATTCCCTGATGATTTCGTTTTGATCCTTTACTTTCCCTAGAAAAGGAAAACCCGCACGTGCACATAGGATCTGTGTGGGAGTTCTGCTCACCTGGATTCTCTCTGGATAAACATGCTACATCTTGACACTCAACGTGCTATTAGGGCCATCATCACCCCCAGTTCTTTGCAGCTCCACACCAATGCCTTGATCTGTTAGGATTATGATCTGGCCCTGAGTGATGAACAGACTATAAGACAAGAGATTCTTGTTCCTTGCTCACCTAACAGTCTGGGTAGTGACCCTGGCACACAATGCCAGGGACCCAGGTCTTTCTGGGTTTTTTTTTTTTTTTCAGTACCTCCCCCCGCCCCCGGGTGTGGCCTCACAACTTCAGGGCTAAGGGTAGAGTTTAGGGGTTATTGGTTAGGGGAAGATTTAGGGTTAGGGTTAGGGTTTGTACTTGGCATCCTGTAGTTCAGAGACCTCTCCAGAGAATAAAACCTCAGACTTCTGCTTTTGGCCCCAGATGGGACTTCAGGTCCGGCCCGGAATCCACATTCCAGCCAATAGGAAGGAGAAGGGGCAGGGAAGGGACATGACCATCTCTTGAAGGACACCTGGAAGTTTCACCAACTCCCATTTGCCATAACTTGGCCATGTGGCCACACCTGGCTGCAAAGGAGGCTGGGAAATACAATTTTTCTTCTCTGATTACCGCAGGAGGACGAGAGATGGTGGGGGTGGGGGGGGGGAGGCAGGGAGGTGAATGGCGGCCGCCTCTGCCCATGAAGACCAATGACCATGAGGGGTCTATGGGGCAAAGGCTGGTGGTCGGGCCCCCATGAGGCATGCTTTGGGGATGGATGGATAGTCTTGATTTGTGGGGAAAAGAACGCTGGGCTTTCTCAGACTCCACAGTCCAAACCTACTTGGAATAATCCTCCAATCACTCACATAAACGAGCTTTACCTGCATCCTGTAGGCAGTAAAACCATGCACACTTGGGAGAGAACATCGGTTTTTGGGTTTGTTTGGGGAACATAGGTTTTTTTTTTTTTAAGATTTTATTTAAAAAAAAATAACGATTTTATTTATTCATGAGAGACACACAGAAAGAAAAGCAGAGACACAGGCAGAGAGAGAAGTAGGCCCCATGAAGGGAGCCCAATGCAGGACTTGATCCTGGGACTCCAGGAGCACGCTCCGGGCTGAAGGCAGGTGCTAAACCGCTGAGCCACCCAGGGATCCCCAAGAACATAGGTTTTTACTCCAACTGCCCTGATGGCTCTTTGGTCTGACATATTTTGTTTCTTAGGAAGAGAAATCTCTTCTGACACTACCTGTAAACCCTAAACCCTAACCCACATGCTGTGTGGGGGCATCATTTTTCCGCCCTGGTTAGTGAACTCTGCGGGCTCCACAGAGAAGGGACACATGGTGCTCCTAGGGGCAGGGCAGGCCGCTGGCCAAGGTAAGCGCCTCCTGTCTGTAGGCTGGGCTCTGCTGTTGTCACCAGCTGTGGAAGGGTCACGGCTTGGTGTCACACTCCAAAATAGGAATGTGCTGGACACCCGTGAGACATCAGGTCGCAGAAATATTGAAAGCAGAGCCATGGGAAAAGATGCACCAAGCAGGTGCCAAAGAAGGCGGATAGAACATTATTAGTGTGGGACTTAGAGCACTTTGGGGCAGAAAGCATTCTTCGAGTAAAAACGGTTCCCTGCAGCTGGCTCTGGCGGCTCGCAGGAGCCGCTCCTGTGTGTTGCTCTCCAACTCCACATTCAGTCTGACTCCTCGCTGGCAGCTTGAAACTGGCCCTGGTGGGAGTATTTACACCAAAGAAATCAGCCAACGCTCCCCACCTCAGGAGCTGATTGTTAAACATTTAGCAGCATCCCACTGGATAAAGAGGTTCGTTATTTCATGATAAAAAGGGACAATTAAATGCTAAACTATAATAATCTCGGAGCTGCGTAGACTTCACAGCATAGCCTTAAAATACATAAAATGAAAACTGACAGAATTATGGGGAGAAATGGACACATCCCACTAGGGGAGGGGTGTCTCACGGCTCCCAGAAACTGAGACAAAGCCAGCAGCCAACAGGAAGGAAGCTTCCTGCCAGGGCCATGTTCCGTGAGAAAAGTGTGAGAGCCAGACCGAGCCCGGACTGCTGGTCCTAGGGTGGACCCACCTTCCGGCCTGCCTGTGGGTCCCCACTCCCCGCATGTCCCTGTCCTGGGGCTGCGCCCTTGCTCTGGGGCCAGCTCTCCCAGGGTGTTGTACTCGTGTGACCACTAGGGCGGTGATGTGGCCTGAGAGGGCTGACCACCCCGGGGTGACCAAGCCCCCCCACCCAAGGTGAGTTGCTGCCCTCACCTAAGCACCCAGAGGGCTTTCAGATCCCAGGGCCAAAGACAGCTTTTCCCAGGCCTCTCACACTCCAAGGCGAGACCCACATTTCCCCAGCTGGGTTCTTGTTTTGGGGTGCTCTGCGCCCCCTCAATAGGAGAGAGGAAGCTGTCTTTACCTCAGGCAATGCCTGGGGTCCCGGCCAGGGATTGAAAAGCAAAGCTCCCAGACATCAGCAAGGGAATGCAAAAGGACAATTTTGCAGGGTGGGGTCAGGGGCCAAGTGGTAAAACAGGCCCACCAATGGGCCTCTGGGTGGGTCCCCAGCAGCCTGTGTGTCCCAGCTTCTCACGGGGAGCTTGCAATTCTAGATTTTTATAGGAAATCTCCAGGGTAGCACCTAGGAAGATGTAAGCACAGCCTGAATCATGGGGGAAAACAGGTTGCTGGGGAGGCCTCCTGCCTCCACCCCCTACCCCCCGGGACGGCTAGGGTGAGAACCTGGAGGGTTTGGCTGACCTATGCGGGGGTCTGGGTGGTGTTTGTGGGGTCTCGTGCCCGTGGCCACTGTGTCTCCATCCTCACCTCCCAACACCCTTGGCAGCAAGATCCTCCGAAGCTGCATTCTGTCTCCTTGCTGGACAGTCGTGGCCTGAAGCTGCACCCCCACCCCTGCCCCTGCCCCAGGTGATCTGTGAAGCAGTGGCTCCCATCGGGTCCTCAGGAGCTCAGCGGAGGAAGCAGCCAGTTCCACCCCCACATTCACTCACAATTTGTGGGACAAGCCACAGGGTGAAGTGGGAGCCCCAGGGCCCTGCACAAAGCTGCCCATAGACGCTGTGGGTGTCCCAGGACTCGAGAGACATGTGGGCCTCCCATTCCTGGGGTCGCCTGCGTACAGGTGGCCACGGCCCTGAGCATGTGCCGAGGGGCCAGGAGGCCACCTGCCTCCGGAGAGGGACCACCACTTAGCCCTGGATGAGGAAACACCCTATCTCCATGAGAACATGGGGGTCATTGATGTAGTGTATGTTAGGGTCTTTATTGGAAAAATAAAATCTTGAAAGTATAATTGCAGCCCTCAAAGTTGTTCTGGAAACTTCCGATTGCTGAATTGCCCGGGTCTGGCTACCCTGGGCTGTGTTCCGCCAGAGTCCATGTCACTGATCATTTCTTCCCTCTGAGGGGACACGTGTGAAGTGCTCAGCTCACTGCTTGCCTCCTGGAGGACCCCACCTCGCAGAGGCCCCTGGGGTCAGATGTCAGCAAGTGCTGTCATGTGGGTATTGACTGTCCCTCTTTTGCAGGGCCTTGCATGGAGCTCTGTGAAGGATCCTCCTCCCTGGCCCACCCCCTTATCCACCCTGGATGTCTGCCCAGTCAGAGGGCGGCCTGCAGATGCCTCCCTCTGTCCTGGAAGCCTGGCCAGCTGCGGGGGTGGAGGGCTGGCCAGGGCCTGTGGCGAGGGCGCGGGGGCGGGGAGGAGGCCGGCCCACCACAGCAGAGGTCCCAGGGCAGGGGGAGGGCTGCTGGGCTGGACGTCACCCCTCACCCCCAGGGGGGCAGCTGTGATTGCACTTTGCCCCCTGGTTTTCTTCAAAGTGCGCTAAAGATAGAAGATGATATGCACAGGAAAACTTAGAAAACTTCCCTAAACCTGACACTGCGGGGGTTATAGTCCGTACCTCCCAGATGGAAACTGAGGCTTGGCCAGAGGAGACCAGCCCAAGCTGGTACAGCAGGTTGGCAGCAGAGCCTGCCTCAGCATCCCTGGCTGGAGCCTGGGCACCTCTGGAGTGGTGCCCTCCACCCCCCCCACCCCACCCCACCCCCCCCCCCCGCCCAGGGGAGACTAGGTGGCCCATCCCCCTCCCAGGCCTGCACAGGGCCTGATGGATCACATACCCTACAATGCTGACCTACGGCCAGGCCCAGCCCCCAGCCACCTCCCCGGGTCCAGAGTTCAGGGCAACTGTCCCGCTCACTGGCTGGGGACGATTTTGCACCAGCTGTTCGTCTTTGAGTGTGGGGCTAGGAGAGGTCTGGGCGGCCTTGGCCGCCACCCTGGGGCTGCAGTGACCACTGGGTCTGTCGCCCCTGTGCCTCCTATCTAGGGCTCTGAGGGGCATGCAGCCATGATCCTCCTTCATCCTCCCTGACCTGTCCACCCCATCGAGTGAGTGCAGCCTGGCCCCGGGCTGCTGGTCAGCCCCCCCATCTGCTGAGGGCGCTGGGCCTATGTCCGGCACCAGGGAAGACTCACATTGCTGGGGCAGCCTCCCTTAGCAGAGTGAGTGACGGACGGTCTCTGTCCATGTGCTGGGGACAGGCCAGAGCCCAGGCCACTTCCTCAAAGATTCTGGAAGGAAGGGCAGCTTGCTCAGGAGCACCAGCGTCGTGGCAGCGCACTCTCACGCTAAATCTGTCTTCTTCCCAAACCCGGAGCCCTTCAAGGGCTCTTACTTGTCTCTGGGTCTTCTAGCCATGCTCTGCATACAGTAGGTGCTCAGGAAACGTAGAGGACAGACAAACTGGGAGCAAGACAGAGAGTTGGACAATTAAGAGTGAAATAAAGAACGAAAATAGGAACATGATTATGTGGTCATCTGTATTAACTACCGTGTATCACTCCTACGGTTGGTTCTTCTGTCAGGAGCCAACAGTACCAATCCTACCTAACCACAGTTTACACTCTAGGGTCCTTGATCCCTGGGAGGAGGAGGTCCCCTTTTATGTTGACACCTAATCTGGTTCTTCTCACACTCTTCTCAGAGGTATGGTGCGGACTCTTCCTGGGTGTCCTCTGGGTGTCTCCTCTGGGCACCGACAGGATGCGGAGACCCAGAGACAGGACGCCCGAGGCCCAGAGGCTTGTGGTCTGGCTCCCCCAACACTTGCTGTGTGGCCCGAGGCAAGCTGGCGCCCCTCTCTGGGTTCCAGTGGCCGGCGGACGCTGGCACTCTTGCCCCAGGGAGCAGGGTGCCATGCGGTGGGCAAACCAGAGGTCAGGGACATCTCACAAAGCACGGCAGGGGGGAGCCAGGAGCTCTGCAGACTTTCCCGCCTGCCTCTGCGGGCAGTGAGCACCCCTTCCGTGGGAGTGAGCAACAGGCCGGTGCTTGCCAACGCCCTGGACCACTTGCCAAGGAGCCCGCGGAATGCCACAGGGCCTGGCACAGCCCGATTGCTTACCCAGTGCTTTCTGCCCACGGCCTGTGCGCCAGGCTCATTTCGCGGCCTGGGGAGCAGGGACAGGCACCGGCAGGCAGGGGTGCCCGGGGCCACCCGCAGCATGAGGGAGTGAGGCACCTGCCCCCTCACCCTGTTCGCGGCCCTGCTCTGCTGCCAGCCTGGTTGCTACCGGGGCCTGCCAAGGCAGAGGCGGGGCGGGGGGCGGGGGGCGGGGGCGGGCCATCCCGCCCCGGGGTGGGCGGCGACAGGGGGGCGGCGGGCGGCCGGGGCGGGGCGGGGTGACGGGGAGGCAGGCGGCGCGTCCAGGGGGCGGGCCGGGGCTGAGAAGGAAGGAGGGGAGGCTACCCTGCAGCCCCTGGGCGGGGCCCCGGCAGCCTTAGGGGCCCAGGTCGGCGGGAGGTAGGCCCCTCGGGAGGAGCAGGGCCCGGGCCCGCCCCCGGGGCAGGCGGGGTTGCCCCAGGGCTTCTCTCGGCCTCCGCTGCAGAACCGTCTGGCCGGGTGGGCACGGCCGCGGGTCCCTGTGTGCGTGGCGGGGGCCTGGGCGCCGCCCTCCCTGCTTCACCGGGCGAAGGCTGTGCCAGCGCTTTTGTCCGCCAACGTCCTTCAGCCCTCAGCCCTGAGGAGGGCTCCTCTGAATCCTCCTGCTGGATTCGCCGCTCAGGTGAAGTCGCTCAAGTCCCCACGGGTCCCTCTGCCCCCGGGCCTGGGCTGTCCTGCGCCCCGACTCCTGGGGACGCGGCCCCGCTGCTGACCCGCCGGCAGGGAGTTGGAGAGGCCCGGGAGCAAGTTAACGTTGAAGCAGCTGCTCTGGCGGGAGGGGCGCCTCCAGCGGACCCCCCACTGCCCAGCGGGTCAGCCCGCGGCCGAGCCGAGCTCGGGGAGGGGCAGGGGCGGCTTCGGGGCCAGCGGAAGGAGGCCAGGCCCGAGGCGGGGCAGGAGCTCGGGCCAGGAGCTCTGGGCAGCTCCCGGCCCGCCCCGGGGAAGGTGCTCAGCCTTGACCCTGCCCTGCAACCACGTGACCCCAACTCTCCGCTGGTAGGGCTCTGCTTTTGGGGGCTCCTGGAAGATTAGGGAACTTCGAGGAAGAAGGATAAGGACACAGACAGGCCCGGGGTGCACCACCCTGTGCCCAGGGCACCTCTGCGGACAGAAGGGCAGGTGGGCTGTCAGACTGTGGGGGTCAAAGGGTGGCGGAGGGACTGAGACTCCCGGTTGCCCCCACACCCTGCTCAGCAAAGCCTCACACATCACAGCTCTCTGGCCCTCCTCTGCCCCCACTCCCCTGGGAGGGGTCTCTTTGGGGGGTGGGCAACCCTGGGGGGCCTGGGTGCTGGGCCCTCACCCCCACGGATGAGGGTGGCCCAGGTGTGGCAGTGAATCAGGCGGGTCCCCACAGCCTCCCCTGCCCCAAACCAGTCCCCGGGAGAGGCTGCAGGCTTGGCCCGTGTATGGACCTGGCCTTGCTGCCCAGTGGGGCCACAGAGCAGTCCTGTGACCTCGGCCATCTTGGAGGGCCTCTCCATACCTTGGTCTCCTGCCCTGTAAAATGGGGACAATAGTCATATGGACTTGAGAGCATCTTTTGTTTGGCATGTGGGACGCTCTTGGAAACAGAGTCCGACTCTTTAGATTAATTAGTTGATTAATATCAGTCCTGACTACAAATGCAGCTGGCCCGGCATCTGTGCAGCTTGGATTCACAACTGAATCCCTCTTACGTGTCCTGCTGACCCTGGAAGTGGGGCCCAGGAGGCCCCTCCGAGGTCATTTCCTCCCCAGGTTGGGCAGGACACACCCTCTGGGAGACACCTCTCTGGCACCTTTGCTTCTTAGGAAGTGGACTTCTTGTCACATTTTTGTAATTACAAGACTTTTCTGGCTTGGGAGGACTTCCTGAAGGAGGAGGGATTCCAGCTGAGCCCTGCAGGCCACTGGGGGACACGGAGGAGAAGGAGGTGGAGGGACAGGAGGGGTCACCCATGAACCCTGCTCCCCCTCTCCCACACTCCCGTCTGTGTTGCCCTCTGGGGGCTGCCTCCTTCCTCGGTTCCTCCCCACCTGTCCCCCAGCACACTACTGTGCCAGAGACGTCCCCAAACACAGATCTGTAGGGTGAGGCACTTGGGAAGAGACCCTGGGCTCTCAAGGCCCCTTCCCCCTCCAGCCCACCCCTCCCACTCTCGCGGTCATTCCTCTGGGTCCTGGGTCTCCCCGAGACCTGAGCTCCTCATCCTCAGCTCTCAGGACCCCTGCCCTCCCCGCTGTCCTCCCTCACTGGTGACCTTACTTCCCCAGGCCTCATCTCAGCCCCTCCTCTCCACCTCCTGCATCCCTGAAAGTGGCTCCCACTGTGGGAACCTGGTGCTGGGCTGGGGGGAGCCAGAATGTACATTCCCAGGACAGGGGGCGGGGTGAGGAGCCTCTGATTGCCCCGGTCCAGCTCGTGGCCATGCCCTCTCGATGACCTGCCCACCCCTGGGCAGACAGGGACCTCTGCCTCCCACCATGGCCACTGCGGGTCCAGCTGGAGCCGATGCATCCAGGGCCTCGTACTGAGTGCAGGCGCGATCGGCGATCGGGGCCCGGGGAAGCAGCGGTGGAGGAAGGAGGGCCTGGGGGCATCCCCCGGGTCTCACCTGTGCAGTGCCCACTGGCTCCTCCACGCCCCAGCCAGCCCCTACTCTCTCCCCAGCTCCCTGCGGTGCCGAGAACCGAGTCCCCATGGCCTGGCTGAGCAGAGCCCTGCGTGTGGCAGCCACATGCCCTCCCCCGGTCCTGGGGCCCCGCGCGCTGACCGGCCGGGCAGGCCCCACCACCGAGAAGAGCGTGCCGTACCAGCGGACCCTGAAGGAGGCCCAGGGCCCCTCGGCGGTGGCCCAGGGCCCAAGCCGGCCCCTGCCCAGCACAGCCAATGTGGTGGTCATCGGCGGGGGCAGCTTGGGCTGCCAGACCCTGTACCACCTGGCCAAGCTGGGCGTGAGCGGGGCAGTGCTGCTGGAGCGGGAGCGGCTGACCTCCGGGACCACCTGGCACACGGCGGGTAGGGGCGGGGCAGCGTGGGGGGGCCGGGAGGGACAGGACTCAGCCAGCGGTCAGTTCCGGGGTGACGACCAGAGGCCAGCTGGAGGTGGCTGAGCGGGAGGAGGAAGGACACGGGGCAAAGATGAGGGGTCATCTGAAGGTGGACAGATGAAAGGGACCCTCCTGTCCCCCGTGTCTCTGAAGAGCCGAAGTGGGGAGGATGGAGCAAGGCTGAGATGAGGGACAGCAGCCCCTCCTGAGATGGAGTCACTGGGGGGTGAGGGGCGTCTGCAGGCGGGTGTGGAGCATGGATGGGGAAGGAGCCATCGGGGTGATGCACAGCGGTGTTTTCTGTGGGCACCAGATGCCTCCATGACTCTCATCCTCCTAAGTAACTGGTGGGCATGTAGTAAGCACCTACTGTGTACATGTCGCCAGCCTTCTGCCTCAACCCTGGGCCCTGGGTTAAGTTTACCAGTTTCGGGGGGTGGGGGGTAAACATTCCCACCTTGGCTAAAATTGTGCTACTGGCATGAGGTCAACGAACAAACGTGGAGTGGGGCAGAGGTTCGGACATCACGCCCTGCACACCACTGCCTCTGCCTTCCCACTGTCCCATGTCAGCGGGGCCGGCAAGCCTCTGCCCTCACTGCCATACTGGCCTCGGCCCTGGCCACCCACTCCCCTGACTGCTCTGAAGGGAGCAGCAGCTTTGTGGGTGAATGGTCTGCATTTGGGCTTTGTGGGTCCTGGCTTGGGGTCCCCGCCCCATCATGCCCTGCTCTGTTGTCTTGGGTATGGGACTGTTTGGTGCCATTGAATTTCACTATAAAATAATCATGCTTATGCCTTGGGGCTGCCCTGTCACCCAGTGACGGGCTCAGGCCTGGGATTGGTGCATAGTAAGTGCTCGATAAATGGGGGCCCTCCCAATATTACCACAGTGTGAGCTGCCTGGGGCCAGGAGGCCTGTGCCCAAATCAGCTTTGACCCTGTGATTTCCTGCTCATCAACCTCTCGGAGTTCCCCGGGGGCTGCAGGGAAAGATCCAGGCCCTCTGCCTCATAATCAGGAGCCCCAGCCTGCCAGGAGGGAGGGGGCGGCACATGACCTTGCTAGGGGCTGATGCCGCCCTGGCCCTCCCTGGCCAGGCCTGCTGTGGCAGCTGAGGCCCAGCGATGTGGAGGTGGAGCTTCTGGCGCACACGAGGCGTGTGGTGAGCCACGACCTGGAGGAGGAGACGGGGCTGCACACAGGCTGGATCCAGAATGGGGGCCTGTTCATAGCATCCAACCGGCAGCGTCTGGATGAGTACAAGAGGCTCATGTCGGTGGGTGTGCCCCTGCCAGAGGTGGGGGGTTCAAGGTGGCGTGTGTGCTCCCCATCCTGCCGGGGAAGTGGGGCAGCACGGCGGGGGGAAGGAGCTCTGACCCATCTAGGTCACCATCAGCCTTAGATGCCCTTGCTGGTGGGCCACTTGGGGCAAGTGGCCATACCTCCCTGGGCCTCGGCCTTGTCACCTTTAAAATGGGACCATACTGGGAAGCTCCGTGTGCCGAGCCCTGGACACAGGAGAGGCCCAATGCATGGAGCTGTCACCGCCACTGTGCTCGGTGCTCACGGGAAACACGATAAATATGAAATTGCAGCCCCTGCAGGAGGCAGGACCCATGCCCTCCACCCTCCCCATCACTGACAGGCCTGGAGACCGGGAGAGAGGCTTATGCTGCAGAGGACCCTTGGATGGTGGGTGCTGTTTCCTGACCCAGAGAGGCCAGACCTGGACCCCAAATCCAAGGACAGGGGTGCACGGGCTCCTCCAGCGATCTGTCCTTTATGGAGGGCTGACTGAATCTGTGCTCAGGGCCCAGCGAGCAGAACCAGCAGACTGGCCAGCAGGAGCTTACTGTCGCAGGGGTGCCGACAGGCTGGAGGCAGGGGCCGCCGGCTTCACCAGGACAGGTCTGGGTCTCTGGGCCTTGGAGCCGGCCCCCATAATGCCTGAGCTCCAAGCTCATTGGCCAGGACAGAGGGGGAGAGTGCGAGTCCTCCAACCTTGGAGCCGGAGTCCCCAGCTGACCAGAGGCTTCCACCACGTTTCAGGCCCAGTTGTCAGACTGAGAATCTGACCACCTGGGCTCCAGTCTAGCTGGGTGGAGCCTGTACTGGTGGTGATGCCCGGGGACACGTGATTGGCTGCCCTTGGGCCAATCGGATGTGACGCTGTGGCCTGTCCTACAAAGTCAGGGCCTGGGACCCAGGAACAGGTTGGTCTCCTGGGAGCTGATCAGATTGGAGGTGCTGATTCTCAAGCTCAAAACCCTGGGGCGGTTATTTGTATTTGTTTTTAGGAGAAGTCCTTATGCACCAGAGACTGGCCTGAGTTCTCTAGGGGCATCAACCCCATAGCCCATTATCACCCCCATCCCCCCAGGGGACTTGAAGCAGCTTGCTGCAAGTCACAGGGCTTGTGTCTTACCCCAGTGGAGAGGGTGGGACAGCCCCAAGCCTGCTCCTGCACACTGGGTCATACTCCTGACCCTAAGGCAGAGATGGCCCGAGGGACAGAGGTGACTGGGGCTCGGTGACCAGCTCAGGCTTCCTGGAGCTCACCCTTGGAGGCCCAGACTGGGAATAGAGTGGCCAGAGGAGGTCTGCTCCCTGAGGGCTGGTCCCTTTGCTCTCGGTCCCTCTAGTTGGGCAAGGCGTACGGCGTGGAGTCCCATGTGCTGAGCCCCGCAGAGACCAAGGCACTGTACCCGCTGATGAACGTGGACGACCTGTATGGGACCCTATACGTGCCACACGACGGTACCATGGACCCCGCCGGCACCTGTACCACCCTCGCCAGGGCTGCTGCAGCTCGGGGAGCACAGGTACCGGTGGCTACCTGGCCCCGTGTCCCCTGCTCCCAGCCCCGAGGACGCAGAGGCTCCGGCCACGTGTGAAGAGTGTGTCCTCTCGTGATCTGTGTGTCTCACCTTGTATCCCAGATATACACATAGTTGTAGAAAGCATTGGAAAGGCCAAATGAGCAAAAAAGAAGAAATGGAAATCACCCAGAGGGGACAAACGTTGATGTTTTAGTTTTACCCCTAAATATTTTTTAAGGAAGACATACATATATATGCATAATGTGTTTAAAGATTTTATTGATTTATTTGAGAGACAGAGAAAGCAGGTACATGCAGGGGGAGCGGCAGAGGGAGAAGCAGACCCCCCGCTGAGCAGGGAGCCCCATGCGGGGCTCGATCCCAGGACCCCGGGATCATGACTGGAGCTGAAGGCAGACACTTCACTGACTGAACGCCCCAGGCGCCTGGGAAGATATATTTTTACACGAAGAACCAAGCCACACTGTTTTTTTTTTTTAAAGATGTATTTATTTATTTTATGATAGACATAGTGAAAGAGAGAGAGGCAGAGACACAGGAGGAGGGAGAAGCAGGCTCCATGCCAGGAGCTCGATGCGGGACTCGATCTGGGGACTCGATCCGGGGACTCCAGGATCGCGCTCTGGGCCAAAGGCAGGTGCCAAACCACTGAGCCACCCAGGGATCCCCCTTAAGCACTGTTATGTGGCCTTTTCACCAAAGATGACTGCTAACATCCGCTAGGGAAGTGAGCCTTGCTTTTTAAAAGTCGCTTTATGAGAACGACCCTGTCCGGTTCAAGGAGTGCACGGGGTTAGGTTCCGGCGCCGTGGTTACCCCACTTTCCTGGCAGTGTTGCAGGAGCAGGGGTCCCGGGTCCCGTGGGACCGGTGGTGGCCGGTGGTGGCAGGGGTGGTCAGCACCCTCACAGAGCCCCCTGCGGCTCTGGAAGCAGCCCCCCTCTCTCCCAGGTCATCGAGAACTGCCCAGTGACCGGCATCCGTGTGCGGACCGATGACTTTGGAGTGCGGCGGGTCGCGGCTGTGGAGACAGAGCACGGCTCCATCCAGACGCCCTGTGTGGTCAACTGTGCAGGTGGGCAGGGGTTGCAGCTCTCGGTGGCCACACTGGCTCCTCCCCCAGCCTGGCCTGTCTCTGGGAGGGGGCCTGGGTGTGATGTGCAGGATGTGCTGGGGTGACAGCGGGTCGGCAGGGGCGCCCTCTGGCCACCTGGCTGGCAGCCCCGCCTGGAGCAGCAGAGCTGACCTGTCCCTGCTCTGCCCGCAGGGGTGTGGGCGAGCGCTGTGGGCCGGATGGCTGGAGTCAAGGTCCCGCTGGTGGCCATGCACCACGCCTACGTTGTCACCGAGCGCATCGAGGGGATCCAGGTAGGTACACAGACGGCCCCAGACCCCACACAGGTTACGGGAGGTGGGGGGACCGGGCTCTGAACCCCGGCCCTGCCAGGTAGCAACCCTTGTGGGTTCCCTCTCCACCCTGAGCCTCAGTCACCTCATCTGTGAAATGGGCATCATGACACTGGGTGTTTAGGGTGGGGTGACCGTTAAATGAAGTGACCCCATGGTGCTGACCCCTGACCTTTGGGACACAGCTCCTCAGTGATGCCCAAGCCTGTCCTGAGTGGTGCAATGCATCTGGTGCTTTGCCATGTTCTGTGTCCCCAGCTGCTTCTTCAGGGGACCCCCATGTGTTTGCACACTCCCAAATATAACGTGGGTGCCAGTGTTGGGGGGCTGATTCCAGACCTTCAGTTCCTCCCCGGGGGCATGGAGATGCCTCTGCCAAGGGAGATGGGGCCTGTGCACCCCTGCCCCCTCCCTTCTCCCCTTCTCATTTCTGCACCACCCTCCCGTTGTGCTGGCTGGTAGCTTCCTGTCACCTTGTCAGTGATCACCCCTCCCTCCTTCTACACATTCATCTTTTTGTCCCTTCCTCATCAACCATCCACTTATTAACCCATGTACCCACCATTCCCGGTAACCCCCCTTCCTCTCGCTCACTGGCAAACACTGCTGTGTCCCAGACTCTGTCCTAGACACAAGAGGAAAGGACCTAGTTCTTGTCCGGATGGGGCTGGGGGGCAGGTTCCAACAGGTGAAGGAGCCGTGCCCAAGCAGGTTAATGGGGCTCTGCAGAGGCAGGCAGGGGGCTGCAGGGTCCCCAAGCCCAGGGAGTGCGGGAGCCTGGCAGCCCGGGACCTGCAGGCACTTCAGAAGGGCCCGAGGTGGTAGGGGTGGGACAGTGTGAGGTGGGACCCAGCAAAAGTGTCCTGGGAGCCGGTGGACAGCAGCGGTGGAGGATCTACGGTGAGTGCCAGGCTCCCCGCCCGCTCCTGCTCCTGTCCCTTGACACCTAGCTGCCCCTGTTCCTGGACGGGGTTCATGGAGCCAGGATAGGCCTCGTGAGCGCTGCTATGTGCCCCGTGCTCCCGGGTTCTGTGGGGCGACCTCCTGGGTGGCCGCCAGGGGTCGCCCTCAGGCCACAGTGGCCTCTGGAGGGCTGGGGACAGGCTGTGCCCTGGGGAGGGATCCTCCTCCGGTGGCCACAGGGCTGTGCTGCCCTAGGAACCCCCAGTTCTGAGGGTCTGGCCCAGTGCTGAGTCAGAGCTGAGCACCGGCCCTAGCAGTGATCTGGTTCCCCCTCCGTCTGTGGGCCTGGTGTGTGTGTCCCACGATGCAGTGTGGCCGGTGCTCTCTGGTAGTCCGCATTCCCGCCGGCCTCTGCCTGCTTTTGTAGACATTGCTCTACTCGGGCGTGAGCGGTAGGAAAGCCCAGGCTCCGGGGCTGCGATTCAGCTCCTGTATTACCCAGCCAGGCAAGTCACAGTGCTGGGTGGGCCTCAGTTTCCTTTTTGGCAAAATGGACAAGAAGAGTATTGATTGCACGGGGCTGGGCTCAGGGAGGAGCCCGTGATGGAGGGGAAGGGCTGAGGGTGGCACCAGAATGCTCCGGAGACGCAGTGGGCACTCCAAGGCAGCTCAGTGTGCTGGGCCCCAGAGCTGGAATGAAAGTCAGGGGTTTCCCCGGCCACCAGGTGTCCCCACTGTCCTGCTCTATGGAACTGCAGTTTTTGTTTTGTTTTTAGAGTAGTAGTGACAATAGAGGTAATGATATCATGATTTATATTTCTGAAGTGCTCGCTTTCTGAGAACTTCCTGCACGCTCCTTACAACAATCCCTCAGTGCAGACGTTCTTATTCCGGTTCTATGGAGGAGCTGGACAACTAGGAGACTGGGGTGGGACAGAGGGGCATCTGCCAAATTACCCCTTTTGGTCTCTCTGCGTGTCTTCAGAGGTGGGGCAGAGGAGTCACGTCCGATGTGCCCATCTCCAGGGTAAAGGTCCAAGAAGGCAGGTCCTCCAGTGCCAAAGAGCTACGGGGAATGCGGCCTCTCCCCACTCCTACCTAGTTTCTAAAATGATTTTGGTTTGTTTTTTGGTTAAATCAGTAGTCAGTGTTCACAGTATATTGACAATGTAAATGTTGTTAAGTCTTGAGCAAATAGCATCCAACTTTTGTGTTTCCTGGAGTTATTGTTTTCCAATGGCTCAGCTTTCTTTTTTTATTTTTAAATTTTTTAAATTTATTTTATATTATTTTATTTTTTTATGGCTCAGCTTTCTATGTAACTGTCAGTAATGACATCTATCTATCTATCTATCTATCTATCTATCTATCTATCTATCATTACCTTCAGCCCCCAAATCCCATGTCCATTATCTGTCACTTCCCATTTCTCATCCTACCCCCAACTTTTGATAATCACTGATTTCTGTCTCTGTGGATTTTCCTATTCTGGACATTTAATAAAATGAAACCTTAACATATATGGCCTTTTGTGTTTGACTTCTTCTTTTTTTTAATATTTTATTTATTTATTCATAGAGATGCAGGGAGAGAGAGAGAGAGAGAGGCAGAGACACAAGCAGGCTCCATGCAGAGAGCCCGATGTGGGACTTGATCCAGGGTCTCCAGATCACGCCCTGGGCTGCAGGCGGCGCCAAACCGCTGCACCACCAGGGCTGCCCTTGTGTTTGACTTCTTTCACTCAGTATGACATTTTCAAAGTTTGTCCATGTGATATGTTATCAGAATTTCATTCTTTTTAATGGCTAAATAATATTCTATCATAGACCACATTTTATTTATCCAGTCATCTGGTGATGGACATTTGAGTTGTTACTACTTTTTTGCTGTTATGAATAATGCTGCTTTGAACATTCATGTACATATTTCTGAGTAGATGTGTTTTAATTTTTCTTGGGTAGCTATCTTGGAGTGGAATTGCTGAGTCATATAGTAACTCTATGTTTAACTGTTTGAGAAACCGTCAGACTATTTCTGCATGTGCACTCTTTTACACTCTTTTTACATTCCCACCCACAGCACGGAGGGTTCTGGCTTCTCCACATCCTCGCCACCACTTGTGATGCTCTCTCTTTGATCCTAACCATCCTGGTGGGTGTGAAGTGGAGAGTATCTCATTGGAGGTTTGAGCTGCATTTCCCTACAGGCTGATGATGTGGAGCATCTTCTCATGTGCTCATTGGCCATTTGTACATCTTCTTTGGAGAAATGTCTATTCAGACACCTTGCTCATTTTAATTTGGGTTCTTGGTCTTTTTATTGAGTCATGAGAGTTGTTGTTATATGTGGGTACACGTCTCCTACCACACTTCTGCGTGCACATATTTTCTCCCTTTTTCTGGCTTGTCTTTTCCCTCTCTTGATGGTAGTGTTGGCAGTACAAAAGGTTGAATTTTGGTGAGGTCCAACCTGTGGATTGTTTCTCTTGCTGCCTGTGCTGTGGGTGTTGTATTTCAGAAGTGCATTTCCTCACCTGAGGCCACAAAGACCTACTCCCATATTTTCTCCTAAGAATTATATAGGTTTAGCTCTTATTCCTAGGTCTGTGACCCACTGTGACTAAGGTTTGTGTATGGTGTGAAGAAAGGGTCCAGCTTTCTTCCCTGCATGTGGCCATCCAGCTGCGTCGTCACTGCGTGTTGAAGAGCATCACCCTTGCATGGCCTTCCCATCCATGGAAAATCAGTGGGTCATAATTGGGAGGGTTGATTTCTGAACTGTCAACCTGATTTCAGTGATCTAGATGCATCTCCTGTGTGAGTGCTTCCCGTCTTGATTACGTAGTTTTGTAGCGAGTTTTGAGATCGGGAAGCATGAGTCTCCCAGCTTTGTCCTTTTTTCCCAAGATTGTTTTAAATATTCTGGGTCAGAATTAAATTTCCCTGTGAATTTTAGGCTCAGTTTGTCAATTTCTGCCAAGAAGCCAACAGTGATTTTAATGAGGATTGTGTGGAATCTGGATCAATTCAGAAAGCGTTGTCATCTTAGCAATAGCCAAGTCTTCATTTTGTAAATGTGGGATATCATTCCATTCACTTAGGTCTTCTGCAACTTCTTTCAAAAATGTTGCCAAATTCTTAGATTACTAGTTTTGCCCTTCTTTTGTTAAATTTATTTATAAGTATTTAAAAATTCTCCGAGGGACACCTGGGTGGCTCAGTGGTTGAGCGTCTGCCTTTGGCTCGGGGCATGATCCCAGAGTCCCAGGATTGAGTCCCATATCCAGCTTCCTACATGGAGCCTGCTTCTCCCTCTGCCTATGTTTCTCTCTCTCTCTCTCTCTCTCTCTCTCTCTCTGTCTGTCTTTCATAAACAAACAAATAAATAAAATCTTTAAAAAAAAGAATTCTTTTTGTTTTTTAATGTGGCTCTGTCAGTTAAGTTTCTGACTTTACAGCTCAGGTCATGAGTTTGGGGTCCTGGGGTCAGGCCCTGCCTTGGGCTCCCTACTCAGCAAGGAGTCTGCTTCTCACTCTCCCTCTGCTTGTGTGCAGACTCTCTTTCTCTCCCAAATAACTAAACAATATCTTTAAAAAATTTTTTTTGATGATGTAAGTGGAATTATTAATTTCCTTTTTGATTGTTCATCATTAGTTAAATGAAAAACAAGAGAATAGCTTTTAGTTGTCTGTTGTGCACTGACCTTGTATCCTGCCACCTTGTTGAACAATTTAGTTCATTGTAATAGTTTTTGAGTGCGTTCCTAGGATTTCCTATGTGCAAGATCATGTAATCTGCAAATAAAGATTGTTTTACTCCTTCTTTTCCAAACTTGATGCCTTTTATTACTTTTTCTTGCTTAGTTGCTTCCCTGGCTAGAACCTCCAGTACAATGCTGAGTAGAAGGGCTGAGAGTAGACATCCTTCCATTGGCCTAATTTTAGAGGAAAAGCTGAAAATAAGTATGTTTTAGCTGTGGGTGTTTCTTAGATACCCTTTGTCAGGAAGTTCCCTTCCATTTCTAGATTGTTGATGTTTTTGTCATGAAAGATTTGGAAATGCTTTTCCCAACATCGATTGAAATGTTTGGTTTTCATCCTACTGTGTTGATATGGTTGGTGTTTTATGTAGACTTGTTTCAGATTTCTAGATTGAAATCTAGATTCTAGATTTCATTTCTAGATTGTTGATGTTTTTGTCATGAAAGGTTTGGAAATGCTTTTCCCAACATCGATTGAAATGTTTGGTTTTCATCCTACTGTGTTGATATGGTTGGTGTTTTATGTAGACTTGTTTCAGGTGTCAAGCCAACCTTGCATTCCTTGGATAAATCCCATTAGGTCATGGCATTTAATCCTCTGATATGTTGCCGGATTCACTTTGCTAGTATTTTGTTGAGGATATTTGCATTCATATTCTAACTGTCACATTTTTCTCCCAAACATTTCAACGTATCTGTCCTGTCAACTACCTCTCAAGAGCATGTTCTGTCCAGCTCCACACATCAGGGAAATCACATACAATCTGTAAGTCCCGTTCCTTTCCCCTGGAAGAACCCTCCTGCTCTTCTGATCTCCTCTGCTCCCAACTGATTGCCTTGTGGGCTCTACTCGCCTGTGACCTTGGGACCTTCTTCACACCTCTTCTGTTTGGATTCATGGCGTGTGCTCTGGTTGCTTATTGAGAAGGGGCATGTGGGGTATAAATATTCTCATGTTCATCTATATCTGAAATAATCTTCATTATTTCCTTACACTTGATTGATGGATTGATTGGGTCTAGAATTCTCCATCCAAAACTGTCTATCAGAATTTTGAACACTTGGCTCCAGGTCCTCCGGCCTCCAGGGATGCTGTTCCATTATTTAGGACCCACTTGTTCATCTGGTGTTCTGATGTTTCACCCCAGTGTGGCCTCAGGGACAGCCTGCACCACAGCCTCCATTCACAGGGCATGGTGGGTACTTGTGGGTCCTTTATTTTTAATTAATTTTTTAAAGATTTTATTTATTTGACAGAGAGAGAGAGAGCGAGTGCAAGCAGGTGGAGTGGCAGAGGGAGAGTGAGGAGCAGACTCCCCACTGAGCTGGGAGCCTAATGTGGGGCTTGATCCCAGGACCCTGAAATCATGACCTGAGCTGAAGGCAGATGCTTCACTGACTGAACCACCCAGGTGCCCCACTGATGGGCCCTTTAATATGGAGACTCATGGTATTTAATCTGAGAAATTGTCCTAGATGGTGCCTCTACTCCAGTTCCTCTCTTTGTCTTTCTGGACCTTTAGGGCTGACCTTGTGATTTCCTTAATTTTTCTCTCCTGATATCAATTTCTTCATCTTTTTTAGGCATGTATCTAGAAGATTGTCTTATTTGACCCTTCTGTTGCATTTTTCATTTTGATAAGCATCTCTCATTTTGAGACATCTTTCTTGACCTGGGATTCCTTCCCCATGGCACCTCGTTCTGTGGACCCAATCTTGTCCTAGCACTTTAGTTGCTGGTGTGTGGTGCAGGTTTTCAGGGGGGGCTTCCACAGGCCGACTGGAGGCTTAGAGAAGGAGGACAGGAGGGCATCTTGCCAGGGGTAAGGGTGAGCTGTTCTCTTTGGCAAGGGGCCCTAGTGTCAGCATCTGGAGCCTTCCACAGACCACTTTGTGTCTCCAAAGTGGAGTCCCCAGGCTGCTGTAGAGGGGGAACAGCGGCCCACTCCTCACTACCCCTGAGTCTGGAGCCTCTGGGGACCCACTTCTCCATACCTTAGAGCTGTCCCCAGGCCTGGCTCTGGGCTGTGCTGGGTGGGGGTGGAGGGGATCTGGGTCTTTTCTTTCTGTTCACACACATACTCTTTCTCTCACACTCACACAAGTGCACACTTACACACATTCATGCATACACATATACAAACTCTCACATTCACACATATGTGTGCATGCATGCGTGCACACGCACACACACACACACACACACACACACACACACACACCATGCACCCTGCCCATCAGGCCCCTGCAGAGGGAGGTGGGTTGCCACAAGCCAGGACGCTACAGATTGGAGGGGACCAGAAGGGTAGCAAGCTGGCCCGCCCTCCACATTCTCCCCTCCCCAAACCCGAGCTAAGGTGCTGGTTTCCGCTCTGTGTCCGGCAGTGTAGATTGAGACCTCCTGTGTGCTCCTGTCTCTCCCTGGTTCTCTTAGCTTTGTGGGTTATACCTTATTCCTCCCTCCCCGTCCTTCCTCTCCTTCTTACATCATTGCTATCACCTTGTGCGGTTTGGGGAAGGAGAGACTGTAGTGAGAGGGGTTTGTCCATGATGTAACCTGAGGCCCCAGGTACACTCTGTCCTCAGGGTCCAGGGAGGAGGCACCATGAGCCACCGCAGGCCTGTGACTGCCCAGCCCTGGCTGACCCCGAGGCCTCTCTGCTCTGCCTTCTAGAACATGCCCAATGTCCGCGACCATGACGCCTCGGTCTACCTCCGCCTCCAGGGGGATGCCTTGTCTGTGGGCGGCTATGAGGCTAACCCAATCTTCTGGGAGGAGGTGAGAAACAGGGCTCAAGAGGTGGTTTGGGGCTGTGTCTCAGCACAAAGAAGACTTCTTCCAGAAAGCCCACCCTCTGGAAGCTAGCTCCTCAGGTGCTCACCTGAGAAATGGCAGGTCCCTTGGCCCCAGAAGGGTCTCACTCATTTTTCTCTGAACTTGGAACACAGGTAGATGCAGACCTGGGGCAGGGAGAGGGCTTGCCTCACAGCATTAGTGGTGAGAAACTACAGAAAAGTAAAATAATAGCATTGGAGGATGAAAACGTTAAAGCCGTGTGTCCACAGTAAATGACCCTGTGGCAGCGTCGTCTCCTCAGGTCTGGCTGCTCCCTTGGCAGCTTCGGGGGCTGTGTGAGGTCCAACGGCCCCCTCGGCCCCCTCAGCCCCCACGAGCATGGACTGCCCTTGCTCCTGGATTCATGCAGAAATGGAATCTGGGTCAGATCCTGTTTTACTTCCTGGGGACAGAGGGAGACCAACATAAAAGTCCCTGTGCCAGGGCCCCTATTTAGGTCGGGAGACCCACGACAGAGAAGTAATGGAGATCTGTGTGCTGAATGGAGCCAGTAGGTTAGGAAGAAGCCTCATAAGGGTGGTGTGGAAGGATGTCCTTCACACTGTGCTCAGGCAGGGTCCCCGGGGAGCTGATGTCTGAGCAGAGTCCTGCAGACGGAACAGGTGGGCGGTGTGGCCCTGAGGTCAGGTCAAGCTTAGCTTTCTTGAAGAACTGAAGGAAGGTCAGTGTGGCTGTGGGTTAGTGGTAGATGTGGACATGGACAGGGCCTGCCCTTGTAGGGCTTTGTGGGCCACAGGGAGTCATGGAGAACCATGGGGGGCTTGAGAGCAAGAGAGGGCATGTCTGGCTTAGGGGAATGGGTGGAAGGCGGGTGGGGGTGCAGGGTGACTGGGTAGAGGCTGCTGCGACAATCCCGCACAGAGCAGGTGGGCTTGGACCAGCATGAGGATGGGGGGCAGGCAGGCCACACCCAGGGGGGTGAATGGTGCAGAAGAGGAGGCCAATGAAGGAGGCCTGGGGGGCCTGGCCTGGCCCTCACCGGGAGCAGGCTTGGCCAGGTTCAGCTCCCCCCTGGGGGCGGTCACAGGCCACTCCTCTGCCGGCCTCCCCAGGTGTCAGACAAGTTTGCCTTCGGCCTCTTCGACCTGGACTGGGACGTGTTCACCCAGCACATCGAAGGTGCCATCAACCGCGTCCCTGTGCTGGAGAAGACAGGGGTCAAGTCCACAGTCTGTGGTCCAGGTGAGTGGGGGGGCCTTGGGCCTGGGGTCTTTGGGGCTGAGAACTGCCTGCATCAGGTGTGGACCTGGGTCGTCCCTGCTGCGTGCAGCTGGAGATCCATCACCCCTGTCCTATTCCCCCTCTGCCTTCCTGGCACACACAACGCCTCCTTAATCCTCAGGGAAGACAGAAGGTGGGTAGGGCCAGCCTGGCCCATATCAGGGCTAGGGAGAGAGGTATTGTCCGAAGGGACAGGTTTGTGTCTGAGACTCGAGTTCCCTGTGCCTCAGTCTCCTCATCTGTGAAATGGGTGACAGAGCACCTGCCCCACGCTCAGTGGGTGTGGAGCAAGGAGGAGAAGCCACATGTAGGGTGCAGGGCATGGCTGGGTGGGCTTGCAGCAGTGAGTCCCCTGAGGGAAGGGGGACAGCCAGAGGCCGGGGGGTGAGGGGTTGTCCTCAGCCATGCAGGGAGTGAGGGGCAGGTTCTGATGCCGGGAGCCTGTGGCCTACAGGGGTCCAGCCCTCTCTGCCCAGTGCACTTGGCATCCACACGACCACCAGCCACGGCTGCTTTCCTCCATTCGGCTCTGAGGAAGCCCAGCCTAGTGGGCAGGATGGAAGCACCCCAGAAAACCGTGGACTCACTGCTGCCCTCCCTGCAGCTTCCCCAGGCTTGCGAGGTGCTGGCAGTGACAAGCTCAGGCCTGAGACGATCCCAGGGGCACGAGTCACCCGGGAACATCCTCTGCTTGATTATACTGGGGAGTCATTGCCCCCATGAAGCCCTATCTGGGGGTGATGTGCATGCAGGGACATCTCGTGTCTGGTTTCCTGCCTGGGAGGCCGGGTTTGTGGGGAAATCAGCCTCCCTCCCCACCAGGGAGGGCAAGCCCGGTCAATGGCCTTTGGCTTCCGGAACAGAACTCGGAAGTCCCAGGCCCCCTTGACTCTGGGGAATCTGAGGGCAGGCAGAGCTCCCAGTCCAGGGCACGGAGGTCCCATGGGGGACCTGTCTGCAAGTCCCATCATTCCACGTCCTCGTGTTGCTCAGCCTTGAGTCATTCATTAAACATTCAAGAGACGCGTCCCCTGAAACCCTCTCCTCACATGCCCCGTGAGGCTGTTCCGAGCTTCCCATCTGCCTGCTGCCACCAGAAGCATTCCCAGCACTGCCGGGGTGCTCAGGGTGACCACACAGGGCCCCCGTCCCACGCCGGGTGGCCCCCCTCCTGCTGCTCCGGGTGCAGCATTCCTGCAGACCCTGCCCTCTCTGCCCTTCCTCCTCCATCCTCCCTTGGCCACCCTGTGTCTTCTTTCTGGCCTCCGGGGTGTCCTCCTTTCCAGCTGTTTGGAAGTTTCTCCCAGATCCCCCAGACTGGTAGCCTCTGATGCCACCCCCAGGTCAGATTTGCCTCCGGCCCCACCCGGGAGGGATCAGAGCTGCACAGAGCTTAGGGACTCAGCCTGGGCCAGGCAACCCTGAGTGGTGCACCTGCTTCCACGATGCATCACCAGCAGGGGTACAGGGGACATATCAGACCCGGTGCCACGCAGTCTCCTCATCTGTGCCCCAGGTGACCAAGGAAGGGCTCCTAGGAGTCCCTCACCGCCCCTTCTCCCACTATGTCTTCTTTTGTTTGCTGATGTGTGTGTTTACTGTGTCCTCTCCCATCGGCTCCCTGAGGGGTGGGACTGGTCTCGTTCAGAGCCGAGCCTGGGCACACGCAGAAGGGGCTGCACATATTTGCAGGTGGGATGACCCCCAGCCCTAGAAGTAAGAGCCGCGACCCCCAGGTTACGGATGAGGACATGAAGGCTCAGAGAGATGAAGCAACTGGCCCAAAGTCACACAGCTAGGAAAGGGTAAAGCAGGCTTCGAACCCAGGACTGTGGCTGCAAAGCTCTGCTCTTCATAATGATGCCTGAGGGTCCCTTGCCTTCCATGCCCTAGTCTCTGCCGGTGGCCCGCCAGCAGCAGATAGGATCAGAAGCCCCCGTCCCTCTCCCAGAGAACCTAGAATCATTCCGTCACCCAATGAACATTTATCAAGCACCTACTATTTCCTGGGCCCTGTGCTGGGCCTTGAGACACGGTGGTGAGCGAAGCCCAGTCCCTGCCCTTAGGGCTTTCATGTCTAGTGGGCAGGATGACCGGCGGTGACGCAGCAAGAGGGTGGCATGGTGAGGGAGAGCCATGCACTGTGATGGGGGCGTGGGGAGAGTCCCCTCACCAGTAGGAGAAGGGTGACAGCTGTGAGACACAGCTGGACCCTGCAAAGCAGACCGCGGTCCCAGCTGTAAATGCTGAGGAATTGGGGAATGTGGCAAGAGCAATTAGGGAGGCTCCCTGGAGGAAGTGGCATTGGGCTGAGTCATGAGGATGGGGAAGGCCCAGATGAAGGAGGCAGCTGCAGACCCTGCTGTGCTCACTGCGCTCTCGAGAGACCCTGCCCCAGGTTCATGTGGCCTGGAGCTTCAGGCCCCACTTCCTTCCAGAGTCCTTCACACCGGATCACAAGCCCCTGATGGGGGAGGCACCTGAGCTCCGGGGATTCTATCTGGGCTGTGGTTTCAACAGTGCAGGTGAGCCGCCTTGCACCCCCTACCCCCCCCAGAGCCCTTCTGGGCAGGTGGAGTGGGCATGGCTCAGAGAGTGGCAGCCCTGGGGCGGGGGTTGGGAGGGGGGAGGCCCTGCAGGGCAGGCTGAGGTCATGGTAGCAGGACCTGGGGTGTGAGATCCAGGGCTTGAGGGGTGATGCTGGCTGCGGCCCCGGGGAGGGGAGGCTCTGGGGCCGATGGAAGACCTCTGGCTCCCCTCCTGCCAGGAATGATGCTGGGCGGCGGCTGTGGGCAGGAGCTGGCCCACTGGATCATCCAGGGGCGCCCGGAGAAGGACATGTACAGCTATGACATCAGGTGAGTGTGCCCCGGGACCCGTGCCCGGGATTACATAGTGTGGAGTGCACGGCGAGGGCTATTCAGACAGGAGCCTTAGCTGGAATCCAGAGGGCTTCTTGGAAGAAGGACCCGTCAGGGAAGAAAGGGGGACGGCTGCCAGAGGGGGTGGGGCTGCTAGGGGCAGTCCAGGCAACAGCTTGGGGGGCACCCCTGAGGGTGTTCAGCTGGCTCTGCTGCTATTGCTCTGCCCTGGACAGACCACTTCCCTGGGGGACCCCAGCAGCAGTAGGGGTGGCATCAGCTTGGTGTCCCCCTGCCCCTCTGCCAACCTTGCCCCTCCCAGCCTGATGAGGACATTACACTCACTGGGCCCGGGCAGGAAGGGGGATGTCTGGCCCCTACAGGCAGACAGATACTGAGGTTCCCTGACTGCCACCCCCTCCGTGGTGCCTGGCACAGCAGTCTACTCTGTCACTGCCTCAGAGCTCGTCTGGGGCTGCGCCCACACTCTCCCAAGAGAGGAATGTTCCAGAAATGATAGCTACAAGGGGCCTCGGGATGGGCCAGTCCTAGCCCTTCCTGCTACAAATAGTGAAAGGAGGCACCGATGGGGGAGGTTGCTTGCCTGAAGTCCCTCAGTGTGGGAGCTGAGGTGCACAGGGATGCAGCTTCCGGCCTCCCTGGTGTCAGTGAGGGCTTTGGCATTCAAACAGACTGCCCACCAGGGCTCACACCAGGCCTCATACCAGGCCTCACATCTGCCCTCACACTGGGCCTCACACCTGGTCTCACCCCTGGCTTCACCCCTGGCCTCACACCAGGCCTCACAGCAGGTCTTACACCTGGCCTCACCCCTGGCCTCACTCCTGGCCTCACACCTGGCCTCACACCAAGCCTCGGTGGGCAGCTTCCAGGTACCATGGCATCCACAGCTGCAGAAGGAGCTGGCATGCCCGTACCCCTCCTGGGCTGAGGGAGGCTCTGCAGGGAGGGGGGTGTGCAGTCCTGGATTCAGCAGACCACCTTAGGTCTGGGCTGGTGGAGACCCCAACGCTGCTCTCGAAGCCCCTCCCCCCCACCTCCCTCCATCACCTACCTTCCTCAACAGGAGTGTTCTGTGACTGGTTTATGGCCAATAGTGTAGGCTGGGGCCTGGGGGTCACAGGTTGGTGGAAGGGCTGGGAGGCCCTAGAGTGGGTCTGGGATCAGTGGGGCAGAGGCATGGGAAGGAACCCCTAGGAGCTGGGGCCTGGGAGTCATAGGTTGGGCGGCAGGGGGTACAGGGATGGAACCCCTTGGAGCTGAGGCCTGGTGAGTAGAGGTAGGGGCCATGAACTAGTCTACCCACCCTCTGGGCAGGTGGTTTCCCCATCTGTGGAATGGGAGCAGTGACCCACCTCTCAGAAGTGCCCTGAGGATCACACATACAATGCTTCTTTGGGTGCCTGGTGTAGGTCCGGAGTACAGGCTGTGATTTCTAGTGAAAGTCCTTGGGGTCCCAGGAACTGGGGAGGAGGAGTCATTCCTTATTTGAGTGAGGAGGGTGGCTCGACCCCAGCCCTGGCCTTGGTCCTGGCCACAGGCCCCCTGCCCACCTGCTCACGGGAGGAACACTATAGCCAGGGCTGTGTGGCCACAGGGAGGTCCCTTCCCCTGCTGATCTGTGGTCATGCTCTGGCTGCACTTGAGCCCATGTCCCTGCCACACGTGCACGTGCAGGTGTGAGCAGAGGAGATAGGTTCTGGCCGGCTGGGAGGTTGCCAGAGGGGCCCTGTCTGCTGGTGTAGGGATCACCCAGACCTGCCCTGGGTCCAGCTTCTCTTCTTCTGTCCCAGAGGGCCTGAGGAAGGAGATCCAGCTCTCCCCAAATCCCCCAGCCGCCCCACCTCTGTCCCCCGACCCAGACGCAGACCCACCTTCCCAAAGCAGCTGGGAAGGTCACCAGTCTCATCCTGGGAGAAGCATGTCAGCTCCTAGTGACTGGGGGTGAGTCTGACCAGGAAGGCTGACCTCCTGGTCTCTGTCCTCCCCACTTCAGCCCCTCCAGAACCTGCCGTGCATTTCCAAGCTCCACGGCTCACTGCTTCTCCAGGAGCCCTCCCCAGACCCCTCAGCCGGGCTCCGTGGCTCCTGCTCCTGCAGCCTGTCCCGGAAGCTCCTGGCTCAGTGGTGGCCAGCACAAGCACAGGCTGGGTTCCCTCTCGTGTGACATGGGTCAAACCAGGGGCATCCGTGGGGGGCCACTCTGAAGCTTAACAGCCAGGGTTCTTGCAGATGGCACTCAGCCCTGGGCCTGGTGCCTGAAAGGGGCTCCGGAGATCATTGTGGTGACTAGTGATAATCTCTGTAATAATAAGCTCAATTCTGTAGCCCTCACCCTCTGCCCCAGTCAGAACATCATGCTCGCTAGAACTATGTGCAAAGTAAGAGTCCATTGGCCCCGTGGGGCTCGGGCAGGCATCAGCGAGGATAAAGCACAGGGGAGGACATAGCTGATGAGGAGGCAGGCCTGGAGAATGCACGAGGTGCCAGCAGGTGGACCGTGAGGGAAGGGACAGACGGGGAGGCTGGTCCAAGCTGGGGATTCGGAGTGGGTTTGTGTGTGGGTGGGGCTGGGGCCCTGACAACCAGAGGGACAGCAGCTGTGCAGCTACGGCTGTCCAAAGAGAGCAGATGGACAAGTCCCTGGGTGGAGGGGCAGTTGCGCTCACAAAAGGCTGGAGGAGACGGCCATGTGGTGGGGGGGGGCGGTGAGAATGCTGAGCTGCCCAAGGCTCCCCAGTGGGAGAGTAGAGCCTGGGACCCCCTCCTGAACCCAAGCCACTGTGGTGGGGAGGACTCTGGTGGAGGGACGGGGGTCCAGTTTTGCCCTGGGTCCTGGGCCAACCTTTCCCTAACAGGCACCCAAGGCAGTGACTGGCCCTTCCCTCTGGACAGGCGCTTCCACCACCTGCTCACGGACCACCGCCGCTGGATTCGCGAGCGCAGCCACGAGTCCTATGCCAAGAATTACTCTGTCGTCTTCCCCCACGATGAGCCCCTGGCAGGACGCAACATGAGAACAGACCCCCTGCACGAGGTACCACACCTGGACAGGCACGGTGACGCTCGGGGAGTCCAGGGTACTGGGGTGACCGAAGGGCATGTGGCACCCCAGTACCCAGGTGGATAAGGCGATGAGGGGGCCCATTCACTCCCAGGGTCTGGCAAATAGAATGTGCTCAGGGCACATACCCAGGAGCCCTCCTCCCCGACTACTGACGGCAAGGGTTCTGAGTGGCAGGTGCAGCGCAGGTGTGCACATGCCGGGGAGACGTGCTCCTGCTTGGGGAACCTGTTTTGGGTGCCTCTCCTCCTGGACAAACTTCTACTTGTATGATGAAACCCGCTGTCAGACGCCCTGCCCAAGGCCTGGCCCCCGACACCCCGGGCACCTGCCCTGTGCTCCCAGCCACACACTCTTTGCTTATCTAAGAGCCCTGGGAGCAGGAGCTGTGCCCCAGGTCTCTCTGGCTCCTGAGCACTGAGCACAGAGCCTGACTCTGAGTATGTGTCCAGGGAGTGTTTGTTGAAAGGGGTGGATGAGGGAGGGGAGGCGGGAGGGCAGGCTGATGGAGCAGGCACATTGAAGCTGAATAAAGAAACCTCCTTCATCTGGGACTCCAGAGCCTGGACCCCAGAGGGACCCAGTGTCCACTGCACCTCCCGGAGACTGGGGCTCCCAGGCTGCCCAACCTCTGGGCTCAGAGGGCGAGCTAGGATCTCGGGCCACACAAGTCTCCTGCTCTCTGCAGCCTGCGCGGGGCTTTATTCACCATCCCCAATCCTGACTGACAGCTCCAGGGCCTCCCCAGCAAACACGGGGCTCGCTTGATGGCTGTGCAAGGAGATGGGCTCGAAGCACCACTCAGAAGAGTACAGCTTTGCCCCAAGGGCACATGGCAGGGACAGGAGCCCCGCCCTGCCCGGGGAGAAATCTCAGTTCACCCGCGCTTCCACTTCTTGTCCACCTCGTCCACCCCGGCCATGACACCTCCCAGCCATGGATTGTTTTATTAGAGGAGCCAACCCCCCCCCTCCCGTCTTCCCTCCTTGGGGAGGTGACTTCTCCCTGGGTGCACACGACTCTATCACTCACTGCGGGGAGGGGCTGGGGTTCTGTATCCCCGATTGCTGCCCCCTTGGACATCCAAGGAGGACATTTCTGAGGTGTCGCCCGTTGGCAGGGTGACCTCGGCCACTTGTCTGCCTGCTCGGGGTCTGGGTGGTCCACGGGAGGCAGCGGACGCAGCTGGTCCGGGCCCTAGGGCGACCATCCGTCAGGCCTGGCCCTGCCACACCCCGCTTCTGAAGCCGCTCAGTCCTGGGCTCTGGGCCCCTTGGCCAGTCCACCAGGGTTGCCGGTGGACACAGGGCCCTTCCAAACATGGGAGCGGAGATTATCTTTTATTTTCCCCCCAAACCAAATTTATTTTCAAAGAAATCTGCCACAATGGTACCTGACTGTCCCTGTGATATTGTGACTTATAATAAGAAATAAGTATTTAGTCTTTGCCTGGTTCTGGGTCTGGCACAGAGTTCAGAAGCTTTGGAATTTCCTAAGGAATGAGATCCATAAAGGTGCCATTTGTTATGTTAATGGATGATTTAGGGCCCAACCTAAGGATAGAGGCTGCCCACCAGGGAACCTGGCTGGATGCTGCAGGATTAGAGGATTAGAATTTCCAGTCCCACCGGGCCAGGCCGGCTGCTGGGGAGGATGTTGGGCTGCAGGTGGACTCCATCACCAGCGGCCACTGATTCCATAATGAAGCCTTTGTAAACACCCCAAGGAAGGGGTGCAGAGACCTTCTGGGCCGGCGAGAGTGAAGAGATTTGATCAGAGCAGTTCCTGGAGCCCGTCCCCACACCTGCCCCACGTCCCCCTTGCATCTGGCTGTTCTTGACCCATAACCTACGGTACACCAGCAGTCCAACGGGTAAAACCTCTCTCTGAATCTCGTGAGCTGCCCTAGCAAATCCATCCAACCCGAGAATGGGGTCCTGACCCAGGGCTGGTCGGTCTGAAGCACAAGTGACAGCTGTGAGTGGGAAGTGGGGATAGTCTCGCGGCCCTGGGCCCCTGGCCTGGGGACTCTGATGCCATCCACGGCCAGACAGTGTCGGAATGGAGCCAGATTCTTGGCCATGGTCCTGGTGTCTGAGAATCATTTGGTGTTGTGTGGGTGGTCCTCGTGCTTGCACGTGTGAGCCGGGCCCAGGAAACCAATTTAGATCTGTTACATTTTTGCCTTATGGTAAAGTACACATAACATAAAATTTGCCATTTTAACCATTTTAAAGCCTAAAATTCAGGGAGATTAGGGACACTCACAGTGCTGTGTGACCATCACCACCACCTGGTTCCGGAAATAGTTTCCTCGCCCCTAAAGGGGACCCTATGCCTGTGATGCAGGGCTTTCTCCCTGCCCTTGGCCCCACCCAGGAAAACCACTGGTGTATTTTTCTGTCTCTGTGGGTTTGCCCATTCTGGACATTTCACGTAAATGGAGCCACGCCACATGTGGCCTTCTTTCCCTCTGCCTGCTGTGTGTGAGGCTGGCCCGTGGTACATGGCGTGTCGGGACTCCATTGCCTCCTAGGACCGAGTCCTACTGGGCCGAGCCGGCATGCTGGCTCGGTTACCCGCCTGTCCCTGTCGGTGGACACTGGCGTGGCTTCCACCTGCCGGCTGCCGTGCACATGGATGTGCCGAGACCTATTGCATCCCTGTTGCCGCTTCTCCTGGGAATACACCAAGATAGCACAGACTGGGGGTGGGGATGCTGAGACCATAGAAACTCCTCTGTCCCTGTTCTGGAGACTGGGCCCCACCCCTATGCCTTCATTCTACCCTAACCCCCTCTTCATAGGCTCCATCTCCAAATGGGGTTCCACTGGGGGATTAGGGCTCTCACATAGAAATTTGGGGGATGCAGTTCTGTCCCTAGCAGATGTGTCGGTAGGTTGGGGGCTCTTGGAGCAGGGCCGGGGGTGCTGGGCTGGGGCTCTGGGGCAGGAGTTGGATCCTGGTTCTGGTACAAGGACCTCTTTACCCTCTGCTCCCTGGGGCATAAAGCGGCTGATTTGGTCACTAGCTGCCCTGCGGGGGGGGGGGTAGTCTGGCCCCGCCTGATGGGTGCTTGTTCCTCACCCCTACCCAGGAGCTACTCTCAAGAGGCTGCGTGTTCCAGGAGCGACAGGGCTGGGAGCGGCCGGGATGGTTTACTCCCCAAGGCACAGCTCCGGTGAGTAGGCCTCCCAGGTGGGGCGTGTGTGGCTGCGCCCCCTGCAGATCGGCCTGTGTCTGCCGTGAGCGCAGGGCTCCTCCCTGCAGATGTCCCCGGGGCTGTCACTCACCACCCCAGCAGCCAGGCCTTCCATAAGCCCGGGGCCCCTGGGGAAGCTGGTGTTTCACAGTGAGGAGGCTGCAAGACCTCCCCCACCCCCGCCACCGTGTGTAGGAGAAATTAGCACATCTTCTCATAATTTCATTCGTATATTTTTGGCAACTGCAACTGTTATTTTATGTTAGTAGGAGGATTCAGGACAAAATTAGGGATTCTGTATTAGTTTGTAAGCTAAGATTTCACAGCCTCCTGGCCTCTGGGTGCCTTCCTGGGGGCTCCCCGACCCCCCAGGGCCTCCCATGGGTCCAGGGTGTCAGAAACAAAGCCAAACCATCCCGCTTGTGAAACTCAGGGGCTGGGGTTCGCTGGAGCAGGCGATATGGTGCTTTCAGCCCAATTGGGGGGATAGTTCTGATCCGGATTTTTGCAAATTGAAATCCCTCTCCTGTTGCTGTGTTTTGCAAGACCCCTTCCCCTGTAACCACCTCCCATCTCCATAGCAACCCGCGGCCCAAGGGCAGTCCCAGGGCATCCTGACAGAGGCCAGAGCTCACTAATGCTCAGAGGTCAGCGTCCTCAGTACCCTCTGTCCTGGTCCCTTCTCCGTCAGCCCGTAGAGACCCTTGCTCCCTGCCCAGGAGCACGGAGCTCCCCTTGAGGTCCTCTTCACTGGAGGGACAGGCACACAATGAGGCCCCAGTGAGGATGGAGGAGGGGGCTCTCTAAGCCAGCAGGGGGAACAGACTGCCCTGAGGGCTGAAAGGCTGAGGCCACCAGGACCCAGGACGGGATGGGGCTTCAACAGAGCCCTCTGCATCCTGCCTGGCCTGTCCCAGGAAGCCCCTGTCCCCTGGAATCCCTGGGAGAGCAGGGGACACTGGATTGGGAACATTCCCTTGGTCTGGAGATGGGCAGGTTCTGCGCCCTCTCACCTGGGAGCCATCCTGGGAGTCCAGGGCACGGGGTGACAAGATGTCCCCCAAATCCCGGATGCCCAGCCAGGCTGCAGAGAGCAGGGATGTCCCTTCTGGGGCCCCAGGGGCCAGCAAGAGCTGTGCCTGTTGGGCAGGGTGACAACTGTCTGCAGAGGCCCCTCCCTGTGGCCAGGGCTTAAGTGGGGCTGGAGAGAGCAGAGCGGCCCCACTCAGAACCGTGCACTCAGCTGTTACCTGTCACAGGAGGCTGGGCTGGGCAGGGGTGAGAGGTGACAGTTGACTGGTTCCCTCAGTAGCAGCAGGGGCGAAGAGGGGCCTCTGGGCCTGTGGGCATCTCAGAGCTGCCAACAGCGTGCAGGACAGGCCAAGGCCAGTGGCAGAGGAGGAGCCAGCCTCTGGGGCTCACCCACCTCCAGGTCTGTCGGGTACTTGCCTGGGACCTAGGGCAAGCTTTAATCTCTCTGCCTTAGTTTCCTGCCTGGAGAAAGGACCTCCTTCCCTAGAAGTTTGAGGCACTTGGAGCAGGGCGTGGTCCTGATTGCCAAGGCAATGGCATTGGCCCCTGAGATGAGGGGCCACCCTCTTCCTCAGTGAGCCAGTTCTGGGGCCTTATCCTGCTTCCTTACCCTTGAGTTGAAAGCCAAACGGTGGCTCTGATGTCTCAGGTGACCCACCCTTGCCTCCCTGTCAGCCCCGTCTCCCCCTATCTTGACTATGCCCAAGGTCTCCATCCTTCTGGGCCCCAACCAGCACAGCCCACCCTCTCTACCGGCCCAGCTCTCAGACACACCGCCACCATGGAGATCACAGTGTCATGTGTGCAAGGGGTTAGAGACATGAGCCCCTTCTCCCCCCTTCCTGCCCCTGCATCCACAGCACACCCCTCTGGAGGGCAGCCAGGTGAGGCTGGACCAGATTGCCTGCTCTATCTTTGCCTCTGCAGGACCCAGCTCCCTGCCTGCCAGGCACACGTGTGTGTGTGTGTGTGTGTGTGTGTGTATGTGTGTGTGCACGTGCGTGTGTAGGGAGGGACAGAGGGACAGAGGGAAGTGAGGAGTAGGAGGGTGGAGGACGTGATGAGCATGTCTTCTTGCAGGTTCTGCAGTACGACTACTATGGGGCCTACGGAAACCAGGCACACGAGGACTACACCTACGGCTGCCTGCTCGGGGACGAGTACACATTCGACTTCCCGCCGCACCACGACGTGGTCAGTACCAAGTGCCCCCCTCCCTGGTGGAGAGAAAGTCAGGCTCCTGGGAGAGCTGGCCCTTAGGGTCCCTCAGGAGTCCTGCCAGAGACTCTGTGGGCTCCCTCCTGTCCACCCCCATGTTGGGCTGACTCCGTTATGAGGAGGAATCAGTAAGGTTTGCCCCTCCTCCCTCTTCTGTACCAAGGCTTGGGTCTTAGGCGGGGGCTGCCCCTCTCTGAGCCAGTGTCCCTCCTGCCCTGGAGCTGCTCTGGGACTTGCCTGCATGAGACTGTGTGTGTGACCAGCTCCTCCCTCTGGGCCCAGCACCGTGGGTTTCCATCTGTGGCTCTTACAGAGTAGATTGAGGACACAGAGATCCCGGGGTGGCCCTCGAGGGGACAAACAGAGAGCCTGTGGCCTGGGGTCTGCTTACCGCCCCTCTGGCTCCAGCAGTGGGCAGGTGAGGCTGTGCAGCGCCCCAGCCCGAGTGTCTGGCCCCCTGCTCCCACTGGGGTGGGGGTGACGAGGTCCTGAGGCCTCGGAGATGTTCTCACAGGCAGTTTCTGCAGAAAACACTAGTGTCCACGCCAAGTGGCCCAGCCATGCAGTAAAGGGATTCACCAGTAGGACACGGCCCAGCCTGTGTCCCCGTGGCTCATACAATCAGTACCCCCCCATGTGGGAGTGGAGCCAAGGCTTCCACCTGCAGGTGCCTGACCCAGGAGGGAAGGCAGCTGGCCAGCTTCCTGGGGGTGTGGCCCATGAGGTCACCTGGGGTCCTGGCTCAGAAGGGCCCTGCCCAGAGCAGCACTCTGCTGTCGCCACCTTGAAACTCCTAATACTTTTGGAACCATGGCACAGGGTTCCATGTTGCCCTGGGCCTCACAAATGCTACAGCTGGACCCATGACACACACCTCCTCCCCCTCCCCACCCCACCCCCAGCCCCGGGCTTGCTCTCGTGGAGGAGTCACTGGGGGAGGGGCTTGGGACGTGGAAGCCAGAGGCACATGCATCCAGAAGCTCCCGGAGTCCCTGGCATCGCATCTCAGGAAGCGAAGGGGGCTCTGTCTGGCACTTCGGCACCCGCACCTCCTAGGGCCTGCAGGACGTCTGGCCCTCGGGGATGTGAGAGCTTGGAGGGGATGCCAACTTGGCTTGGAGGCTTCATCCAGCCTCCGCAAATGCGCCTGAACAGTCCTGAAGCATGAAACACGCATTTGTTCTCAGCGTTGGCAAGCGCCCCAGCCTGGGGAGACGAGAGTCAGCCCCGAGACTGGAGTTTTACTCTGGGCCCCCAGGTACAGCCCCAGCAGCGTCAGCGAAGGTCCCATAGCGCCCTACCAGTTGCAGGAGCTGCACAGAGGGTGGTGGTGTCTGCAGGGGGGTGGGAGTGGCAGCATTTGGGGCTCGGGTGTGACACAGAGACGGTGGGGTGCCAGCCCTCCTGGGGGAGCCCAATCAGGGCCTTGGCCAGTGTCCCTGGTGTAAATACTCTCACCACTCACTCCGACGCACCCACACGGCGCCACCGGATGCGGAGCTAGAGGAGACGTGCCACCAGACAGACGTGGTGTGGGCGCATCTATGGTCTTCCAGCTGGGTGGCGCCCCGGCAGACTGCGTCCCCTCCCTGGGCCTGGGAGGGCACTGGGCATGAGGTGGCTCATGGCAGTTTCCTTGTTGGGGATGGTGGATGAAGCACAGGATGGGAGGAGGTGATGCAGGTCCCTGGCACACAGTGAGTGCTCGGCGAGGGGTAGTTTGCTGCTACAATTTTTTCTTCTCTCATCACAATAAGGCTGGCGCCTGTGCTTGGAGGTTGGGTGACATGTTCCGAGCAAAGGAGCAGGGGCGCCGTGATAGGAGACAAGGGGAAAAACGCATGGAGGGCCTGGCTGGGGCTTTGATGACTACCAGCAGGGCTGTTCCACTCTTTTTAAAACAAAACAAAACAAAACAAAAGCAAAAAAACAACAGCTTTTTTGAGATGGACCTCACATACCGTAACCCATCCATCTGAAATGCACAAGTCCATGTTCATTAGTCACTCCCGGGGCAGGGCAGCCGTCACCACAATCTGATGTCAGAACATATTTGTCCACCTGCCAAGGAAACCCTGGGCCCACTAACCATCACCCCCATCCCCCCACCCTTGGGCACCCACTCAGCTACTTCTGTCCCCTACACATTCTCCTCTCTGGGACATTTCAGAGCAGTGGACTCATACAATCAGTCTTTTGTGACTGGCTTCTTTCACCCAGCTCGGTACTTTTAAGGTCCATCCACGTTTTAGGGCGTATCCATTACATCCTTACTCTGTGTTCTGAGCGGTATTGTGTGATATGGATATATGGCAGTGTGTCTGGTCGTCTGCGGACAGACACTTGAGGTGTCTCCACGTCTTGGCTGCTGTGAATAACGTCGCTAGGATCCTGCCTAGACGGGTCTGCGTGGACAGAGGTTTTCATTTCTCATGGGTAGATGCTAGCAGTGGCATGGCTGGATCATGTGTGAATGTGACACTTCATGGTTTGAGGACCCACCAGCCCTTTTCCAAAGTGGCTGTGCTGTTTCGCATCGCCACCCACAGCACGGAGGGTTCTGGCTTCTCCACATCCTCGCCACCACTTGTGATGCTCTCTCTTTGATCCTAACCATCCTGGTGGGTGTGAAGTGGAGAGTATCTCATTGGAGGTTTGAGCTGCATTTCCCTACAGGCTGATGATGTGGAGCATCTTCTCATGTGCTCATTGGCCATTTGTACATCTTCTTTGGAGAAATGTCTATTCAGACACCTTGCTCATTTTAATTTGGGTTCTTGGTCTTTTTATTGAGTCATGAGAGTTGTTGTTATATGTGGGTACACGTCTCCTACCACACTTCTGCGTGCACATATTTTCTCCCTTTTTCTGGCTTGTCTTTTCCCTCTCTTGATGGTAGTGTTGGCAGCACAAAAGGTTGAATTTTGGTGAAGTCCAACCTGTGGATTGTTTCTCTTGCTGCCTGTGCTGTGGGTGTTGTATTTCAGAAGTGCATTTCCTCACCTGAGGCCACAAAGACCTACTCCCATATTTTCTCCTAAGAATTATATAGGTTTAGCTCTTTTTTTAAGAGATTTTATTTATTTATTCATAGAGACACAGAGAGAGAGGCAGAGACACAGGCAGAGGGAGAAGCAGGCATCATACAGAGAGCCCGATCTCTGGGACTCGATCCAGGGTCTCCAGGATCACGCCCTGGGCTGCAGGCAGCGCTAAACCGCTGTGCCACCCGGGCTGCCCATAGGTTTAGCTCTTATTCCTAGGTCTGTAACGCACTCTGACTGAAGTTTTGTATGGAAAAAAAAATAAATAAAGTTTTGTATGGTGTGAGAAACAGGTCCAGCTTCCTTCCCTGTATGTGGCCGTCCAGCTGCGTCGGCACCGCGTGTTGAAGAGCATCACCCTTGCATGGCCTTCCCATCCATGGAAAATCAGTGGGTCATAATTGGGAGGGTTGATTTCTGAACTGTCAACCTGATTTCAGTGATCTAGATGCATCTCCTGTGTGAGTGCTTCCCGTCTTGATTACAGTAGTTTTGTAGCGAGTTTTGAGATCGGGAAGCGTGAATCTCCCAGATTTGTCTTTCCTTTTCAAGATTGTTTTAAATATTCTGGATCAGAATTGAATTTCCCTATGAATTTTAGGCTCAGTTTGTCCATTTCTCCCAAGAAGCCAACAGTAATTTTGATGGGGATTATGTGGAATCTGGATCAATTTGGAGAGTTGTCATCTTAGGAATAGCCAAGTCTTTCTTCATTTTGTAAACGTGGGATGTCATTCCACTCATTTAAGTCTTCTGCTATTTCTTTAAAAAATGTTGTCAAGTTCTTAGATTTCTAGTTTTGCCCTTCTTTTGTTAAATTTATTCATCAGTATCTAAAAATTCTTTTCGATGATGTAAGTAGAATTAGTTTCCTAATTTCATTTTTGACGGTTCATTGTTAGTGAAATGAAAAACAACACAATCATTTTTATTTGTCTGCTGTACATTGACCTTATATCCTGCCACCTTGTTGAACTATTTTGTTCCTTGTAGTAGTTTTTTAGTGGGTTCTTAGGATTTCCTATGTGCAAAATCATGTTATCTGCAAATAGAAATCGTTTTATTCCTTCTTTTCCAAGCTTGATTCCTTTTATTACTTTTTCTTGCCTAATTGCTGCCCTGGTTGGAACCTCCAGTATGATGCTGAGTAGAAGCAGCAGAGCAAACAGCTGTCCTGTTTCTGATCTTAGAAGGGACATTTTTCACTCTTTCCCTGCTATGTACTATAATATCAGCCGTGGACTTTTTTGTACATGCTTTTAATCAGGTTGAGGAAGTTCCCTCCTATTCTGAGATTATTGAATATTTCTTATGATGAAAGGGGTTGGATTTTATCAAATACTTTATCTGCATTTATAGGGATGATCATATAGTTCTGTTTTGGGTTCTATTAATATGACGCGTTCCATCCGTTGATGGAAACTCCCATTCCCAGGAGAGATCCCTCTTGATCATGGCGTGTATTCCTTTTCATGTGTTGTTCAATTTAGTTCACTAGTGTTTTGTTGAGGGCGTCTGTATCTATTTTCCTGAGGGATATTGGCCTCCTTTTCTTAGGGAGTCTTTGTCTGCATTTGGCTTTAGGGTGATGCTGACCTTGTGAAACAAGTTAGGAATGATTTCCCACTCTTCTATTTTTGTGTGTGTATGTGAATTTTGTGAAGATTCAGTATTAATTCTTCTTGGAATTTTTGATAGAATTCACCAGTGAAGCCATCTGGACTCGGGCTTTTCCTTAAAGGGAGTTTTAAATTACTAGCCCAATCTCTTTTTGTTATGGATCTATTCAGATTTTCTATTTCTTCTTCAGTTTTAGTTACTGCGTCTTTCTAGGAATCTGTCCATTTCCTGTCTCACGACGTGTTGGTGGACGAGTATGCGTGGTATCCCCTTAGAATCCTTTTATTGCCGTAGGGTAGGTAGTGATGTTTTCCGACTTTCATACCCAATTTAGTACTTTGAATCTTCTCTCTATTTCCTTTGTGAGCCTAACTGAAGGTCTGTTAATTTCATTGATCCTTTCATAGAACCAATATGTGTTTGCTGATTTTCTCAACTTTTCTATTCCCTATTTCATTTATGTCCATTCTGGCCTTTATCGTGTCTTTCCTCCTGCTTCATCTGGCTTAATCCACTCTTCTTTTTCTAGTTTCTCCAAGTGGGAAGCTGAGGCATCAGTGTGAGAGCTTCTTCTGCACTGGAGGCATTCATAGGTGTAATGTCTCTGTGAGCACGGCTCTGACTTGGTTCCCTCTCTTTCCATGTACCGCATTTCCATCAGCATCCTTCTCCAAGTACCCCTGTGAATGTTTTCTTTGATCCTTTGGTTATTCAGAAGTGTGCCAGTTAATGTCACTTACATGTGAACTCTCCAATTTTCCTCCTACTATTGACTCCGAATGAAATCCCACTGTGGTCCAATGTCATGCTGTGTGTGATCTTAATCCTTTTGAACGTACATACTGCCTTTTTTATGGCATATGAGTGTCCCTGGAGAACGTTCCCTGTGCTGGAGAAGAATGTCACGGTGTGCCCCAGCTGGGAAGGGGCGGGAGTCTCAGGGCAGGTGTGCAGCAAAGAGCACAGTGCCCCGTGCTCTGGAGGAGGCGCATCTCAGAGCCCTCATGGCATCGCTCATTCCCCGGAACTTTTCAGATCAAGAAGGAGTGTCTGGCCTGTAGAGGAGCTGCTGCTGTGTTCAACATGTCCTACTTCGGGAAGTTCTATCTGGTGGGCTTGGATGCGAGGAAGGCTGCCGACTGGCTCTTCTCTGCTGACGTCAGCCGACCCCCAGGTACGACCTCCAGAGTGCCATGCTCCTTTCCCTCTCCAGCACCAGGAAAAATTCCATGGGCACTGCCCTGGGGACTGACCCTGTCCCCACTGGGCTCCTGTAGCTCATGGCTCTGCCCCATGGCCTGACCCTGGGCTCCCTGTGTCTAGACCCCTCTGCCCTTATTGCTAAGACCCAGCCCTTAGGCCCCTGGCACCTTCCTCCATCCCTCCTCCCCAACCTCCTTCTTTACTTTGTTCCAGAAAGGGTAAAAGGCATCAGGGCCTCAGCAAACATGTCCTGGGAACAAGGAACCCATAGGAAGAGTCTCCCCAAACAGGGTTTCCAGAATTAAATGAAAATACAAGAAGCTCAGATAAATTTGAGTCTCAAGTGAAGAACGAACAATGTTTATGTATAGGTGTGTCCCATGTATTATTTGGGATATTCACCTTCTTTTTTATTTACTACCCTCCACCCACCTGTCCATCCACCTAACAACTCACCGCCCATCCCCCTCTGTATTAGCACTTTGGCGCTCCTGTAACAAAGCACCACAAACTGGACAACTTTAAACAATCAAAACATATCTGACAGTTTTGGAGGCTTGAGGTTTGTGAGTAAGGCGGGGCCATGTTCCCTCTGAGACCATAGGTAGGACCCTTGGCAGCCTCTCCTGGAGGTTCCTAGGAGTTCCTAGGCTATGGCTGCATCCCTGTCGTCTCTGCCCTGTTGTTACACAAGCTTCTCCCTGCTTGTCGTCTTCTTATTAAGGATGCCAGTCATCCTGGGTTATGTCCCACTGTAATGACCGTCTTAACGTGATTACATCTACAAAGCCCTATTTCTGAATAAGATCACATTCACAGGTACTTGGGGTTGTGACTTCAACATATCATTTTGGGGGAGGACACAGTTCAGCCCATTACACTATTTCCCCAGCCAACCCCCTGCCACCCACTTACACAAGCACCCCCTGCCCAGCTCCTCTTAAACCTCATGCTGACCCACGTGCCCCATCTGCCTCCCTATCCATAAACCCCACCTGGCACACCCCTCCATCCACCTTCCCCTTCACCCTCCATTCATTCACCCATCTGTATAGTCATTTGTTCAACAGACTTTAGGAGCCTCTGCTCAGCCTCTATGGGTGCACCAGAGTGAGACAGGAGCCCTGCTCCTGAGAACTTTCCAGCATGGTGGTGGGTTGTGGGTGGGAGGGTGATGGGGAGCATCCAGGTCCCGAGTGGAGGCATTTCAAGAGGAAAGAAGCTCCACTCTTGATCCTTGGCCGCCAGAGGATGGCCGTGCTGGGTGACTTGCCCATCCCTCCCTGGGCCCCTCGGGTGTGGCGGCATCACTGTGTGGAGAGACCTCTCCAGGGCATCCTGTCCAGCGGTTACGCAGACCTGTGTGTACCGGGCTGTGCCGAGGGGCCGCCACACCGAGTGGCTCACACTCTGGCTCTTCCTCCTGCCCCAAGGCTCGACTGTGTACACCTGCATGCTGAACCACAGGGGTGGCACGGAAAGTGACCTGACCGTCAGCCGCCTGGCCCCCAGCCCCCAGGCCTCCGCCCTGGCCCCTGCCTTTGAAGGTAGGAGATCCCCCCGGGCAGAGCAGTGTTGTGACCTCGGGCCCTGCTCTGGTGACCGTGGCCGCTGCGGGTGCCGTGGACAAGGAGGGGCTGATGGGAGCTGCTCTGAGATCACCTATTGGGCCCATGGTGGTCAGGGCTCGGGAGATGAGATGTCTCGGTTCAGGCGGAACAGTGGGCTTTGTTCAGGCAGTGGCGCTGGGCTCTGAGTACTGCATGACTGTGTCTTTGAAACTGTCCAGACTGCAGTGTTGGAGCAGCCACAGCGTGCGCACACTCAGCGCGTCTGCCCAGAGCGGAGTGAGCCAAGGAGAGGGCCATGCCTCCCACGTGGAGAGGTTAGCGCCTCTCTGCCATGAGCATCTGTGCTGCCTCGACTTTTATCTATGCTGAATCCCTGCTCAGGCTGGGGCAGGTCCTTAGTTCAGTGCTCCAGCTCCTGCTGGGTTGCCCTCCATGGTCTCTTCACTTTTGTTTGCATGCCCCCCAGTGACGGTCCACTCAGTACCTGTATTCCCTGTTTGCACAGCCCTGACTGCCTCACTGAGCCAGATCTGCTTCCTGTCACTTCAACTCCCTGCCCCTACCCCCTGGTTCCTGCAGGAACAACCTCAGCTCTAGTCCTGTAACAGTCTCTGCTGGGGGGATCCCTGGGTGGCGCAGCGGTTTGGCGCCTGCCTTTGGCCCAGGGCGCGATCCTGGAGACCCGGGATCGAATCCCACGTCAGGCTCCCGGTGCATGGAGCCTGCTTCTCTCTCTCTCTCTCTCTCTCTCTCTCTCTCTCTCTGACTGTCATAAATAAATAAATTTAAAAAAAAAAAACAGTCTCTGCTGGGGAGGAAGAGAGATGGCTGAGGTTCGCAGAGTGGGGAGAACCCTCTTTCTCTGGGAAGAGGCCCCGTTGCTACCTCTGGATTTGCAGAGGAGAAAGGCATTTCTGTGTGGCTGAACGTGCCAACCAGGGTGAGGGCCAGGAGACCAGAAGTGCTGGGAAGTGGCCCATTCAGAGAGCCAGGCAGCCCCCTGGCTCCAGGCCTGGTTCTGTGCTGCCAACAAATGTAGCCGTGTCCTCAATGTGCCCAGATCTGGGTCCCTGGGGTTAGGGGCCGGGCTCCGGCCTGGGCATTGGGAAAGGGTGGTGCACTTTAGTGAGGTCAGGAGCCCAGGACTAGCTACTGAGCACTCACCACGGGCCAGCAGCCTGTTTGAGGCACCAAGGATATTACCATGAACCAACCTGAGAAGATTCTGACCCGTGTGGCATTTATATTTCTGATGGGGAGGAGGGGTGGCGGGACAACTTCGCTTCACTGACCACAGAATCCTTTGGGGTGCATTTGGAGGCTGAGTGTGGGTGGGCCTCTGGAGTGGCTGTGGAAAACAGTGCCATGGGGTAGCACTGGCCGACAGGAGGCCATGAGCGTGGATGAGTGCTCCTGCTGGGGGGCGTAGGGCTCGGGGGGCCTGTCCCTCCTGCCCCCTGTGGTGCTGAGGCCAGAACAGTAGTGGGCTCAGCTGGAGCACATGTGCTTCATGAATGAGCTCATCTGCCCATTCCTTCTCCCAGTGCTCACTAGAGCCCTCCCTCTCAGACAGGTGTGTGCTGATGGCAGAGGCAAGAGCCAAAGGAGGCTGGCTGTGCCTCTGGGATCCCGTGGTATGGACCCACCACTGTAGAGGCAGACATGCCAGGAAGAGCCCATTAAAACACCAGAGTGGGATGGTGGAGGCCCTGGGAAGTAGCTGAGCTAGGATGGGGAAGGCTTCCTGGAGGAGGTGATGTCTGGCTGGAGCCTCTGGATGGGCAGGAGGTGCCAGCTGGAAAGGTGCCTGCAAGGAGCCGGGGGGACAGGCCAACAGGGGCCATTTGGAGAAGGGCTGGTGGGAGCTTCATGTGGCCTTGAGCAGAGGGTAAGGCCTGACAGACCGCTGCCCTCCCTGGAGAGCAAGTGTAGCTGAGAGTGCAGGACAAAGGGATCCCTATGAGAGTGCAGAGGGCCTACAGAGGTCCCCAGCCGGACCCTGCCACTGCCTGGCTCTGTGGCACACAGCTCAGAGCCTCAGTTTTCCTGTCTGGGGAATGGGGGGCATTGCTAGTTCCCTCTCAGTGGGGAGCTGTGGTGAAAGCACTTTGTAAACTGAGTCACTGCCTGAGGGCACACCCATGATACACCTTTCTGGATGATTCCGGTGGATCCCTGGCCAGGAGGGTTTGAGGAGCACCTGCCTGGCCAGGGCTGAGCGGGGAACAGACTCTGCAGCCGAGGTACGAGGAAGGGGCTAAAGATTCGGGAGACTCTGGGGCCTCCACATCAAATCACAGAGTCTCCCGAGAGTGAGCGAGGGGTCTGCGCTTGGCCTGAGAGGGGGGAAGTGTGCGCCGCGAGGGAGGCACGACAATGCCTGTGTCACATCCCGGGAGGCTCTAGCGCGTGCTGACGGGCCTGGGGACAGGGCCAAACACGAGAAAACCCGTGGTGTGTGGACCTTGTTTTATTTTCAGCCTTCAAAATTACCGCTCCTGCCATGAATATGCATGTCTGTTCAATATGCGTGTTTTAGATGGGGGTTCATTATACCTGTTATATCAGATCACCGTTAAGTCAAGAGGATGAGGTGATTTGCATTCGATCAAGGTTGTGTACACAGCAGCCGTCAGTCCTAAACGTGATCTCGATTGATCTTTCATATTGCAAGGGGAAAACCTGCTTGTAGGAGGTGTGTCAACAACACCAAAGGTGCAGCATAAAACCTGCCGCCCCCAGCTCCGCAGCTGGAACCCACGCCCCAGGACACTGTGCCCGCTGACCACCCTCTCTGTCATGTCCGCTGGCAGGCTGGGCCTGGAGCTGGGCCAGCTGTGGCCTCGGACCTGGCACTTAGGGTCTTTGGTGAGGGACAGCTGCCCCTCTCTTGGACTCCCGGTGGCCTCAGTAACCCACGTCCTTCAGGGACAGGCCTCTGGTGGCTTCAGGCCGCTGGGCCTCCGCAGAGTCACAGCGAGTGTCAGGGCCCGGGGCCAAGGACACAGGCAGTGTCCTGTAACAGTCCCCAGCCCAGGGACTTGGGCCCTTGGGGGGCTGACTGGTCTTTTTGGCTTCTGTCTCCTTTTGTCCTCATCAGTTTTAAGAGGAAAGAGGAAGGGAGGAAACATGATCAAACCTGGCCAGGACTTTGGTAGATATTTTTATCCCGTGGATGCTCTTAACAGCCCTTTGGGGGCAGGTGTGGCCCTGCCCATCTTACAGATTAGGAAACAGGCTGGGACAAGTGAGAATGGAGGCCGATGAGCCAAAAAAGCGAATCTGGGCCAGGCTGGTCTGGTGCCAAAACTTATGTGTTTCCCAAGACAGGGTCCTCCTGGGTGGGAGAGAATAGTTCCCCTGGGAAGTGTCCCTAAGGGGGTAAGTAGCAGGGGTTTGCAGAGCAGCCCTTTCTGCCCAGCCTCATAGTCCAAAAGATCCAAAGGTGCATGCAGGGTATGGTCCCGGCTGTAGGGAGATTGTGGGGTGGGGACAGATGCTGGTCCCCAGGAAACAGGCAAGAGGGCAGGCCACTGCAGTGAGGTGGTGGAGGTGCTCTGCAGGGTTGGGGTAGGGTAGGTAGGGAAATGGACTTCCCAGAGGAGGGGTTTGAGCTGAGTCCAGGAGGGTGAGGAGGCGTGGCTCAGGTCCTGGGAGGGACTGGCCCAAGAGCCCAGCTGAGAGTGCCAGAACCAAGTACCTTATGAGGGGGTGGGGGCCACAGGGCAGGCTCTGACAGGCCGGGGGGACACTGGGGGACCATCCTGAGGGCCGTGGGAGGGAGGGCGGGAGGTGGAGAGGTTGGACAGGCGTGGGATTAGAGGCTGGGGCCAGGAGGGGACAGATCCAGCCATCCAGGCCACAGATGCTGCAACCCAGACGGAGCCCCAGCCGTGGGCACAGAGAGAAGGGGCTCGGAGATGGCTTGGGGAGTGGGGGTGAGGAGACAGCATGGCCGCGGGTGACCCCAAGGTCCAGTCATCTGCCAGGAAGTGCCTCGAGCTCTGGTATTCAGGGAGGGCTTCCTGTAGGCTAAGGCCTCTGAGTCGGATCTGGAGGGACAGGCGGGATTAGGGGAGCAGAAGAGCACACAGCACATGGGGTGATGAGGTCAGGAATGTCCCTGGGCTCACCTGGACGAGGTGGGAGGAGGTGGTGGGGACCACAGCCCCTGCTTCTGCTCCTTTCCCAGCTCCAAGCTTCCAACTGGTTGCCCCCAGCCCAGCCCAGCCCAGGAAACTCCCATGAGAGCCCCGCTAACAGGTACTCTTGGAGAGTGAGAGAAGCCTGGTGCCCCTTCACCCCCAGGCCTCGGCCACCGGTTGTGCCCTCCTTTGCCAGAGAAGGATAGTGAGGCGTGCCTACTTTTCAGTTACAATAGGGGTGCTGTGCGCCTGTTATCACAATGGCTCACGGCTCTGGGGGAGCCCTTGGGAAGGGCCAGGGAAGGGCACTTAGGAGGATTCTCCAGCCTCTAGAGCCCCCTGGCCATCTCCGCCTGTGAGCTACGTCTGAGTCTGGGGTGGCACTGGGCTTGTGGGGACCGATGCCAGAGCCAACAGTGTCCAGGGCTGAGAGAAGCAGCTGCCACACAGTACCCCGAGGAGGAGGATGCCTCATGGGGCAGAACCAGCCTTGCCGCCGGCTCTGGGCCCCTACCAGGGGTCCCTCTCACAGTCACGGTCCCACTGTACAGATGGAGAAGTGGCTGGGAGGTCAGGGATCGTCCAGGTACCACCGCTCTGAGGCGGAGTTACTGAGGAAGGAAGGCAGGGGGCAGGATGCCAGGGGAGGGACAGAGATGGAGGAGGCCCCCACCTCCAGTGACCAGTGAGGCACAGGCCACGGCTGAATCTCACAGTGTCCCTGGGATGAGAGCACAGAGGCTCAGAGAGGCTGTGTGATGGGCCTGAGGCCCCACAGCTGGCCCAGCTCCCGCTCCCCAGGCTGGCAGCTCCCCCAGGACACTGGGCTGAGGCAGGCTGCCCTCCGTTCACCCCTACCCGGGGGGCAGTGAGGCCTAGGCCATGGACTCAGAGCTGGACAGAGTCTAATCTTCCACTGTGTGCCCTCTGTGAACCTCAGGCTCCTTTTCTGAACCCCTGGGAATGGTGATGAGCATCAGCCTCCTGGGGAGAGTGAAGGAGATATTGTCTGTAAAGCCCAGCCCTGGACCAGGCACCGCGAGTCCTGCTATGGCCAATGGGGGGACCTGGAGACCAGGGATCGGGGGAGCATGCAGTGAAATGAGAGCCAGGGGGGAAGAGACTTGTCCGAGCCCACCCAGCATTGATGACCAGATGGAGCAGCATCACCCTGGGGGTGGTGGTGGTGGGACCTCTGCCCCTTCCTGGGTCAGGAGCTCTTTGAGGAGTGGGTGAAAGCCTCAGAGTCTCCCAGAGAAGTGCTCCCTTGCCATGTGCAGCCCTTGGGGGTCCTAGAGCTTGACCCTGACCCCTGCTCCCCAATGAGATCCAGGGCCCCCGGGGAGGGGCCCCCATGCTCTGGCTTGTGTTGTTCACTCTCCATAAAAAAGGACATGTCTCCTCAACCCAGAGGCCTTGGGCCTCACTGCACTGCTTGTGCCACCTGCGTCCTGCTGTCCTGCCCTGAGTCTGCCCTTCTGTTTCAGGGGACGGCTACTACCTGGCTGTGGGCGGGGCTGTGGCCCAGCACAACTGGTCTCACATCAGCACAGTGCTGCAGGATCAGAAGTTTCGGTGCCAGCTTATCGACGGCTCTGAGGACCTGGGCATGATCAGCATCCAGGGCCCCGCCAGGTGAGGACAGGCCCCCACAGGGCTGCCACCCCCATTCCGAGCCCCTGGGACCCAGACCCAGGTCCCTCCAACCACTTGCTGGTCCAGAGTGGGATGTGCTGGTTAGTTAGACGCTCTGGTGAACTCCGAGACGCCACACCGGACAGATCACTGTCAAAGCCCTAGGATGCAGAAAAGCCCTTGATGTGAGTGTCACGCTGAACCGGACAGTGACTCAGCATCTGAGGGCTCAGGGGTCACAGGAGGGTCTGTGTGTGATTCGGTATTTGCGGAACTGCATCCCCACCTGCGAGGAGTCAGAGCTGGCAGGGTCCTCAGATGCGGGCTTGTGTGTGGAGCTGCAGAAGCGGCCTCGGCACAGGGCGCATGAGCTGCTGTGCGCTTTGGAAAGATCCCTACAGCTGGGCTTCTGGGAAGAGGCCTGGGGTTTGGGGTGGGAGGTGGGGAGAGGCCAGTGGGGAAGAAGAATCGTGTTCACAGCACCCACTGGGCACCTGTCATCTGCCAACCCCTGAGCCGACATCTCCTGAAACTGCTACCAGCAACCCTCGGGGGTGGTCCCAGTTGTGCTTGTTCTTCTTCAATGAGGAATCAGAGGCACAGAGTGGCGGAGATCTCTGCCCAGGGTTGCACAGCCAGCAAGTGCCAGGGTGGGTGGGCATGCACCCCGTCCTCTGCCCCCAGCTCTCGGAAAGCTGCACACCCTGAGCAGCCGCCTGTCCTGAGGAATTATAGACCCTCCGCGAGATGCTGTGCCCGGTGCCGGTGCTCTGTGACCCCAGAACCCAGGGGTGCATTGGTGGTGGGGGGGCCCTGCCAGACTGAGAGGTGCGGGAGGGGGCAGGGGAGGAGGGGAACCACTCCTGGGGGCATGTGTAAAAGGAAGGACGCACCCCCCCCCCAGAACGGTGGGAAGCGCTGGCTGCTGAGAGGCGGCGGGAGTGGGGGGAAGAGTGGATGGATGTGCCCACAGCCAGACGGCCCCCCGCCGCACCACGGACCAAGCATGCTGCATCTGGGTCCCGTCCCCATGGCCGGCAGGCCTCCTGGGTCCCTGGCTGCTGTGCCCAAGCCCCGCCACGGGGTATATTCTCCCGGTGCCTTTGAGCCGACCGAGCCAGCAGCTCCCTGTGCTGGGTCCTGGGCTGGCCCACCTCCCCTCCCAGGGGGTGCAGTAGCCGTCTGTGCATGGGCGTGGCTCGGGGCCGCACAGCAGACGGGCAGGACACGCTCGCTGGATGAATGTATAGGACCTGAGTAGATCATATAGGTCACGTGTTGGTCCAACGTGCATTAAGACAACACTTGGGGGCAGCCCCGGTGGCGCAGCGGTTTAGCGCCGCCTGCAGTCCGGGGTGTGATCCTGGAGACCCGGGATCGAGTCCCATGCCAGGCTCCATGGAGCCTACTTCTCCCTCTGCCTGTGACTCTGCCTCTCTCTCTCTCTATGAATAAATAAATAAAATCTTAAAAAAAAAGACAACACTTGGGCCATGCCCTCGAGGAAATGAGGGATCACGCTTTGGAGTGCTCTGGAGGGATGGTGTTCCAGGCACAGGAAACAGCAGGTGCAAAGGCCCTGTGGCAGGGGTGTGCCCATGCATCTGAGGGAAAGTGGTGAGGCCAACTGGAGCAGGGCAGTTGGAGACAGGCCCGCAGAGCAGAAGGGGTGGGAGCCTGTGGGTCTAGGGGCTGTTTCTCTGAGTGAGGGGGGCTGAGCAGAGCAGAGACACGGGTAGACTTGGGCCATATAGCAGGGTCTCTGAAGCTGGGCCAGGCTGCTGTGTGAGGAGCCCCAGGGGCTGGAGAAGCCAGGACTCTGAGGAGGGAGCCATGAGCTGTGTCCAGGGGGTCAGTGGAGAACCACCCACCTCCTGTACCTCATGGGAAGCCTCCCAAGGTGGGTGCAGGTGACAGTTGCCTCCTTCCCCTGGCAACTCCTTAGCTTCCATCCCCGTTCTTGCATGAGCGACAGCCTGGCCGGCACCACCAGCAGGGGCTAGACCCTCGGAGCCATCATGCAGGAAGCCTGTAGCACAGGATCTGGCCCCTGGGCCACACTCAGGGACCTGCTGTCTTGTGGAACTCTCTGGAAGCACTCCTCCATGATCGGGTGGCCCAGCACAGTCACCACTAAGCTGTAGGTGGCCGGTGAGAATGGATATTTGATGGTAATTAAGTTAAACTCTAGTGGCCCACATGTGTGTGGCTGGTGGAGACTGTACAGCAGTGAGCGGTCGCTGTCGCCGGTATCCACGTCCGGGTACATGGCATGTGCTTTCTCACGGATTCCTCACGGGCCCCAGGGGAAGCGTTGGAGGACAGGTGGTGCTAAGGGGTGGGAAGTTGGGGACACGCACACCCCGCATCATCCTCACAACACTCCGAAGGTTCTGTTATGTACGGGGTCCCTCAGCCTCGACACCGTGACCTCTGGGAAGGTCCGAGGGCATTGGGCAGCATCGCCGGCCCCCACCCGTTCAGTGCCAGGAGCAGCCCCAGCCGTGACGACCAGAAATGTGTCCCGAGGTGACCAGGTGTCCCCAGGGGGCCTGCTGGGCCGTGATGACCCTGCATGACGGTCAGGCTGGCGGTGCTCGTGGCCGGGGGTGTGGACCCAGGTCGCTGTAAGCGGGTGGGTGGATGGACAGCCGGGGTGAGGGCCCCGCTCCGTGTCCAGTTCTCTGTGTTTGCTGGGGATTTGGCCCCGGGGGGAGCATCGCTGACCCTGTTAGAGGATGGTGGGGGCGAGGGTGGGTGGGTAGGGGTGTCAGGACTTGAACCTGCATGTCTGGCCTGTGCCCTCTGGCGCTACCTGCTGCCCCCTGGCCCGGGGCCGCATTCAGTAGCCCCTTTGGCGCCCACAGGCCTCCCACCCAGGGCTGCTGAGCCCTGTCAAACCTCGATTCGGGTGGCAACTCCTTCCCTGGGACACCAGGGAGGACGGCCTCCTGGAAGTCGGGGGTAGCTCTCTGGGGGCTGGCACCATGTGGGTGCCAGAGCGGGTGTTACATAAGGTGCTGGCAGGCTGCAGCGTGCTGGGCGCCTCGGGCCGGTGTGGGTGGGCAGCTCCAGCAGTGTGGGGGCAGCGCTAGGATGGGCAGTGCTCTGAGCAGCAGTGCCCCGCGGCCCCTGCCCCCACCGGTGCCCCTGTTGGGGGCTGTCTCCTGCCAACCAGAGCCTGCCCTGGGGCACCAAGCTGGGCTATCGTCAGTCGGTTCTGTTCATGTGTGCTTTCTGCGCTGGGCACGTCAGGCTAGGAGCCCAGGTTCAGGGGGTGGGGAGTGGGGGGGTGGTCCAAGGACAACCCATGTGAGAGGTGCCCTGGCGGGAGATGTATCACAGCTTTACGACCCGCATAAAAAGGGCATCGGACCCAGACTCAAGGGGTCAGGGAGGGCTTCCTGGACAGGTGGCAGCTGAGCCAAGACCCGAAGGATGACAAAGGATCTCACAGGGGCGGGGATCTGGGTGGAATGCCAAGGAGTACAGGAGGAGTAGATGAAGGCCCCAAGGGAGGCAAGGGGGGGGGGGCAAAGTGCCCAGGAAGTAGGGTTTCCATGGATACTGAGGGCTTTGGGCCCAGCGAGGTCTCAGGTGACCCGTCAAGCTCCAGAGCGGGTGGGGGAGGTGAAGGGAGTGGCCCCTGCCCCCAGGGAGCTCACAGACTAGCCCTACCCATAGGACCTGGGGGCATAGGGTCAGGTCGTTGCCCCTGGAGCCCCTGTAGGTCTGGCCGCCCCAACCCCCAGGCTGGGCTCACGGCCCCCATCGTCGCTCCTGCTGACGATGTGGCTTTTTTAGCCGACCGTATTTTTGGGCGTGTGCTCATCTTGACGCACTTTTATTACCCCCCTGTGTGTCATCAGTCTGCCCCGTGAGGACAGGGACCTGCCCTGTGCACTGCTGTACCTGCCGTGTCTTCCTGGCCCAGAGCCTGTGCCCAGGAATGCTCAGCAAGGGTTTGTCGACTGGCTGAGTAACCAACTTTCTTCTCACGCACAGCCGGACCATTCTCCAGGAGGTGCTGGATGCAGACCTGAGCAATGAGGCTTTCCCTTTCTCCACCCACAAGCTGGTGAGAGCTGCCGGGCACCTGGTAGGTACCAGCTGGTTGCTGCCTCCCGGGCTGTGGATGGCAGCAGTGTCCTGAGGCCAGGACCGGGAGCCTGGGTGCCCTTGTGCCAGTGGGTCGACTTCCCTAAGCCTCTGTCCCACGCCCCGAGGGAGAGACGGGCTTTTGGGAGCACAGAGGGGTGACAGGTCAAGTCAGGCTTCCCTGGAGCTCTGCCCAGAGCCTGGCACCGACTAGGGGGCTCGCTCACAGGCTTCTGCCCCAAAAGACAGCCTTGGCCTTGCCGCCTGCACAGCCACCTGTGGTGTCCCCTCCTGAAGGCACAGGGCATGGCCTCTCGAGTCAGGGGTGGCGTGTACTCCCCCCACCACATTGGGAAGCACGGGGCTGGGACGGCAGAGCACCTGGGGCTCACGCAGGGCCCTGTGTTCTCTGAGGAGGTGCTTGTCCTTCCCTAGCGCCCTCCTGCCCCTGCCCACCCAGCATTGTGGGTGTGGGATGAGGAGGGGCTGCTGGGGCAGAGGGGGGGCGCACCCCCTGTCCCCAGCCCCAGGAAGTCCAGGTTGCGCGGACCCCTGGGGACGGTGGGTGACTCCAGGGCTCCATTGGACCCGGGTCTGGTGGGAAGCTTCCTCAGAGACCAGGGGCTGGGGCGGGGGAGGCTCTGGGTCAGCCCATCCCTTCCCTGTCCTCGCTGTCCTTGTTGGAAGTTAAGTGTCCTGACTCCCCGAGGCCAAGGGGAGGAGCAGACAGTGAAGGTGCCCTCGGCCGTGATTTGCTGGGGGCTTGTGGGCACCGGACGCTGCTCTGAGCACACACATGCCCTGCATCATCCTCACAACACTCCGAAGGTTCTGTTATGTACGGGGTCCCTCAGCCTCGACACCATGACCTCTGGGAAGGTGTCCTGTGCTGGAGGCTGTCCGGGGTGTCCGAGGGCATTGGGCAGCATCGCCGTCCCCCACCCATTCAGTGCCAGGAGCACCCCCAGTCCTGACAACCAGAAATGTGTCCCGAGGTGACCAGGTGTCCCCAGGGGGCCTGCTGGTCCGTGATGACCCTGCATGACGGTCAGGCTGGCGGTGGTCGTGGCCGGGGGTGTGGACCCAGGCCCTCAATGGCTCATGATGCAGGAAACTGAGTTCAGAGATGTCAGCAGGACGTCTCTGGCCCGAAGCCCTCAGCTAATGAAACACAAAAGCACATAAATACGTGTCGACGAAAGGGACGTGGCCGTAAGCGGGTGGGTGGATGGACAGCCGGGGTGAGGGCCCCCCCTGTGTGCTATTCTCCGTGTTTGTCAGGGGTCTGGCAGAGAAAGTGCAGAGGAACGCGGGTGAGCAGTGCGATCCCGGGCAGCAGAGGGGCTGCAGCGCCAGGAACCCCCGGGGTCCTGTTAGCAGACAGCGTAGCACTGAGGCCTGTGAAGGCGCTGCCAGGCAGGGTGGGGGGCAAGGGCAGCTCTGCCTAGCAGGGGGCGCTCCTGCCTTCCCTCACCGGCCGCAGGTGAGCCGAGGGACTGAGAGCTGGGGCAGGGACATGGAGGTCTCGTCTAGCTTGCGTCCTGCCTCCTTGGTGCAGGGCTGTCTGTCAGGACCAGAGAGGTGGCTGTTTTGAGAAAGCGGCACAGCTCGACCCCAGGCCCTGGCTGGCACCCAGCAGCCCCTGACCGCCGGGGGATCCTGGGCCTCCATGGGGATGGGGCTCTGGCTCGTGGAGGCATCAAGGCCTGGCATCTGCTCGGCCTGCACATGGCTCGGGGGTAGTGGGAGAGAGGACCAGGTGGGAGCCCTTCCCTTCCCGGCCCAGGCCACTCCAATGATGCACCTGGAATGGGACTTGTGTCTGGCCAGCGGGCTCCAGCTGCCTCCTACCCTTGGGTGCTGGCCCATTGCACTCCTAGCCCGTGGCTGGCTGCTTGTTGGACAGCAGGGCCTGGGTGTCAGGCGGGGTCAGGCCCCGGACTGAGGGGAAGCGAGGCCAGCCTCCAGGATGAACCCTTCTCTAGGGCAATGGGCAGCCCAGGCAGGACGTGAGGTGCGGTGGATGCCAGGTCAGGGCACAGGACACCCAGGGGGCTGCTTGTCCTCACTACCTCCTCTGGGACTTGTCTCCTGGTTTCATCAGAAAGTATTCTATTGCTTCGTGAACCGTGCTCAGTTTCCAACTGTAAGGGTGGCATGGTGGTGAAGAGGGTCGGCTGGAGGCAGAGCTCCCTCTCAGCACGGCCCCTTGGGGTGCAGCCCTCAGCCCCTCTGAGCCTTCCTCTCTCCACATGGGCACCTAGAAGGCTGGTGCACCAGCAGGTCCCTGGGGCAAGATGCCAGCCCCTCCTCAGCCAGGCCACGGGCCTCATTCAGGGTGCCTCACCGAACCTTCTCTCCCCGATCTCTGTCCACAAAGTTTAAAAACAGGAACGAGGCCACCACCCGGCTTGATTCTCTGATGGTGGGTGTAACAGTTTTCTTTCTTTTTTTGAAAAAAGATTTTATGTATTTATTCATGAGAGACACACACATACACACAGAAGCAGGGACACAGGCAGAGGGAGAAGCAGGCTCCACACAGGGAGCCCGATGCGGGACTCGATCCCGGGTCTCCAGGACCAGGCCTGGGCTGAAGGCGATGCTAAACCGCTGAGCCACCCGGGCTGCCCAAATTAATTGAGAAGATTTTCTTTCTTTCTTTCTTTTTCTTTTTCTTTTATTTTTTTTTAAGTAGGCTCCATGCCCAACATGGGGCTTGAATTCACAACCCTGAGATCAAGAGTCACACACTCTACTGACTGAGCCACCCTGAGAATGTTCTTTTTTTTTTTTTTTTTAAAGATTTTATTTATTTACTTGAGAGAGAGTGTGGGAGAGCACAAGCCAGGGGAGGGGCAGAGGGAGGGAGAAGCAGGCTCTGAGCAAGGAGCCCGAGGCAGGACTCCATCCTAGGACCCTAGGATCAAGACTTGAGTTGAAGGCCAATGCTCAACCGCTGAGTTCCCCAGGCACCCGGGTCTAGCAGTCCTCTGAGTCCTCTAAACACACCCTGAGAACCCCTTTGACCCTCTCTCAGCTCCTTGGGCAGCACTCTGGGAATAGCCCAGTGATGAGCTCCCCGTCGACGGTGCTCCTTCTATGAGTCTGATTATTGACCTACGGCAGGTTCCTCAGACCCAGAGAGACAGGTGCCCCAGGTACACAGTCCTGGCCTTCCGGGTCATTCCATGCTGTGTTCTTGCTCATCATTTGGTGTTTTCTGTGTGTCCACCCCCCACCCCACGCCAGCCTGGTGCTCTCCTAGGCCTTTGGGGGAGCGCAGGTACAAAAGCACAGAGCCCCCTATGCCGGGTCCTGCCCTCAGGAGATGGACACCCTCGGCCCATAATGGGTCTGTCCTGGTTCTCATCTGAGCTCTTACCCTTAGTCTAAACCGTGGATCTCTTCCCAGGGCTGGGCGGGTCCTCTTCCCACCTCCGCCCTCCCTGTTTCCCCCCACCCCTACCTGGCTGTGGACTTAATTTGGGACATGTTGGCTGGGAGACCCACAGATGCCAAGCATGGAGCGGGGGCCCGGAGGCTCTGGGATGGAAGAGGTGGGCCCCCTCCTGCCATGAGCTCTCGCCCCAGCTGGGGTGGGGGTGGGGGTGGGGGCAGGTGCGGGAAGGACCCTGCAGCACAGCCTACCTTGTGTGGTAGAGAGGGCCCCAGGCAGCAAGCATGGGGACGTGGAAGGTCCCAAGCATTCACAGCAGGGAGATAGAGTCTTGGCAAAACGAATGTGAGGAAGACAAGGTGGTGGAGAGGATGGTGGCCTCTGGGCTGGGGAGCAAGCATGCCTGTGCTGGGCAGGCAGGAGCTCTGCCCTTGGACGGGGGTCCCCCAATTCCCTGCTGCCTGGCCACCTTGGAACACATGTCCTGGGGTGATCAGCAGAGACGTCTTTGTCTCTCCTGCCGGCTGGAAGCTCATCCGCCTGCAGGGGACCCTGAGAACCAGCGCCCAGGGCCGGGGCACTGCCTCACTCTGTACAACACCCAACCCTGCAAACACATGGATTTACTGTCCTGCAGTGAATTTTACTGTCCTGGTCAGTGCCCAGCTGGAGCATATTTATGCAGAATCCCAACATGGCACCTGGCAGTGTCACACGCCCGTCGTCTCATCCCTCCTCCTCCCCCTGCCACTCTCTGCAGGTTGCTGCTGCCTGCTGTGTGGCCTGCTGGGAGGATCCCGTCCTGCCCCAGGGGGCTGGGAGTCCCCAGGAGCCCTGGGGGCCAGGGGTAGGTGGGAGATGAGCTCCACAAGGGCGGGAGCATTCGAAGATGGGGTGCAGCTGAGGGTGTGGTCAGTGGGCGCCCCATGTGTCCCGGAATCCTGCCCCAGGATACTTCTCGCAGGGGCCAGGGAGCTGTGGGCAAAACAGAGCAAAGGCTTAGTTTCCTTGGTGTTGAAGTTACGGGTTTTGCTGACCTCAGAGTGGGCCCCCATCCCGTGTTTTAGGACCGTACGAGCCTAGGGTGCAGGGGCTTCATGGCTCATTGTCCAGTAGGAGGGGTGGGGATGTCAGCCTGGCTGGGCCTCCGGCTATGGGGCCTGGGCTGCCCTAGGCTGCATGGTGGCCTCACAGGCAGGTGGGGAGGTGGGAGCTGGATCAGCCCGGAACACACATGTTCAGGAACAGAGTCACCCTGGTGCTCAGCAGAGCCGGGGGCCTGGAGGCCTGGCTTCTAGACTTGCCCCAGGCCTTCCAGGACTGCCTCTCCTGGACTCGGTTTCCCCACCTGCAACAGAAAGTGCAGACAGTATCTAAAATCCTTCCTGGGCTGTCTTGTGAGTCTGCCCAGACAGCCTGAATTCTCTCTGAATCCAGGGGGATTTCACATTCTCCCTGATAATATCTTGCACTGGCTTCAGCAAGTCCTGGCGCCGTATCCCTCAGTGCGAAGAGGCGCTAGGGCGGGAGGACGGGCCGGGCCAAGTTTTATGGGAGGTAACTGGATCCCAGCCACCCAGATGCTGGAGAGGAATGTGTGT